TGCAAAAGCTATTTAAATTTGATTCCGAACACTGAACTAGAGAAAACAAAACTCAAATTAAAAAGCCTCAAGCAAGACTGTTTTCCCCCTAAATAATAATAATGGATTGCCAGCTAAAGCAGCTAATGCTGTGTTGATTAATATCTTTTTAAAATATCCTATTAAGTAAAAATTGGTAAATAGTTTTTTAATGTTTGCGCCAGTAGCTAAATATGTATGAAATATGAAATTCTTTCAACCATAATATTATCATTTGTAATTATGTGTTGTTACTCCAATTTTTTTGTGAATGTTTCAATTGTATGAATAGAGTATGTGGTTAGGAATAATATTGAAAGTTATAACAACAACGTGCATTTCTATAGCAACCCTCACACAGGGCAGCATCCCAGAGCACTTGACACTGGCAGAGCACGACTCCAAGCCGAGAACAACAACAACAACAACAAGATTCCATTTATAAAGCGCCTTTCACGTCAGGAGGACGTCCCAAGGCGCTGCACAGTTGGGTCATGACCCGAGCAGGGGGGAAATGGTCAGGGTGAGGGGAGGGATGGGAGGGAGCGAGAAGGGGGAAGAAAGTCGAGAGTGGAGCTGAAGGCTCGGTCAAAGAGAAGAGGGGGAGGTGACTCTAGGCACGGTCGAAGATAAAGGTCTTCAGTTGCGACCTGAAGTTGGGGGAAGGAAGGGGCAAGGAGGAGGGATAGAGGAAGAGTGTTGCAGAGTTTTGGGGCATAGTGGCTGAAAGTGCGGCCACCAATGGTGGAACGGAGGAACACAAAGAGGGCCGGAGCCACTCAAACGGAGGCAGCGGGTTGTTGTTTGGAGGATAAGTAGGTTGGAGAGGCATGAAGGGATTTGAAAACAATTATGAGGATCTTCAAATTGATCTGTCAGCAGTAGGGAGACAGTGGAGATTGGCTAGAACTGGTGTGATGGGGGTATGGAGTTTGGTGCGGGTGAGTATGAGAGTGGCACAGTTGGATCCTGTGCCTGGTGGAGCTGGGGAGATTGGCAAAGAGGGCATTTGAGAAGTCAAGTAAGGAGATGGCGAACGTATGGACGAGTGTTTTGGCTGTGTCTGGGGTAAGGTACAGTCAGAGGCGGGCAATGTAGCAGAGGTGGAGGAAGGCGGTCCTGATCAGGTACCAGATGTGGGGAAGAAAGGACAGCTGTGGGTTGAACATGATGTCTAGGTTCGGTGAGTCTGAGGAATAGGTTGGGGAGGTTGAGGGACCCAGAGCTGCAGGACAGAAGATGTTGATGGGAACCAAGGAGTATGGTTTCTGTCTTGTCAACATTTAGTTGACAATATGGAATAAGTACAGATAAAAGATCAGCAACTAAATTGTAGAAGATGCGAATTCCTGAGCTGATGGAACCATAAAAATATCAACATCAAAAGCTGGTAACCAGCTAATGAATATTGTACAGAGATCCATTAGGTATTCTGGAGTTCTGCTTTATTTTCCTTTGGAGGCAGGGAGGAACTTTACAGCATATGCACGTGTCTATCTCCTCAAGGAAAGGATCATCCAGGGACAGTGCTGAGTGAACTTTGGCCTATAGATCCCAAAGAATGGGTAAGAATGACAAAATCATTATTAAGATATCGGTAAAACCTTTGTGGCATATTCTTCTGCAAGTTAAGTCAACATACTAGAATTGAGAAACAGCCAAGCCACAAGCAAAAATGATCAAAGCTTCTGAGCAGAACCAGCCAGATGAAATTGAATCCACTGACGACAGCTTTCAGGGTGTCAATGATCCAGCTACTAAGTTCTGTGATTGAAAATCTTTTCACAACTCATCAGAATAACCCACCAACTTGGAAATGTGTCAATGGAGGATGAGGATTACAAATTAATCCTAGAGAATGCTGTTGAAATAAACACTGCAAATGAAATCTGGCGATGCACACTGTTTTTGCAGCCTTCATTTAAATTCAGCTCAAGGGAGAAAATAATTTCCCTACTCTGACTTGTTAAAGTCACAACTAAAATATGTTTTTATCAGTCTGGATTTTTCTCCCACTGCTCAAAATTTCCCTAGATTTGGTACCAGTTGGAAAAAAGTTAACAATCATTCACCAACAAGCTTCAGACGAAATAATGCAAATAATACTAGTACTGTATATTAACAACAAAATCTTACATTTATATAGTTGCCCTTCACGTGGAGTAGCATGTTGGAGTGCTGATAATACTGTCAGAATGACAACGTAAAGGTTGTTCTTTATAAACTTTGGGCTGGGCGGCAATGGGGTGTCAAAAACTCAGCAGTTCATAATGGGATTCATTTATTAGCTACTCACAATCGGTCACAGTGAATCCTGATGGTAACTATCAGTATATCAAGGCCAACGTCTGGAATACCTGCTCCAAAGTATCGTGAGTAGATGGTAGGATTCCTGCAAATCAGCTGTAACTCACTGCCAATCACAGACAGGATTCCCATTAGTAATTTCAGGTCAGTACTGGTGACCCTGTTATGAACTGATGCATCCCACAGCTTCTCCAAATGACTGTCCAATTAGTCTGGTTGAGGCATTTGGTTCCCAAAACATTTAGAATTAAGATGACCTCATTTCATTTTCAATGTTTAGGACTTTTACCAACCAAAATAAAGACTATTTGGCCCAGGTTTTCTCCTCTGCAATTTTAATATTTTGCCTGGATCCCATTGAGAATTTCCTAATGTACTAGGCAGGTTATCTGGCCATGACTACAAGAACAGCATGAGTAGAACAAACCTGTTTTTCCTTCTCTCCCTTTGGTGAAGTATTTAACCTCAATTCAGCAGCTCCCCTGATGAGACGGGAACTTTTGGCAAAATTCTGGATGTGAACCAATTTCTTAAAATTCTATAGTGCAGCATAACAAAAATATCAAAAAAAGTAATCTAAAAATTACTTAGATAGGGCTGCTCTCTGTGTGGTCTGGTGTCACCACTACAAAATGATTACCTCCTATATGAAGAACGTTTAGCAATCCAGATGATATTCGCGGAGCTGCATTTGCCTGGTTCGATTCCTATCTCTCTCACCGTCTCCACTTTGTTGCTTCTAACGGTTTCTCCTCCAGTCTCCGCACTGTCACGTCTGGCGTCCCCCAGGGCTCTGTCCTTGGCCCTCTCCTCTTTAATATCTATATGCTCCCCCTTGGTGACATCATCCGCAGACATGGGGTCAACTTCCACATGTATGCGGATGACACCCAACACTATCTTTCTGCCTCCACCCTCAACTCCAGGACCACTGCTGTCCTGACAGACTCCCTGTCAGACATCAAGTCCTGGATGAGGGCAAACTTCCTACAGTTGAATGTGAACAAGACTGAGGCCCTCCTGATTGGCTCGCGCCAGCGCCTCAGCACCTCAGGCTCTGGCAGCATCAACCTCCATGGTTGCACACTACAACTCACCAGCCAGTCAGGAGCCTCGGTGTCTTGTTCGACCCTCAACTGTCTTTTCTTCCCCACATCCGAGCCATGACCCGCTCTGCCTTCCCTCACCTCTATAACATCGCCCGACTCCGCCACTACCTCACCCCTCAGGCCCCTGAAACTCTTGTTCATGCCTTCATCACCTCCAGGGTCAACTATGCAAACTCCCTGCTTGTCGGCCTTCCCAACTCCTCCCTCCACAGGCTGCAGATAATCCAGAACTCTGCAGCCCGTGTCCTCTCCTGCAGCAAACTCCGTGACCCCATCTGCCCCGACTCCATTGACTCCCTATCCTTCAGAGGATCCAGTTCAAGATCGTGGTCCTCACCTACAAAGCCCACCATGGCCTTGCCCCACCCTACCTCTGCGACCTCCAAACCCCCGCTCCTTCCGCTCAGCTGGCTCCGGCCTGCTCCACGTCACCCGACCCACCCGCCCCACCATTGGCGGGAGAGCCTTCAGCCACTCTGGCCCCAAAATCTGGAATTCCATCCCCCAATCACTCCGCCTCGACCCCTCCTTAGCCTCCTTCAAGTCCCGCCTCAAAACCCTCCTCTTCAACAATGCCATCGGTCACCCCCCTTCCCCTCCCTTCTCCCCTCCTCACCCCAACTCAGGTCTGACATGCTGTACACTGTCCAGCGCCTTGGGACCTCCTCCCGACGTGAAAGGCGCTATACAAATGTAATCTTGTTGTTAAGATAGGCCAGGGTGATCCAACCTTTTGGCTGCCGCTGGTCGAATTACCTATCTGAGAAAGGTCTGCGGGCTGCATAAGTAATATTTTGTGTTTTCGTTCCAACAACATTGCAACATTCACAGCACCTTTTTCATGTTGGAAGGACATCTCAAAGTGCTCGACCCTGGTGGCTGGGCACCTGAGCTGGTGGTGGGAGTCGAGGGAGGTGGGGTGGGGAAAAGATGACCTAAAGTGTGGACAAAGAGTTAGGTCTTGGTGTGCCTTGAGAGAGGGGAGGGAGCGAGTCGGAGAGACTCCGGGATGGAACTCCAGAGAGTGAGGGATAAATGGTGTTGGTGGGGTAGATGGGTTGGGGAACAGGACATGAAACAAGCTGGTGTTTTCTCTGCAAAGGGAACAGCCGGATCGGGAGGTCGCAGAGGTGGGTGGGGGTGGGATGAAGGATGTAGAGGTTTTTCACTGGGAAAGTGAGCTTTCTGTGAAGAAACTGCACGTATCTCAGTGGTGTCTGTCCTTGCACCCCCACCCACCCACCCCACCCCTACCCGCTGGGGTTCTGAACATATGTCCTGACAGTGAACCACGAAACACTGCCCTCACTTCTCCTTTCCTTATTTCTCTCTCCCCCTTTAATACTCTCTCTCTCAATCACTCTCATTGGCTCTGCTCACGCAGACACTCTCTCACCTTCTCTTTTCTCTCACACACTCTCTCTCTCCCCTGTCACCCACTCTCCTCCTTTTTCTCTCTCTCTCGATCACACACACCCTCTCCCTCCCTCAATTACTCTCTCTAAATCACTCTGTTTGATCCTTTCCAATAGCTGTGTAGGCTGGACAATGATAATTGACTTTTTATTAACAAGAGTCAAAATAATTTTAATAGAGATTTGACTTACATACATTTATCACATAGCAAGAAAACAGGCTGCTATCAATGTTGATATGTGAAGAACCATTCTACCCAACCTTGCTCCAAAACACACAGCATTGTACACAACATAATAAATAGCTTACAATATAATAATTCTGAAGGTCTAGAACTACATCTCAAGTTCTGAACAGTTCACAGTGTAATAATGCTAACTTATTGAGGTTTAAAATTAGGTTAATAATTAAACTAAATTACATTTATACTCAACAATGAACCTCAGTCTGAGACAACATAATAGATCCAACACTTATCTACTGCAATTTTTACAACATCTAAGTTTAATAAAGAATTTTGAGAGTCAATACAATGGATTACACGTTTATCTCTGTGCAAAATTTAAGTCATCAGGGATTAAACTGAACCCATTTAACAGCTAGAGGTTCCTTTGCAGCCTTCATTTTGACTAATAATACATTTACATGTTTGAACTAAAAGTTCACATCCTGTCACCAATGGCTCTGATAATAATCCTTGCATTTGATATAGCGCATTATCACATCTTTGAGACGTCTCAAAGCACTTCTCAGAATATACTGTAAAGTGAATTGACTGCATTCTTTGTGGGCAAAATGCAGCAGCTGTATCCCACAAAACAGTCATGGATTGAGTGACCAATTTATTATTATTTTTTTAAAGGAATTATTACCCCCGGAAAAGCCATCTGCCAATCGGCTAACAACCAGGTTCCTACTTACTGCTCGATATACAGTGGTATATGCCTTGGTTCAATACATTGTGTCCATTGTTGAGACAAATACTACCTGGCAAAATTAACTTGGTATCAATTACTAATATTCAGAAATGTTATTATATCGTTGTAGTGTTTGACCAAGATAAGTAGCCTAAATAAAATGTATCATCAGTCAAAATGAACTAAAATGTTGCTTGGTGACCAATAGGTCAATAAGGAATGATTAGTTATTTTTAAAAAAATCAAGCTTCAACATAAATAATTAAATCATTTACTTACAAACACAATTTTGCAAATGTTCTGAACTGTATGCAGTTATGTTAAGATTTTGCTTTGAATTACTTCAGCTTAAAAATAGATCACTGGCTAGTATTTTCCAATCAAAACCTCTGGATGATACAGTTGAAGTGCTACCATTTTTATTGAGAAACCTGTCCATAATAATCAGCCTGCAAATGGGAACAGGGCAAAGAGTCATTCATAAATGGTTCAATGTTATAAGCCACAGCATAATTACAGACAGTTTACATTTGGCACTTAGTGCTTATGACTGCATATTAAATCGGTTGAACTCTTCTTTAAATGCAGAGTATTTAACAAAATATTATTTAAGTTTAAATTTGTAAGACCACTACATAAATCTTTTGTGAAATAAAGTTTAATTATTAATGCAATGAGTCCAGATAATCCAATGAAAACAACATTGTCTATTTTGTAACCTCTCATTTTTAAATCTAATTCAGTGACAACAGTAATTTCCTCCAATCAGAAACAGCAACAGAACAATAATCAGTTCAACAAAACAGCTTTTCTGGGTCAGGCCAAATTCCACAATATTAAACATTTAGTCTTTAAAGAAAACGTAGGCTTTCAGGCGTTCCAGTGGTTCTGTAGTTTTAAAGGGAGAAAATAGGCCTCTAGTGCATCTTCAGTTGCAACAAACCTTTTGGAAAGTTAAACTTCTTCACTGGGACAAATTGGAAAGTTTCTGGAGTTGTTGCAAAGCGTTGCTAAGGAGTTCATTACGACTAAAATAAAAAGATTAGACAATGCAGTTTCATTCATAGAAACGTTCTGTTTTATCTGAAACAATCAATAAATAGTCTTGGTCAGACTCCATCTACCGGAGTGCTGCGTTCAGTTTTGGGCACCTCACCTCAAGAAGCATACATTGGCTCTGGAGAGGGTGCAGCACTGATTCACCAGAATGATACCAGAGCTTCAGGGGTTAAATTATGAGAAGAGGTTGCAAACTTGGTCTGTATTCCCTTGAGTTTCGAAGGTTGAGGAGTAAACCGACTGAAGTTTTTAAAGTAACAAAGGGATTCAACAGAGTGGATACAGAGAAACTATTTCCTCTGGGAGGGGAATTAAGAACATGGGGCATAAACTTAAAATTAGAGCTAGCTCAGGTAGAAGTGAAATCAGGACGACATTTTTCATCCAAAAGGTAGTGGAAATCTGGAACTCTCTCCTCCAAAAGGTTGTGGATGCATTCACATTTTCCATATTGAGGTGGATAAGACATTTGTTAGGTCAGGGTATCAAGGGATAAGGGGCAAGGGCGAGTAATTGGAGTTGAGGTACAGATCAGGAATGATCTTATTGAATGGCGGAACGGGCTTGAGGGGCAGAAAGGCCCCTCGAGCCTCAAAAGTGTTTGGAAATATGGAAAAAAAAGGATAAACAGCTCATCAGTTTCAAGAACACCAGCACAATATCTCAGTTTAGGAACAGATTTGCAGTGAGCTCATATTTCACAACCCTGCAATCGTTTTCATTTGTGTGAAAAATTCCTACTGTGCCTATCAAAATATCCAGTTGTTATAAAATTCACCACCAATGATAAGATGAGAATACAAGCCTTTGGCAGTCCAACAAGCTTACCTCTCCAAAAATGCCCAGTCTGCTGTCTGTCTGTGATGGCTTCCCCCCCACAGGGAGCCGCTCCCAAAGCTGCACCAACTGTTCACCAACTTGTGGCTCCAGCTCCTGTACAAACAGGTTTTTAAACAAAGTTGCAAATGTTAGCAGGAATATCAGATAACAAACACAAGTGGGATGCATCAAGACACATCAATACAAACATTTTGACCATTCACAAATTGTATGCGCTATGTATGCACACACTGTATAGGAAGGGCAGTTGATATATGCAAAGGAAGGGATTTAAGCAAAGCTTCCTTTTCTTAGCACTATCGCTATTTCCTGCTCGTTGCATATGTTTGTCACTTCGCGAAGTATATTCTGTAAAGCGCTTTGAGACATCTTGAAGGCGCTATATCAAATGCAAGTATTATTATTCCTGCGCACAGCATGTAGGAAGTGATGTCAACTGCAACCTAACATCCTGAAAGTCGGCTATTTCTTACACACACACTGTGTTTTTTTCACATCGGGAGGACATGCAAAGGCGTTGGACAATCAAGAATTTACAACCGCATTGACAAGGTTTCTCTGTATTATACCCCACCTGGCCATCTCTGCTTATCTGTACTTTCTTGTTATCATTCCAAGGGTTGAGTAAATGGTGTGCATATTGGAAAGGGAGACTTTCCTTTCTAATCCATTCCACCCTGAAGACTCCTCCCAGTCCAGCAGAACCCCACTCTTGACTTCTCTCCCGTCCAATCTCTGAAATCATTCTGGCAAAACCCTAAGTGGAGAAAGAAACAGAAAATTCATAATTACAGGAAACACAGCAGTGAATTCAGTAAATATTTTGTTTGCTTTTTTGGAGGTAAAAACACTTCGTTTTTTAGTTCTCCTTTACAAGGCTTGTTATCTATAGAATTTTGGCCAAGCATAATCTACGATGACTTGCCCTCTTTTATTGTGGTTAGCATCCAACGAGGGTGAAGTAAAGGCATATTGGCACATGAATGAATGTAGCACAGAAATTCTGAAGTAAAGATTTATTAAAACTAATTACATGTCCAATAACTGAAACATTATTGAAAGAAACATTGAAGGCAAGTCAGACTTTAATCTACTAGCAACATAGGGACTGGATAAGGGTACATAACAATTAAATAGTTTTTCAGCGCCTTGGAATGTCCTCCCAACGCGAAAGGCGCTATACAAATGTAATTTTGTTGTTGTATTGTAAAGTTTACCTGGAAGTGCCCTGATCCTTGCACAGAAAACACCAGATACACAATGCTACTTTCCCAAAAAGCACGGTTTAGTTTACGCTCATTGCTGGGTGTAGTGGACCAGATTCCTTTTTGTTGAGAAATCTCAAGGTTACGAAGGTTGCTGCTCTTCAAAATGAAAAAGCGAACTGGTACATTTGGTCTCGGTGATGGAGACTTAGAGCCCTAAAGAAAAATTAGACGACACAATTACACAAAACATTTATAGAAATCTTTTATACATCAAACTTTTCACACATTTCGAGTTGCTCATCACCATATGTTATCAGGCAGCTGTGAGCAGGTGGTGGGTAATAAATGTCTCCCTGGAAACCTGTTCCAGTCATTAATTACTCTTTGGGTAAAGAAATACTTCTCGCTGTCTGTTCTGAAATTGTCCTTTGCAACTCTTAACCTATGTCCTCTTGTTCTACTCTCCTTTTGCATTTGGAAGTACTGTTCTGGGTTTATCAATCCCATTTAAAATTTTATATACCTCTTTAAGGTTCCCTCTTGCAAGACTGAGATGCTTAATGGCATTAAGCTGAAAGGTTTCCTCAAATATTTCTTCATAAATCTGAGCAACAATAACTTGTATTTATATAGCATGCTTCATATGGATAGTCTCAAGAGCAAGCAAAGTAATTGTACAAAACATCTAAGACAAAGACAAGAAAAAAAGACATTTGATGTTTACCTTGCCTGAAGGTGGTGGAGATGGGCTGGCACAGGGACTGGGATAGTTGCTGCTGTCTGTGGATTTTACAGAGGATTGATCTGACCTCTCATCAGAACTCCTCTTCGGGTGCAGGAAACCTCTGTCTTTGTACCTTTGCTGCTGCTGGGATTTCAACTGAACTCTGTGCAGAAATGAAAAAGTAAATCCTTCCTTTACATAATTTCCATAATCCATCCTTGAATATTACATTCAAATCCCTCTTGTTAGTATTATAGACTAGCTGTCCAATTTGTAAGTCAAACACATTAGGGGCAATTTTCCAAAGAAGTCCGTAATAGGAAAGTCCAATTATAAACTCACACAGCCAAGATTCATAAATACTCATTCTTGCTTTTGATATTGTGCTTTATCACGTTGTAGGAACATCACAAAATCCTTTACTGGATTCTACTGTAACTTGTAGTGAATATATTTGTAGGCAATGTTAGGAGATAGCTCTAAAAGAGGACAAAAGGATTGGGGGAAGACGAGGGGGACCAAAAGGGATGAAAAAATTTCACTAAGAAGTAACATTGGGCTATTCCATTTTACTTGTACTTACTGTTAACTCATCTTGGGTTCTACCTCGTTATCTTATCAAAAAGCTCTCGTATTAGGATTCAGATGCAAATTGGAGCAGATTAATTTAAGGGTTGCAAGAAAGTACCACTTTTCAAGCAGTTTTATGTAGTGAGTTTATGTCCACTGAAGAAGTGGACTAAAAATTCCCAGAGGGAAAAGATATTTATAGCCAACATAGGATACTCATCTCTTCAGTCTAAGCAGGATTCGAGATCTCAGAGGTGAAAGGTGTCTAACCACAGCCAACTTCCAGATAACTTTTTTTTAACAATAGAAAACTGAAAGTTGAAGTGTCATTATTTTTTGAGGGGCGGATGGGGTAGGGGGTTTCTGCCATATGCAGAAACCCATCACCATGCTTAAGAGTATCCAAACCAAGTTGAGATTTCCATGGGTCCTACCTAAACATGGAAATCCCAGAGATAGACTGTTGGAATGGAATGTGCATTCTCTCCCTGTAGAGACGCATCCTGCTTACCTAATTCCAGAAAGTATTAGGCGCAGTTTGGCAAGAACCAAGGTTTGGGGACCCCAGAGTGTGCGTTGGGGGTACTGCTGGAGTCTAAGCAGCTAAATCCACATAGCTTGCCATTGATATTGCTGTCTGTCAAGCTTTCCCGCTGTTTGTGGACTTATGCTTGTGGACCACCCTTTGGTTTTCATGGTTAACGGGAGCTGAATGGGATGGTTCCCTGCCCCAAGTGTCTCGTCTGCTCTTCCAGGACCTGCCAATAAGCCAGGCTGGCTGTGCTGCCACCAGCAGTGCCCTAGAATTCTGCAGACCCACCTGGCTCAGGAACTGGTCTACCGAGACCGCCACAGAGGACCGGCTCAATTCCGACATTCCATTGCCAGGCATGCGGTTAGAGCACTCGCCTCGCAAGCGAGAGACCTGGGTTTGATTCCTGGGAGGGCAAAACGTTAGGCACGTTTCTTACTCCACACGCCTCTGTTTACTTAGCAGTAAGTAGGAACCCGGTTGTTAGTCGATTGGCGGATCGCTTTTCGGGAGATAATAATTCTTTCAAAAAAAATAATAATGAATTGGTCACTAAATCCACAACTGTTTGTGGGACACTGCTGTGCGCAATTGGCTGTCACATTTGGCCCATAAAATATAGTCAATTCACTTTACAGTACATTGTGTGAAGCGCTTTGAGACATCTCAAAGACTTGATAAAGCGCTATATCAAATGCAAGGATTATTATTATTATGTCACCTTGTTCAGCTCGAAGGAGACCCCACTTACCAATTAAGTGTCGTAGTCCAATGAACCAGTCATATTTAAAAGTTTAGAACCATTGGAACACAATGCTTACTTACCCACACTATGCAGGTAAACAGTATCCTGAGTAACCTCACAAGCATCTGCAGAACTTCTCACATGCACACAACTGAATTGTTTGCCAGTAGCACAATTTTGTGGGTAAAACGCAGCCGTCAATATTCGCACAGCAGTGTCCCAGAAAGTCGTGGATTGAGTGACCAATTCATTATTATTATTTTTTGAAGGAATTATTACCCCCGGAACAGCGATCTTCCAATCAACTAACAACCGGGTTCCTACTTACTGCTAGGTACACAGAGACGTCTTCATATTTTGTACAGTGTAAGGTTAATGTCAAAGATTTTTTTGGGGGGGAGGTCAGTCAGGTGTCTGACACATGCGTAAACCCATCACCACGCTTAAGATTATCCAAACCCAACTGAGAACTCCATGCAACCCACCTACACATGGAAATTCCTGAGAGTCAAAAAAGAGATAGGCATAGAGATGAAAAATCAGTGAGATTGATGAAAGAGTGGCAGAGAAAGACTGCCACGGTGTGGTATTATATTGACAATACAACTCCTGATAGTAGATCTTTTAAATTACCACTGTAGTCAATTTGTATTTTTTGTTATGTCCACAGTGTGTTTACCCAATTAGTGAGGATAATCAGCTGCTTATTGTATTAATGTACATGCTCAGAGTGAAATCTAAGCCGAGATATAAAAAAATAAAGTTTCTTCAGGTTAAGACACTGATAATTAAGTATTACTACTGTAGCTCTACCTTTCTCTAAATTCCACGCTGGAAGAATCATCTGAAAATTCCGTCTCTGCTGAACTCTTCCTACTATTAGACCTCCAAGACGATGAAACAGGAGGTTCTTCTGAAGATATAGGCCTTGGTCTTTGCCCAATGCCAGAAGGTTGCTGGAGTCCTGCTGCTTGCTCCTCACTGCTGAGTACTCCAATGATTGCCCTGATAGTTGCCTCATCTACTTGAATCCAAGGTTTTGATGGAGCACGCATTCGCCTCAGGAACAGACCATGCCATTTTTGTCGTAACTGTAAGATCAGACGAGCTGTCTAAAACAAAGCAGAGTAAAATTTCATCTACTGTATTATTGTATATAGCCTGTTATAGAATCACACACATAAACACATCTAACTGGTATTGGGGAGATGAGCAGAAGGGAGAGAGAGTTTCTGTGTATGTATTTACTTCAGGTTGTCTAAACTTCAATGAGATTCACTCGATTGCCACCACCTCAATTGCCCACTGATCACTTAACGGTTCTCGGTAACAGAGGAAGCCTGCAGCATAAGGTCTACGTATGCATGGTCTACATATGCATCAAAGGAAATAATCTGTCAATAATAAATAACGTCCAAACACTACAAATGAATTGGAACCACAGGGAAGGAGGATAGAATAACTACAACCAACAAATAAGGAAAATCACAAAGATGAGCAATCGTACCTCCATTCCTCATTTCATTCTATACATCACACAGGAATGCCTCAGGAACCAGACAACCTCTGTGAAAGGTTTCAATAGTTCAGATCCTAAGCCAGATGGATCCACAATTCCCTAAGCTACTGATGATAACAGAGCAGCCAGCCTGGCTCACCAGCAACACTTGGAGGGGCACACTGGTAACAAAGATACTTCCCACTCAGCTCTGCTAACCCCGCAAGCCACAGTCCTAGTAGTTAGGGTTAGCTGGACAAACAGTGGGAAGCTTGCCACACAGGGCTCTCAATGGCAAGCGATGCAGTTATCGCTGGTTAAACTGCAGCAGCACATATTTTCAAGAGGTACATTCAGGCAATATTGTCTCTCATTTCTTCCCATTCCATCTTTGTGTAAAAAGTTACATTCTCCTTATGCATATAAAGTCAATTTTCCTGAGCTTTATAAATCTAAATTAAAGCATCCAGAATTCTCATAAATCAATATGTACCTCTGGATCTATTCTGAAATTCAGCCAATCTCCAGTTTCAAAGTTGCCATCTTTGAAGTAGACTTGTCTTCCATTTCACTGTCGCTGCTGTCATTGGTGACACCATCTACTATACCCATCACAAGAAATATAGATCATAATAGGTATTCCTTTCATTTTGCAGAACATCACAATATTTTTCTAAGAAAAAGTTGACTGAAAGAACAATTTCACATATTTTCCACATCATAAAAGTTTAGAGATTTGGTCAAATAAATCAATAGTTTTCTCTTTTAATTTCAAGACTCTAGATCTAATTTAGCATCTCCCAGTGTGCTCTAAATCACATGTCAAGAAGCAGTCAAAATTACAATGAACGAAGCAAAAAGAATAGAGTCTTATTGCCAAATGAAAACAATTTGAATATGCAGGGGTCATGCTAAAGCTGTACAGTGCTTCTCTTTATTTGAATAGTGCCATGGGAATCTTTAACTTCCACCTGAACAGGCAGACGGAGCATTAGTTATCGTCTCATGCAAAGGACAGCACCTCTGAGATTAAAATATACCCCCAGCACAGCATTGGAGTGTCAGCTTAGACTATGTGATTCAAAGTCCCAACGTGGGGCTTGAACCCACAACTTCTGATTCAGAGGTGACGGTGCTACCATTGAGCCTAGGCCAACACATAACCCTAAAGCTGAGTTGTACGAGTTATATTTTGGAACATCCTGATACAGGGAATGTGTTTTACTAAGCGTGAGAAACCATCTTCTCACTAGTTTCTCATTCTTTAAATTATAGTTAAGACACATCGGAGCACAAATGGAGCCTGGATGTATAACGAAAACTTCGCTATGTAACAGAAAGTATTGAGAGATGAGTAAAGTTTATTTAAATAATTTTGACTCACTGTATGTGTTACCTCGAGAAGATGGCTCTTGTAAAGCAGTACTGCACAACCTGGCTGGACCAGCAAATAATGCCACTGAGATTGGTGTCACAGCAGAACAACAACGGATATTAGCAATTCTGTGCGCTCTGGTCATTTCATCATAAATAAGCCAGTCAGTGGGCAGTGCTTGAATAGCCATTGCTTGTCCATTTGCTGGGGGAAGCTGACACAGAATATAAATATTTATACATTACTTAGTTAACAACAACTTGTATTGATGTAGCATGTGATAGTGTTTAGTAATCTTGAGATCTATTTGCACTTTCAAACTAATCATTGAGAAACAAAAAACATTTCAAATGTCCATAGATTTTTAAATCTTGTGATCAAAGAGAACAACATTTTTTGTATCAGCGATAAATCTTCCATATAGATTCAATTAATTTTTTTAACAATATTAAAAGCTCCAAAGAAAAGCTTGCTCAGTGGCAACTCTGAAAAGTACAGCATACCTTCTTGTACTGTGGTTGACTAAGAACCGAATTTGGATGAAATCTGACTTTCTTCTCTCTGGAGCTAGTCAGCATTATATTCTCTCGGTCCACATGAATGAGGTTTGGGTACATGCCTGCTACTAATGCAGCCTTCACCACAGCCCAATTCTCAGAGTTAGTGTTTACATCTCGAATGTCTCCACCTCCTCGTGCCCTCACAAAACCTGTAGGCAATATCAACCATGGTATTTTCTTACAATTACAATCCTAAATTGATTTAGATACAGCCACATTAAATCATTTAGAAACAAAAAACATTTCAAATGGTCCATAGATATTTAAATCTTGTGATCAAAGAGAACACCTTTTTCGGTATCAGTGATAAATCTTCCATATAGATTCAATTAAATTTTTTAACAATATTAAAAGCTCCAAAGAAAAGCTTGCTCAGAGCTTTCCAGTGGAAACTCTGGAAGGATATTACCCTGAAGGATATTAAAATCAGTTGATTTTTGAAGAATACACACTGATTTCATTACCCTTGTTTTACTGATTTGTATACATGACAACAAAATTATGCAATTCATTACAAACCATTTAATAACTAATTTGCAGTCTATAAACAAAGATTACAAAAACTGAACAGCAAGGAAACAGGCCATTCAGCCAACAAGTCTGTCTATACTTCTCACAAGCCTCCACCCACGTAACTCCCTCTCATACCCTTCTATTCCCCTCTTCCTCATGGGAAGATCAAGCTTCCCCTTGAATGTATCCATACCATCTGACTCCATTACCACTTCAGTCAGCGAGTTCTACAATCTCTTTTAGATCCCAGAGCCGCTATCTTGTATCTGTGTCCCTACATGTAGTAGTTGTGTCACATCATGAATTCTTGATTGAACCAACCAGAAAAATGTTAGCTAATGGAATTCTCTTCAAAGGCTTACAAAGACCTTGTCGTTATAATAATATTCTTAGTACTTGATGTAGCGCTTTCACGTCAGGACATCTCAAAATGCCTTCATAGAATTCACTGCAGTGATTGTGTACTTCGTAGGGAAACACACGTAACAATCGAAAACCTTTAGAACACAATGACTATTCAAAATAATTTAATTTAGGTATTACATCCACTACTCTTTTTGATATACATAACTGACTTGGGTACAGAGAGCAACATTTTAAAGTTTGCAGATGACACAAATCTTGACAACATAGTAAACAGTGAGAAGGATAGTAGCAGACTACAGGAGGACATAAACAAACAGGTGAAATGGGCAGCCACATGGCCGATGAAGTTTAATGCAGGGAAGTGTGAGGTGATATATTTGGGGAGGAAAAATGAGGAGAGGCAATATACAACAAATGGTCATTTTAAAAGGGGCTACAGGAGCAGAGAAACTGGGAGTTCACATACTCAGGTCTTTGGATGTGGCAGGACAGGTTGATAAAGCTGTTAAAAAAAATGGGATCCTTGGCTTCATAAATAGAGGCAAAGGGTATAAAAGTACAAAACCAAGGAAGTTCTGCTAAACCACCTAACGTGGAAATGTCGATGTATTGGAATGGAAGTTCTCCCTGCTTACATAATTCCAGAGAGTATATGGTGTAGGCTGTCAAGAGCCAAGGCTTGGGGACCCCAGAGTGTGCTTGGGATCCTGTTGGAGTTTAACCAACTAAAATCACATTGTTTGGCATCGAAAGCACTGTCTTGCAAGCTTTCCCATTGCTTGTTGAGCTAGAACCATCCTACACATTGGGCTTCGGTTTGCCGGATCAAAGCTGTGAGCCAGAAAAGTGTGAACAGGGAGCTTCATATAGAACACAAGTCATTATGTTAGTCCTAACAGTACTTTTGCTATCTAAAGTACTGTGCCTGTGATTTCTCCATCTTGTCAGTTATTGTTACTAGAATTATTTAAATGTTAAACATGGTGAAGTAAGACGTGTACCAGTACACAAAAAACCTTGGTAGTGAAACAGTAAAACAGTAGTGTGTTTATATATATATACACACACCACTGCAAAAAATCTACATCTCTAACATTTTGAAACAAATCTTTCTTGCAGGCTGCTTTCATCGAGGATGACTTTTTGTGACCGCAGAAGAAACTGTTTCCAGTAAATGGATATTACCAACATGGATCACCATAGAGGGAGTTTCTCTTGGAAAACAAATTATGAAGTGATTGAGAGCTTTGGTTCATTCTTGGAAAACAGTACTGGATGCGTTTTGGCTTGCTGTGAACATCCAAAGGATAATTATGTTGTTATGATTGGTGCCTACCTGTGGCTCTGAGCTGCCCCAGCAATTGCGTCCTCATGCCGATTATAATTTCCATTGTAGCTTGAGAGAGGAAATTTTTCTCGCAGAAAGCCCTTTCCCAACCATCACTTCGAGCCTTTTGCCAAGCCTAAAATGAATTATTGAAAAACTAAATACAAATAGAACTATTATACTAACATCTATTTGTGGAGTTCTGTGGGTGGATTAAGTTTTTGCACATGAGCAGAACTCTCAAATCACGTGTTCAATACATAAATGGGACAGATCAAAGCAATGGACTCTTCAATTCTGCCCTTTCAACTCTGAAAGTGATGTTGCTTTCCTCAAAATATAAATGTAACACAAAATTCATACCAGCTTATAACAATGAACTCCAAACATTCTGTTAATGCACAATCAGCAAATAGAATTTCAGGCTGCAAATAATGAATTATTCATCAATCATTCAAAAAAACTTGATCAGATTATGACTAAATCTGTACAATCAGAATACTGTATATGTGAGGATTGTTTTAACATTTATAGAATTCAGTCAATTTTCTTTTCAGTTGCTACAACTGTAAAATTCAGTGTAAATTCATATTTTGGCATATAGTGGCCTTTTCAATAATTGCAGTTAAACATGCAAATTATATTTAAATTAAACGACATAGTTGCTACCTGTTAAATGTTCGTTTTCTCAAATATACAAGAAATGAAAACAAGGAATGATGTGAAAAAAATGGTAATTTGATAGTTTTCAAGAATTAAGCCCTTGAGTATTTGAACCCATTCCCAAATGGACACGTTACTGCATTAAAGAATTAAAAACTGACCTGGAAAGCTCTCAAAAGAGCCATGTGATCACTGAACGTCCCTGCAGCAAATCGCTTTCGACATAACATGGAAGCCCGCTTCTGTGAAGGTTGCATTGGTAGAACAAAGGGATCTCGATAGGCCAGAGTGCAGGCAATGGTGAGAATGGGATCAAGGCACTTCAAGACTACAGCACAAAGCACCATCTTGCCCAGGTGAGGTTCCACAGGAAGATCTGCTAAATGGTAGCCTAGTTCCGTTAGGTCTTCCCAGTTATCCATGGCATCTACAGTCTAGAACAACAGATTGTGCAAAAATTATGCATGATATTTTATTTTAAAACATTCCCATTTATAGGTGCTAAATGCTTCCTACCTTGAGCATCGCAACGGCATTCCTAACAATAAGCGAAGGTGGGGGCTCCGGTGCTTTTGCAAGGAAATCTGCAATTGGACAATTGATTGGAGCCAGCAGTTTGGTATGCAAGCACAGTTCCTAGAAACACATGTATACACACACAGGTAAGTATATCAATAATCATTCACAATAGATTCAGAAAAGAAACTGCCTAAACATATTTAACCACAACTCGCATTTATATATTGCCCCTCATGCAGGGTAGCGACAGAACGCTTAATATCCTATACTTCCTACAATCCTTACAATCATTGAGAGAAGCTTTCACTCCATTAATTTCAGGTGATGGAGCCAATCAATATGAAGTGCACAAGTTTTATACTTGCAGTATATATCTTGGACATTTTTGTTTTTAGTAATATCGTTCCGACAAAAATAATTGGGCAAAAATTAGGAACTGTGCAAGTTTCAAAGATGAGTCACAAGGACACTCAAAAATAAACAGCATCACTTCATCATTTAGTCAGACATTATGGGTGGAGAATTAAAAACACTTGCAATAATCAATCACAAATCGGTATTAAGGGTGAGTGTTAATAAAGGAGGTCTGCACCTGCAGTGGCATCCGTAGTAACTCAGGAGTTTGGAACTCCAGCAGGTTTTGAAACCTTAATCTGCTAAACAGATGAAAACAGACTCCAGGTCGACAGCGTCCCGCTCTATTAAAACAAATAACCAAGAACATTACAAACACACACTCAACTTTGTTTTGGACAGAACAATTTGTTCTCAAAATTTGCCATTAGAGGGTATATTGGTAAAACAAACATTGTGTAAATCAATCAATATCAGTCAATTAATCAATTTAAGCACTTCGGGATGTCATGCTGACATGAAAGGTGGGAAATAGATGTTAATTTATATTGTATATGACGAGAAGCAGATATTAATTTAACATTTGTAACTTTTCTGCATGAATTCAAAATGAATTTAAAATGTCAGTGTCCTACACATATTTTTGACAGCAAAAAGACAATTGAAACAATTGCAAAATATTTTTCTTTCATTCATCTTATTAGATCCTTATTCCTAAGGAATGGTAACATGAACCATTCCTTAGGAGTAAGTGCAAACAAAATGTTCGCACGTAAGTCTGCCAAAAAAACTAACCCTAGAAACACAAGCAATAATTTAAAATGTTTCCTCCTTCTTGCATGGTGAATTTGTATGCCTCTGCTCACCCACAGAATTTAGGCACCTCCAATTCATTCACAGGACAATTGAAATATGATGCTCATCATGTTGACTATTGTGAGTGAAAATCTACCCTCCAAAACAACATGAAGAGTCCATTAGTGTGCCAACAGGTTAGACTATCAGTTGGCTGACTCACTAATTCATCATTATTTTTCTGTGCTCATTCACCTCCACATTAGAAGGAGGAAGAGAAAGCTGGAAAATATATAATTGAGCAACATACCAAAACATAATCTTTATTCAAATCTTCAAGACTAAAACATGACAAGTGTTACACATTCATTTTTAAAATAAAGATGTCATTCTGCAAATCAAAGCAGCTATCCAATAATTCAAGTCATTAATTAAAAAGTTTTTTTTAATTAAACAGTCATTCTTTTTTTTAACAACATCAATAAGAAATCAAATAGTGAGAGTCGAAAAAAAATTATGTATTATATGTAGAAAAGCTCAATTATTTCAGTATTAAAACATTCAAAGCCTATTTCTGGCTGCTGAGATGGATTTAAATGTTTCAAAAACACATCACAAAAATGGAGAAACCACTTTACCTTCCCTTCCTCTGGATAGCACTTGCTTTGGAAATCCACACCATTTTTAACATTGTGACATAATTCAGAGCATCAAACGACTTCTGCAAGATCAAAAACGACATTGAAACATGTCAAATGATTCCAAGTTGATGCTTGTTTAAGGACTTTCTGAAATACACAGATTAAATTGGTCACTTCAATCCACGACTGTTAGTAGGACACTGCTGTACACAGTTTCGCCCACAAAATATACAGTCAATTCACTTTACAGTATATTCTGTGAAGAGCTTTGAGACATGTCAAAATACTTGATGAGGCGCTATATCAAATACAAGGATTATTATAAACGTTACCTCTTTCACTTTGCCAGAATCGATCACAAATACCACATCATTGACAGTAATACTAGTTTCTGCAATATTTGTGGAAAGAATCTGAAATAAAAGAAAAGAATCACCATTTCTGTATATATAAGAAAGATTAATATTACAATATTAATATTAGTTTCAAACTTACTATTTTACGAATTCCACCTGGTAGAGTCTTTAACACTTTCTTTTGGTCAGATGTTTGCATGTTAGAATGAAGCATGAAAACCTGCAATCTAAAAGAAAAACAGATTATGCCTTTGCTTCAGATTTATAATAGTCATTGCATTTGTCACCTCTTTGAGATGTTTCGTCACACCGAAACATCTTAAAGAGCTTCACAGAGTTTTCTGTTAAGTGTAGTGACTGCGTATTTTACACTAATTCAGACTAAATCACACCTGCCACTTATCAATCAGCTACAACAATTTCAAATATTTTTTAAAATTCAATGGCATTGTTTCTTATAATTGCTCAGATGTTTTAGTATCCAATTTTGTTGTGGACATGTCTGCAAAATCATTTATATGCAGTGTGTTTAAAATAGTAAAGATCACAGTGGAGACCCCTAGTTTCCAATGATTTCCTTACAATCGATGGTAAAACATACGTCCTAAGCATTTATTTTGACCTTTCAAAATAATAATCCTTGCATTTGATATAGCGCTTTTCACATCTTCTCGACAAATCAAAGCGCTTCACAGAATAGACTGTAAAGTGAATTGACCGTATATTTGTGGGTGAAACGCGGCAGCCAATTGCGCACAGCAGTGTCCCACAAACAGTCGTGGATTGAAAATGACCAATTTATTATTGGTTTTTTTTGGAGGGATTATTGTTAGGCGTGTGGAGTAAGGAAACTTGCCCAAGGTTTCACTCTGACTGGAATTGAACCCAGGTGTCTCGCTTGCAAGGCGAGTGCTCTAACCACTGAGCTACAGGACTCCATGTAATGGAGGACTCCAAAGTAATGGATAATGTTAGCTATCCAGTTAGTTATCCAACTTCTTTACTTTAATAACTGCTATCCTATCTAGAACTACTGTACATCTTCTATGGGCATTCTGTCCAATCCCAAATAAAGGTTAAAAAGAACAAATATACCTCTAATATATAACGTGAATACATCTTCAGCTTTCACATAAATTGTACAAATGACACATTTTTGGAACTTACTTGTGAGAATTATCTGCAAATCTTTTGTCATCATAGAGAATACGATCACGGAGTCCTACAATTTCATCATAGCCAGGCAAAAAAATTAACACTGCACCTGCAAAAACAGGTTTAAAAAATGCACATCCATTTTAGAACACAATAATGTATTTTACAACTGAACTAGGTAACATTTAAATCCTATATAAAGTAAATATACAACGTATAAGAGTACTGTTTAACAGCAGAGAGCTTTAAGATTGCTTTCACCATCCACTTTTTTCCCCAGTCACAAACCACCTCCCAGGCCTCTCTCTATCTATTGCGCTCAGGTCAATTTTAGGAGGTGCAATAGCGTAGCTCAGCAAACTAGATACTAATTTATTTTCAACACATCATTCAAGCCTTGTCTAATGTGCCTATATTTGGAACAAAATTTTATTGCCAACTTTCTTTAACTTATGTCTAAATAGATTTGAATAGACCATAATTAGACCACCTTTATTCATTTATTGGGTGCAAGTTATTAACTGTAGTTAAAAAATATAATTTGGCATACTGAAGCATATAGATCAATAAGGTCTCAGATTTCATTCCTAGTTCTGCTGAGTTAGATGTTTCCAAAATAATGATAACCTTTACAAGTTTATTGCTATTCATTAAGACCCAATAATATTCAGGCTTGCTAGTTTCTAGACACATCTATACCTCCATATCTAATTGATGAGGCAGACAAGGTGGTCAATGGCCAATGTCTTAAAGTATTTCCTGAATTTAAGCCTTATCCATTGTATTACCTCAACAGGTGTGTAGCAGCTTATCTTAACCACAAAGCCATCTAACTGATTTCAAAGTATCAGTAGCAGTGTTACAATAAGACTATAGCGATGCCCGCCTAAAAAATGGCTAAAAAAAATTGTTTCCCCCAAGTGCTGTATACACTGACTGGGAAGGATAGTGGTACCCTCTAAACCAAGTAATAGAAGGTAAGGGGAGTGGCTGAAGATGGCCTTTTTTTAAAAAAAAAGGATTTAATGGAAAACTACATATTTTTAAAAGCAGAAGATTTTAAAACTGACATGGTTCCATTTGAACACAACAGAGCAGGCATATTCAGACATTTTTTTTTCCTGTTCATATGTATTCAGCCCAGAATAAATGGCTAAATGGACATTTATAGTTTAGATGCAGGAAATTCAGATCAGAAAGGTGAAATTGCATTGTATAAAGTTAAGCACAATGAATAATAAACTGAATTTTAAAATAGAGATTCAAAGACATTTTCAAATACAATATCTATTTACCATCATCAGAGCTCTGAAAGATGTTATAAAGAAGATGCATTATTAGATCAAGGTCAACTTTCTCATCATCAAAGCTGTGGTGGTAAACACTTAGAATCTCTTTTTCTTCTTGACTCAGCTCTCCACCGTCTGATTGTACCAGAATGCTCTCATCCAAATTTCCTACTTCCACTGCAGAGCTTTTGCACAAAATGAGAAGAAAACATTATGAGCTGCTTAGTATTATAAACGTTAAATATTATTGAAACCACAGCATATTTCACATCTTGTACTTGTGTCAGTTGGAACTTGGTGGCATAGATCTTTTCACATTGTGTGTATCTGAAAGTATAATACAATAGAAAGCTGCAGAACTTTACACTAATTATCCATATGTCACATTATATGCACTGAGCTCTAAAGTAGAAGTGAGACCGACAAAACAAAATGTTAGTTGCCGCATGCAGCACAGGTCCCTTGATACACTCGCACTATCACTGCTCTTACTTGGACGCTGGCTGGCTTGAGTATAAGATGTTACACTGGAAGACAATTCTCTTTCAAGGTCGTAGCTAAAGCACATTATTGGGATGGATAGGGAAATGAGAGGAGTTTGTTGCTAATGCTATAGGTATGAAAGCAGGAAAGTGATCCATTTCCCAATACCAACATTCATTACTTTTTTTTAAAAAATTAATCCCCAAAAGGGAAGAAAAACCATCTCAAAACAAAGATATTTTTGAATATATATTTATGTAGCAATGACTAATTTTCCTCAATTACTACTTCTGTACTTACTTGAAGGATTCTAGAAGATCTACAATGTCAGACTGGCCAAAGCGTTTAGCCCAGTCCAAAGCTGTCCTAGAAATAGTCAATGAAAGATATGTAATTTACATAATTGAAATAATGAAACAAAGTTCTGTAGATTTAGCTTCATGTTTTTTTCTACCAAAGTATTTTAACTTTTTAAAAGTCAAAGCCTTTCAATGTACTTTCATTAAAGGACGCGCTGTTTCAAAATCGCAATGTAAGCAGCGATTCACAACAAAGTAAAAAGTCCAATTTGCACTCGATCTGTAATCAATTCAAATAAATATCATGGACTCTGGGTGTCTTGTCTAGCTGATTAAGACCTATAATACTCTTGCGCACCAGGCTCCATGACCCCATCACTCCCACCCTTGCCCGACTCCATCCTTCAAAGGATTGAATTCAAGATCCTCGTCTTAACTTTCAAGGCCATCCATGGCCTTTGCCCCCTTCTACTCTCTGACCTGCTGACTCCCTACCAACCTACCCGCTCCCTCCATTCAGCGGGCTCCGGCCTGCTCCATATCTTCTACCCGACCCGCCCTCCCACGAAAGGCGCTCTATAAATGTAATTTGTTGTTGTTGTACTAGTAACAGGTTTTAAAATGGTAAATTTACGCTAGATTACATAAAACATATTTAAGAGAATTTATTTTTAAGTAGAGTTCAAATTCATTTGTATCCACTGATGCACTGCCAAAATGACCAGCTCAGCGCGATCTCACCCACTGGCCTTAATCACACCTTTGTTTTTTGCATCACACTATTCAACTCCAATTAATATTTTGCTAATCAGAGTAATTCACAAGCAGCATGGTATAAGTAAATATTCTTACCAGCCATTTGAAGCCTTAACACTGACATTTGCTCCCATGCTGAGTAGCTGTTCTACTTGACTGAGGAAGCCTCTGCCCGCAGCTATCATCAGTGGAGCAGCACTGGTTTCACTGTGTCTATAATCAACTGAACACAAAAATACACTTTTGGCATAGTTATAGAATTGTGAAAGCACCCAGATTCCAGCTATGTTATGCATGTCATCAAAAATAAGTATAACAGTTAAACCTTCAATAAGGTACTCAATACATCAATTCTTCTTATTCACCAATTTTAAAAGAACTATCAAATTAAAAATTATATTTTACCAAAAGAAATCATAGTATGCAGAGCTAACTCACCGCTGACATTTTCACTTAAAATAAGATGAAACAGTTGGGCAAAAGCATCAATATCTTTACGCAGCCAGATATCTGAGAGACAGGCATCCATTTCCTTTACAAGCCAAGGTTCAAGTGAGTTAACATCTTTTTCATTCTGTGAAGCAAACCAAAATAAATGAAGAAAACTCTTTTATGATTAAAAGTACAAGTGTGTGAACTAAAGGCAGAAACAAATTCACCGTGGCCACTCTGTGATGCAGTTTTGAAAATTTAATACAAACTTATACATCCTAATGTATACATTCCAATGTATCGGGAAAGTAGAACAACAACAAATTACAATTGATTAGAGGCCTTCACATCAGAAAGACGTCCCAGGGTGCTGGATAGTCAGGAGATTTTGGACCTGAGCTGGGATTTGGGGTCAGGAGGAGTGGACAGCAGGGAGGGTGGCCAAAGGTACCATCGAAGAGGAAGGTCTTTAACCGGGACTTGAAGAAAGCAAGAGAGGGGATGAGGCGGACGGATTCCGGGATAGAGTTCCAGAGTGTGGGGGCAGAGATGCTGAATGCCCAACCGTCAATGATGGGGCGGGAAGTGCAGGGGACCTGAAGCAGACCAGTGTCCGCCAAGTAAAGGGAGAGTACAGGCTGATATGGCGTTAGGAGGTTGGAGAGGTAGGGGGAACCAAGACGGTGGAGCACTTTGAAGGTAAGATCAAGGGTTTTGCACTCAATTCTCTGAGGGATGGGGAGCGGGTGAAGCCGGTAAGAACGGAGGCAACCGGTTCACGGTAAGTTGGATCTCCTTAGCGACAGGATGGCTCCAAGATGAGAAGCCTAACAATAAGAGAGCATTGCTAAGTAATAGTGAACATGGCGATCAGTTTCCTGAGTTAAGCAGATTTGCATTACACATGGGCACTGTTGATGATCGAAGAGAACAGTTAAGACAAGAAATGACTGGAGAAGGGCAACCCAGAGCAGTCTCTGAAACATGGAATTCAGGGTTCAAAGTTAATATCTGCATTGTGTTGTTAAGTCAGGGAAGGCCTGAACATCTTTCAACAGAGCCACCACTAGATACAAGTCAAATAGAACCTTCAACTAGAAGATGTGAATGAATTCCAATCGTGACTGGTGTTTCTCGTGGATAAAAAAAAACTTCCACAGGACCTTTCATATAGCAGAAAGTACTTCACAGAAATGATAGGATCCACCAAGCAGGGAGGAGAGTTAGGAGAATTTATTAGTGTTGACCGAATGTACACAAAAAGATTTTTTTTAAAGAGGATTTGAAGTCAGAGAGAAAAAGAAAGAAAATTTGGGGAAGAATTTTGGACTGCAGAGCTTTAGTGGCTAAAGACTCCATCATCAATGGTAAAGCAAAGGGAGTGCAGAACATGTAGGGATTGAGATGGAAAAGCAGAAAGCATAGGCAAGAAAATAGGGCTGGAGAGATAAGTAGGGAGGCACCCTGACAAGGATGGTGTTATTGGGGGTACAGAGATTAGTATGGGAGAGAATACCTGCTGTAGTTTTCAACTAATGTGGAGCTAGTGTGGGTGGGAGGAGGGGGTGGAGCTAGGAAGGCGAGTGAAGAGAGCATTGGAGAATGCAAGTACAATGGGTTTCAGCAACCAAAAGAGTGAAATTATGGACGCAAAAGGTGATGGAAGAAACTGTTTTTTGTCAATATCTGACATAGTGTTCTTTTTTTGGTCCACCGGGGGTCAACAACATGTGGAAAACCATCACCAAGCATAAAAGTCAACATTTTGGTCAAGGAGTAGATAAATGTCTCATCCTAGACATTTGCAGCTCATCTCTTCTCTAGCTGACCAAGAATTAATAAAAATGTCTGCAAACTGATTTTTTTAAATGTGTATATAAGATGGTCAGTCTAAGCTCGCAAACAAAGTGTAGTAGGTCAAATTGGAAAATCACAGAACAGAAAATGACAAAACTACAAAAGGTATCACGATTTGAAAAGTTGAAAATGTAATTAGTTAAATTACCAGTTGACTGAATACACTGTCTCCACCATCATCGAGCAAATCATTTTCTGCCATTAGGTTTGGAATAAATCTTTGCCTTTGGGACTCTGATCTGCTACTCTCCTTAGCTTTATACCACTCACTCAGGTTTGTTTGTTGCTTCTCCTCTGAGAAAATAAAGCATAATCAATTAATTATTCTTAACAAATAAACTACTTTTAACTTACAAAGGAAATATATTCTGGAAAACAATTTTCCTTAAAGTTTAGTGAAATGCTAACTCCTACAAATGAGTGATTTTTTGGCAGTCATGCGTCCACATTTTAACTGGGGACATTTAACAATCGGAAGCGATCAGCTGAGCTCACATATTAAGCCTAAGTTTGTTGGCAATCAGCTTTTAAAAGCACGGACTTGCACTGATCGCACCATAAATACTGGCAATGTGAACTCTATATTCTAGAATGGGTTATTTTTCACGTGTGTGCTAGTTATTTGCTATAATGCAGACTACCACTAGTTCTAGATACTCTAATAATTAGATCATGTAAAATTATTCTCACCTATCCCCCATTTTTAAAAGTTTAGTTGCTGAAGTGTTTAGATCATAATAATAATCCTTGCATTTAACGAATCGCCTTTCACATTGGACAACGTCTCAAAGTGCTTCACTACTGTAAAGTTTAGTCATTGTGTATTTTGCAAGCAAACATGGCAGCCAATTTCCACACTTAATGTCCCACAAATAGCTATGAGCTGACAACCAATTTTATCCCTGGGATCATTGGCCAGGACATTTCTCTTTAGAATAGTGCCATGGAATCTTTCATATCCACTTGAACTAGCAGAACAGACCTCAGTTTATATCTCAGCCAAAGGTCGGCACCAACGATACAGTGCTTCCCCAGCACAGTATCAAGGGAGTATCAGTTTAGACTGAGTTCTAAGTCTCAACATGGGACCTGAACTCACAACTTTCTGATTGAGAGGCAAGAGTGCCACCAACAGAGCCAGGCAGATATCTAAAGTTCAGTCATTCCACATAACATGGGGTTTAATCAAAGGTATTACATTTTAAAATAAAGTGGCAACAAAGACTCTGTGATGCAAGGATGAGGGCTATTTGAACTCACCTCGTTGTTTCTCTTTTTTGTATTTGGACATTTCTTTGTTTGTGTATCCAGTAGAACGTAGGATGTCTTCTAAAAAGAGTTCCTTTACTTCAAATGGCCGTCCTTGAACTTATAAAAAAAAAAGCACCAAATATTAAAATACAAAGTTCAATCTATTATGCTCTAAAGTATTTGAGGTCCACTCTGTAAATTATACACACATTCTGTAAATACACATTTTTCCTTATCCCTTTATGATTTTTTCTAGGTCAGGCGAGTGGTTGACATGTGGAAACCCATCACCACGATGAAGAATATCCAAACCAGACAGAGTTCCACGTGAGCGAGCCATCTACACTTTATTTCTGTGTCTGAAATGAAATGTGGACTCTCTCCCCAGACAGATGCACCCTGCTAACCTAATTACGGAAAGTATTTGGCACAGGTTGACAAGAGTTAAGTCTTAGAGTCCCCAAGTTCAACCAACTAAAACCACATTGCTTGCCAGTGAGAGCAGTCTGGCAAGCTTCCCACCACTTGTCCATCTAGTACAACACCCTACCAGTAAATATTTTAGCTTACAGGGTTAATAGGAGCCAAATGGGATGAATCTCTGTCCCTACCATGCTGGCTAGACTGGTAAGGCACTGCAGATCCCCTGGCTCTCGAACCAAATCGCTGAGACCATCACAGAGAGTCAACTCGGTTCCATTACATTCTGTTGCCATACAACACCCTACCAGTAAATATTTTAGCTTACAGGGTTAATAGGAGCCAAATGGGATGAATCTCTGTCCCTACCATGCTGGCTAGACTGGTAAGGCACTGCAGATCCACTGGCTCTCGAACCAAATCGCTGAGACCATCACAGAGAGTCAACTCGGTTCCATTACATTCTGTTGCCATACAAGTCACTTGAAGCCAGTTCAGCTGCAAGGAGACCCCAATTACTAATATTTCCTCTCCTGGCAAGTATCTGGGGAGGGATTTTAATTTCTGTACACCTAACCCCCAAGTTAGCTCTCAATAGATGTTTTTATTCTATGAAAATACTGCTTCACTGAAATGCTTGTGAAACAATTATATGTGATATAATTCATCTTTCTCCCTTGGCAAAGCAAATATCACAAAAGAAAACTTACCTAAAGGCAGACTGACAGTGAACAGATATTGAAGATCAGTTTTCACTTACTGTAAATGATCGGGCAGCCAGTAAAGTATCTGACAAAGAGATTAACATCCAGAGCTGCACTAGAGAGAACAAGCCTAAGACATGGGTGTTTCTGGATCAGGTCCCTCAGCTTCGTCAATAAGAAATCACTAAAGCAGTCCCGCTCATGCACTTCATCCTGTCACAAATGAAATAGGAGGAAAAAGGATGTTTTCTTAAGTGTTTTTACTGTATTTAATAAAATAAATATAATACAGTATCCAAGTCAGCTAGACAGTGTACAACCTGAATATTAATCACTACTATTAACTCTACTCATTTGATTCAGGAGGTGAATAAACTCAAAATCTCCCAGAAAGAGAAGGCTACATTTTTAAATGAATTAAAGTACAGTAATGGAAGTAGGTTTCATCTTTTTGTTTCATACTATTTTGTTTCCTCAAATAAACAAAAAAACCCTGCTACTTTCTGATCAGTTCACGGACTTTCGATATTGCAACTACCTAAAGAAACCGCCTTCAGAATGTTCACCCACAAAATATAGTCACTCCACTCTCCAAAATATCCTGCAAAGCAGTTTGAGACATCCTCCTGATGTGAAAAGCACTATATCAAATGAAAGGTATTTTTTAAACCAATGAAATCAGTGATATTGTGTTTTGCTGTGAGTGATTATGCTAAGGAACCAAGTCAAAGAAATGACATTTGAGATGCCTAAGCCCAGGTATGGTCCCCCATACATGTGGAACTTCAGGAGACATCATCCGCAGACATGGGGTAAATTTCCACATGTATGCGGATGACACCCAACTCTATCTCTCTGCCTCCACCCTCAACTCCAGGATTACTGGCATCCTGACCGACTGCCTGTCTGACATCAAGTCCTGGATGAGAGACAACTTTCTCCAACTCAACGTCAGCAAGACCAAGGCCCTCCTGATTGGCTCACGCCAGCGCCTCTGCACCTCGGGTGCTGGCAGCATCAGCCTCCACGGCTGCACACTCAACCTCACTAAGTCAGTCAAGAACCTGGGTGTCTTGTTTGACCCTGAAGCGTCCTTTCTCCCCCACATCCGCGCCATGACTGGCACTGCCTACCACCACCGCCTACCACCACCTCCGCAACATTGCCAGACTCCGCCATTGCCTCACCCCTCAGGCTGCCGAAACCCTCACCCACGCATTCGTCACCTCAAGGCTCGATTATAGGAACTCCCTCCTCATCGGCCTTCCCAACTCTTCCCTTCACAAGCTGCAGATCATCCAAAACTCTGCAGCTCGTGTACTCTCGCACACCAGGCTCCACGACCCCATCACTCCCACCCTCGCCCGACTCCACTGGCTCCCCATCCCCCAGAGGATCGAGTTCAAGATCCTCGTCCTCACTTTCAAGGCTATCCATGACCTTGCCCCCTCCTACGTCTCTGAACTGCTGATTCCCTTCCAACCTGCCCGCTCCCTCCTTTCAGCGGGCTCCGGTCTGCTCCATGTCTCCCGCCCGACCCGCCTTACCATCGGTGGCCGGGCTTTCAGCCTCTCTGCCCCCACACTCTGGAACTCCATCCCACAGTGCCTTTGCCTCGCTTCCTCCCTTGCCTCCTTCAAGGCCGGTCTCAAGACCCTGCCTTCCCTCACCCCTACACCACCCCACCCACATGCTCGGGCCCTGACACCTGACTGTTCAGCGCATTGGGACATCCTCCCGACGTGAAAGCCGCTCTATAAATGTAATTTTGTTGTTGTTGTTGTATGCTTGACTGGTTACAAGTGGATTTGATGGCAAATAAAACATCCAATGACTTTCTTGCTCCTGTGACTGAAATCATATTTAATCTGCATGTGATGCAGCCAATGATTTTCCTGTTTCTGATGTCATAAACAAGCTGCAGCCTTCTAATAACTCGTCCACAAAGCGACATCCAGTAAACTAACCGCAATGGGAATGGCAAGTGGCTTGAGTATTTGGGGTAAGTAAGTGATCGGAAACTGCTTCACATGGTGGATAATGACGAAGGTCATCTAAAAGAATCATTACATTAGAATATACAGCACAGAAACAGGCCATTCGGCCGAACTGGTCTTTGCCGGTGTTTATGCTCCACATGAGCCGCCTCCTGCCCTTCCTCAACTAAGCCTTCAAGCATAACCTTCTATTCTTTTCTCCCTCATGTACCTATTTAGCTTTCCCTTAACTACATCTATGCTATTTGCCTCAACAACTCCTTGTGGTCGCATGTTCCACATTCCCACTACTCTCTGTGTGAAGAAATTTCTTCTAACTTCCCTATTTGATTTATTTGTGACTATTTTGTATTGATGGCCCCTGGTTTTAGTCTTGAAATCATTTTTCTATTGTATCAAACTAGGTCAAAGGCAACAACTGATGAAAGATGCAGATTCATAAAGTTATGCACAGGGTAATGAGAATATATAGTTAGAACAGATTACCAGGAAGGATAGCTGATACCATGTTATTAAGAAACAACTTGATGCTATATTTGGAAGAGGATAAGATTGGTATTCGAGGAGAATGAGATCCAGTTGACCAAAGTGACTTCATTTAAACCTCTTTCGCGATCTGAAGACTCTGGAGAAAGTGTGTTGCTGGGCTAGTATAACTGATGGAATATGTAAGGCAAATAGAAAGACTTAATTGCTCTGTCCAGCTAACAGAAGGTGGCATGACAGGAGGCGTGCACTATAGGACAATACTGTTACAATGAAATTGTCTGGTTCCATAAGATCAGACCCTCCACCTCCAGTTAAAATGCAGCAGGAAAAGTGGCTTATTTTTGAGATATGAAGCAAGAGTCCAGTCATTGAGCCACCTGCTTGCTCTTTCATAACATTTCAGAATCGCCTGATATGGAAGTTCTACACAACGTGAAGCAGAACTGTTCTTAGCCCCTAGTAAAATCCTTGAGCACAGGTAATCTAAATCGAGTGACTCAGGCCTAATTCCTTTCCAACTGGATACCACTGAGCAGAATTAACATGAGCTTTGAAGTCAATTTAGCCAGTAACAGCAATTCCACGATGTTACCAATGGAGGGGGCTACTATCCTTTGTATCACTTCTTCAGGACAGAAAAATCACTTTCATGTGCCTCGACAAATGCACAGCAGTATCATAGTGCAACATGGTTTCTTTTCAAAATTATAATGACAGCTTCTGAGCTTGGGAAAGTATAAGATCCAATTGAGTAGTCAACCACTCTCATATGTGCCAAGATAGATTAGAACACCAAAGCAGTGCATCACCAGGAAACATTGTAAACAACAACAAGATTACATTTGTATAGCATTCCAAAAGCAAATTTTCAAAATGCTTCTCCAAACATTAAAAATATATATCAATAAATTATGGCGGAAGAGGTTCAGATGATACAGTATTATTTGTAAAATCTTGAGAAGCAAAATTTTGAATTATTTTGCCTTGCAACTGTGTAATTGGCTGCCGTGTTTCGCCCACAAATATACTGTCAATTCACTTTACAGCATATTCTGTGAAGCGCTTTGAGAGGACAAGAAGACTTGAAAAGCACTATATCAAATGCAAGGATTATTATTATTATTATATTTAACATTCAGGTACCCATTTATTTATGTTCAGGTACAAATGGATTTAAAGAAAATACTTCTGAGAAGCTAATAAACTTACCACTATTACATGTGTCACAGCTGCTAAGGTACTGTCTCCAGCCATTAATGTTCGCAGTAGTACACCATTAGTACAGAATATCAGTGATGTCTTAGGAGAAACTCTAAACAAAAAAAATCGTATTAGCATGGCTTGAATATCAAATGTACCTTTGTAGTAAGTGGATTTATTCATTTATACCTGCTCTCCAGTCGAATCTGATAACCAATGGTCTGTCCAATCTTTTCGCCCCTCTCTGCAGCAACCCTTTCTGCCACAGCAATAGCAGCCAGTCGCCTTGGCTGAGTGCAAAATATACGGCAGGGTATTCCATTCTTGTAGCAGTCATCCAAAAGAAATTGGGGGATCTGAAAATGCCAGGGTTAAATTAACAGATCTACTTTGATATTAGAAATAAACTCAAAACAAATCTACATGCGCAAACTGCAGAACCATCAGATTGTGTGTTAATCACATTCTTATATGTATTTTTTCCATTTTGTAGATAAACTTTTGAACGTTAGCCCCATTGTTGGCTGTAGCAAAATGAGCAAATAAGCAACCAAAGAGGGATACGGTACATGTTAAAAAAAATTGGTCAAACCCCATATGGAATGGGTGGAGTTCCCATGATCTTATCACAAGAAGAATGTTTCTGCCCTTTAAAAAGTGAGTAATGAGTAACATTGGGTGCATGATCCTTTGTGCTGACAGGTATATACTGACTGGGTGCCAACGGATTATGTGACTGAAAAACGTACATGAAATAAACAACCACAGGAATAAAACTACTCAGAAATGAAGGGTTTTAATTATATTAACATTACAATATAAAAAAATGAAATAAACGTTTTCAAGCCTTTAGCTATAAACAATCTATTCACTTCCCTGGCCTCTATACCTTTGGGATGCGGTTTACTATGTTTAAAACTCTTCATGAACTTTTCTTTTTCTTCACAGCTTCTTTATTACATTCGGAAGGTGGAAGCAACTTTTTTTAACAAAATAAAATAATTTTCACAGCAAGTCTGGTAGATCAATTTTACTGCCAATCACATGATACAATCTAGAATATTGATTAATTCATATCATAGATGTGGTCTCATCAATCTCTAATTTGGAATTCCAGATGAAAGTCCAGAATAGGGGCTGTGAATACCAATTAGTTTAAATCTCAGCTGGAGTGCCACAATTGGTCTTGGTACCCCTGGTGAGAAAGGTAAAATTACTCATGGTTCCCACTGCTAAACGCTGTTCTGCTGGACATGAACAATAACTACTTGTATCCTCCTAGATGCCCATTTAAATGTTTTCCACCAGAATGAAAAGAAATAAAAATTCTTCAGTAGAAAAGGGAGAAAATTAGAGAAAATTTAGTAACTGGAGAAAATAAATTGGGAAGAAGCAAGAAACATAGTTATAAGGAGAAGTTGAATATAATACAGTAGAATCTAATTATAATGCAGTCCTCTGTGTCCAATAGGTCAGAAGCAACATTATAAACAAACCGCAAAGACTACCAAATTTCAGGCGATCAGATCGCGAATGATATCACTTCCTGCACTCTGCACAAGGGCACAATAAGCGCTACCAATGTCACTTCCTTCACAAACTTTCTGGGCACAGAATGCATGTTCAATGTGCAGGATGAAACTTCAGCAACACTTTATGTGCTTATTGCACATCATTCAGGAAGTGATTTCAGGGGTAACCTTAAAGACTCAGAAAGCAGTATTTTTTTTAGCAAACTAGTCAACACTGGAAGACAGGTGAAATCCACTGAGCACAGATCCAGACAACACATGCGCAATAAGCGAGTCTGTACTATATGGGGTCGTGGGGGGATGTATAATAACTATTTCCCCACTATGTTGAAGGCAAATTCAGTTTCATAAACAAACAGCATCCGCATAGAAAGAAAAAAAAATGAAAATACAGTAATTGCCGAACTGAACAATATGCTGAATGAAAATATGGCAGTGCACGGCAAACTGAATCATCTCTATGGTAAGACTCTTAGCGTTGCTAAAAAAAAAAATCCACCTCAGTCTAGTTTGAGTAGGATATGACAGATAATACTAATTCACTTTGAACGTAAAACAAATGCAGAATCAGTAATGAGAAAGCAATCAGCCCCCTCCCTCCCTCTCTCTCCCTCCCTCCCTCCCTCCCTCCCTCTCTCCCCCCCCCCTTCCTCCCTCCCTCCCTCTCTCCCTCCCCCTTTTTTCAGTAATAGGAATCCATGACTTTAAATTTGGGAACTACAAACCCACATGAAGCACAACAATAGTGAGGTTTGCGGGACAAACAACTCGCGTTTTACACGATCGTCAGTCACGGCGGCTGTGATGTGACCGCATGACACGGCGCGCGCTGTTACTGCACCACATGGCCGCTTTGAGACCTGCACCAGCCATGGAGTTTGGACCTGAGTGAGTGAGTGAGTGAGTGAGTGAAGTTGCATTCAAAAAACCGCTTCTTCCCTCCTCGGCTCAAACCCCCGGGGGCTGATCGGAGCCCCGTGTTTGCGGGGAGAAACCTGCCCCTCGGCCCTGTTGGCAGTGCCCCCCCCCCCCCCCGGCCTGAGCCACGGGAGGGCTGTGAGATGTCAGAAGCCAACACCCTGCAGAAAGCCATTGAGATCGTGACTAAGGCCACGGAGGAGGACTATGCCCAGCACTACGAGGAGGCTTTGCGGCTGTACCTACACGCCGTCGAGTATTTCCTACATGTCATCAAGTACGAGGCTCCGGGCGGGAAAGCGAAGGACAGCATCCGCGTCAAATGCCAACAGTACATGGACCGCGCCGAGCAGCTCAAGGGCTACTTGAAACGCCGGGCCGGGCCGGGCCGGGCGGCGGGGAGAGAGGGGCCGCAGGCGGACGGCGGGAGCCACAGCGACGGCCACAGCGACAACGAGGAGAACTCGGAGAAGAAGAAGCTGCTGCAGCAGTTGGCGGACGTGATCCTGGTGGAGAAGCCCGACGTGCGGTGGGCCGATGTGGCGGGGCTGGAGTCGGCGAAGGAGGCGCTGAAAGAAGCTGCCATTTTACCCGTCAAGTTCCCTCACCTCTTCACGGGCAAGAGGACCCCTTGGCGTGGGATCCTGCTCTTTGGACCTTCCGGGACCGGGAAGTCCTACCTGGCCAAGGCCGTGGCCACCGAGGCCAACAACTCCACCTTCTTCTCCGTCTCTTCGTCGGACCTCGTGTCCAAGTGGTTGGGGGAGAGCGAGAAGCTGGTGAAGAACTTGTTCGCGTTGGCGCGGCAGCACAAACCCTCCATCATATTTATCGACGAGGTGGACTCCCTGTGCGGATCCAGGAGCGAAAGGGAGAGCGAGTCTGCGAGGCGCATTAAGACGGAATTCCTGGTGCAGATGCAGGGCGTCGGGAACAGCAACGACGGCATCTTGGTTCTGGGGGCCACAAACATCCCCTGGGTGTTGGATTCGGCTATTAGGAGGAGGTTTGAGAAGCGGATTTACATCGCATTGCCGGAAGAACTTGCCCGAATCCAAATGTTTAAGCTGAACATGGGAAGCACTGCTCACACGCTGACTCATCCGGACTTCCAAGAACTTGGGAGGAAAAGCGCTGGATATTCTGGGGCTGATATCACTATCATTGTACGTGAGGCTTTAATGGAGCCGGTCCGTAAGGTGCAAACCGCAACACATTTTAAACAGGTTTCTGGCCCATCCAGAACCAATCCTCATGACACAGTCCATGATCTTCTAACCCCGTGTTCTCCCGGTGACCCAAATGCAATGGAGATGACGTGGATGGAAGTTCCCAGTGACAAACTTATAGAGCCGCCTGTTAAAATGTCTGACATGCTTTCTTCCCTATCGACCACAAGGCCCACTGTCAATGAAGAGGACCTTAAGAAATTAAAGAAATTCACAAAGGAGTTTGGTCAGGAAGGCTGAGGACCTGGCAAGGTTTATCACGATGGCTTGATGGGACTTCATTCAGCTGATTTCAAGTCATCTAACCAAACTAATACAGTCCCACAACCCAAACTGAGACTGTCTGGAAATAGAGCAGACGTCCTCAAGATTCAATAAAGAAAGGCAGAATAGTAGAGTGCTGCTATTAGCTATGCTCATTATAAATAAAATCTGAATTGTGTGCTTTGCTGAACATGTTTTTATTGTGATACCCATTAGCACAATCTTGCCAAACAGAGCAATTACAAGGGCAGAAATGTTACTGAATTAACTGGAATTTTGCACAGGCTGTAAACTCCCAACAGGAGGTAAAATAAAGAATGGAATCAATCTGTTTCCATATTCCTATCAAGAGTTGCAGAGATTACGTGGTCGTCTTCTGCTTAATCAACAAATTAAATGAATGAAAATATTTTGATAATCGCAGGTTCACAATGAAAAGTGGTTTAACCACAATTGCACAGGGAAATTGAAACTTGGCACATGTTTGTTGCCCATGTGAATTTAAGAACAGCACTAATTTATCAAAACCAGTTAAAAAAAATATGCTTTTTTAAAAACGCGGCTGACATCACACCAAAAAAAACCCAAAAGTACCATACAAACTTTATCTGAATATTTTCGTATAAACTATACAATAAAATTAGTAAATACAAATCAATAAATGTAATAAACCTAGAGTCACAAATACAGTGGAATCCACTTTAGCCGGATGTATCGGGGCAGGGAGTTTTGTCCGATTTACCTGGCATCCGCTAACCCAAGCGCTTACTTTTCACTTCCCGCCATCTACTCTGCTGAGCGCCTCTTCCCTCCCGTTGCTGTTTACATTGGATGGGAAAGGGACCAATTAGCGTTGGTTCCAGAAGGTGTCAACCACCTCGGAGCTGCCACTCGTCCCCGTCCACCAGATGAGGTCACTGCCCCCCACCTCCACCCCACCCATCCCCGAGCTGCTTGTGAATGGCTGTCAATCACAATATGACTCCTCCCATTTCCATCCAGGTGCTGCTCATGGCTGAATGGAGCCGCGAGTGAAGACATTCAGCAGCGACCAGTGCGGCATTTTGCCCATATTAACCGGATTTTCGCCTGAATTAACAGTCATATTCAAAACGGGTAAGAATACAAATGAATTGGGACCAGGCATTTCATCCAATTCACAGCAGGGTTTCAAGCAGATTCCACTAAAAATTCCAGTAAATCTCACATACGTCATATCAGTCAGGACCAAACATTTAATATGACTTACACAAAGTAAAAGCTTCAGGCAAACATGCATAAATCGTATCATCCAGCCATTAAGTGTTCATGCAGCAACTGGCTAAAACTTATTTCTTGCGCTTGTTTAAAACGGAACACTGCTTATGCATACTTCAGTGCAGGCGGTAAGTCTGGTAGCTGCATTACGAGTTAGGAGATGATTTGCATTGGATGTAGGATTATTTGGGACCAAGAAACCTTTATGATTTAGCCATTTATACACCTTATAAAATATAACTAGTGCAAAGAAATCCAAGCGTATTTTGGAAGGAACCTGAATGGGACTCGGGTGCATGTACAACTTAGGCAATTACACAATTCGTACAGAGACAATTTATGTGAGTTTTACTGTATACATTATTAATATAAGAGTAGAGATGGGTCAAACCTGTGTAGTTTTTCCAGATCCTGTTTCTCCAACTATTAAAACCACTCTGTTGTCTTTAATGATTTTTACTGTTTCATCTTGTTTTTCAAAGACGGGTAAAGACTGTCTAAAGGCATCCAATTCAGATTCTCCTCGTTTGGGTGGAACTTGAGGAATGCCATTGTTGAGTCTACCACTTGTCCTATTCATTTCTCGGTTATTTTCTGTGGAATGCATAAAGCTTAATCAAGGTACAAATTTGAAAGTCAACGCAATACCTATTTATGGCATATTTAACAGATGTGAAAATATGAAATAATTTATGTACTGAACCAGGAACATTGGTACAACTAGCTATGACAAGTTTAAGCACAATTTCTCATCAGGAATTCAGACTCCAAACTCCAGCCTCCAGACTCATTAATGTAACCACATTTCTATGTTGAAAATAAGTCTTAAAAACAATCCATAAACAGCAAATAATAGTTATGTAGTAAAATCATTGCATTTTAATCCTAAGGCAAAACAGTGCATATTTTTGCCCCAAAGACAGCAACATTTAGTTCAGAAATGTAATATTATTTTTTATATTATTGTGTAAATTGCATGTCATTTTACATTTTACTTTTGCATAGCAGTTTGATTTGTGATAATTCTGCATCTGTTTGTAAACAGTACAATTTTGGACTAGACTATTGCACATAGTCAAAATGCAAGTTCGATACAGATCTTTTCATTTTTGGCTTGTGATGTGGAGGCATTAATTATTAAGATTTGTAATGATATTCATAAGCAATACATTTAAAAAATCAGAAATTCCAAGTCTTGATCCCATCTCATGCCTTATTTGATTTTGGATTTGAGGACAACCCGCTGTAATGTGAGAAACATTTTGGAGGGATATTTCCACCATTAAAGATGTTTTAAAAAAGTACCAATATGTATTAAATCTACAAAAACTCAATACATTTTTTAAAAATGCCTACCTGGTTCAACAGTTAATGCATTCCCACGTTCAGTCTTAGGTAAAAGATCTGTGCGTTCCTTATTGGTTACAGGAAACCTCTGAATTAGATTGTGTATGGCATGTTTCATACTGTGAGTTAAAGTGCAGGTCATGACAGTGTGGGCCATCTCAGAGCCATCTTTTTTCTTTATAGTGAGGAATCTATGTGCTCCTTTTCTGAAAAAAAAATCAGTGACTTTTCATTTCTTTGAAAATTTTACAAGACAAAAGGCTAGAGATAAAAGAGCAGTCTGGCTCAGTTTGTAGCACATCTATTAGAAGGTTGTGGGTTCAAGCTCTACGTTATGACTTGGAACTCACAGTCTAGCCTTGATACTCCAATACAGTGCCGGAGGTGTCCTGCATCGTTTTAAGTACCACTAACCCAAGATCCCATCAGGCTGTTCAGGTGGACATTAAAGATCCTATAGTAGTACTACTCAAAACAAGAAGGAGAATCACGAGAATCCCTGTGTCTTGGCCAAGAATCCCCTAAATAAATTTGTTTGACAGCTGTGTGATATTAAGCTACCGCATTTTCTTACCGATACGGTAAAGCCTGTGAAGTGCTTTGAGACACCCTCCAAACTTGAAAAACACTAAGCTAAAGGCCATTATTATTATTAATAATGATAATAAAGATTTTTTTATAAAGAAACTTTTAAAACAATTTCCAATCATTGCTCACAAATATTGAAAGTCACAAGTGTTCAAAAATTGTACTTCATGACTTTGAGCTGGCCATAGAGCAAAGAGGTTTCCTCCAGCCAATTTGTGAAGGCCCAGACCAGGCACTGAAGTGAATTTTTGGCAATGGGAGAAGTAGCTTCCGAGATAGAAAAATTGTTCTACTGAGCAAAGCAGATTCAAAGAAATGAAGGAAAATCACTTCTCCCAAACTATGTGTGCCTCAGCATTTGCACTAATGGAGAGAAAACTAATGCACATAAACATCACCAGTTTGCAACTCACCCTTTGCTTTTCGAAATCAGGCCAAGGGACTGGGCAAGGCGATGAATAAAGGCTCTTTCCGTACTGGTGAGGGAAGATGGAAATTCCATTTCTAGGAAAAAGAAAATGGATGTTATCCCCAAAGATAATACTATCTTGAATGAATCTGATATAAATCAAATGTAGAATTATGAGGCTTCACCTCAATTTACTTTCAAGTCATCAACCAACTTGGCAAATACCTAAACTAACCATAGGATTTGTACAATTTTCAATATACATCTTGTGATCAATCCAGGTAGCTAATGTATGAAATTGGAAAAATAAAATGCTTTAACATCAAATGGAGCTTGAAAATAGTAAATTGTCCAACTTGAACTTGAATCAATAGAATCAGAATTGACTGGTGCACATAATCACAACATTCTTGTTTTCCTCGGTTGCCCAGTTTTCAACAAATAAATAGGGTAAAGTATTCAATAAAACCTTAACTTAACAATTTGAACACATAAACATTTTCTGTCTCAGTCTTGAGCATCTTAGCTCTTAATACTCTAAAATAAATACACTCTAAAATAAATAGAATTGAACCAGAATAAAGGGATGAATGGACACATACAGACAACGACCAGCAAAAGAAACAAAAAACACAATTCTGCCCCAGCAATATTAGGAATTATATAGTTTAAAAATAGACAATAGTTATTTCTTGGTAGGAATCTGCTCAGGATTCAAAGTTCTGGATGTCACTGCACAGATATCTCAAGTATAATAAGCGTTTCACAGGATATATTGTAAAGTGGACTGACTATATTTTATAGGTGAAACTTAATGATGTACAAACACAGTTCCTCGTCACTGTCCAACTTTTTTGTGTTCCTTTCTTTGAAGTTTCTGAGCGATGTATCACATTGCAATTAACACACCGGGCAAAACAACCTACCCCAACAAAACTACGTTTCAATCTAGCAACAAGTAATAATTTTTCTTTGCTCCCTTTGGGAAGCAACTTGTCTTTTAATATCTAATCCTCTCAAACAACTTGGGCATGATCAGAAATCCTTCAAGGGAATCACAGTTCAAATTCATCTAAACCAATCTCCTTGTACTCTCACTCTTTGTAATCTCGTGTACTCTCACACACCAGGCTCCGCGACCCCATCACTCCCACACTCGCCCGACTCCACTGGCTCCCCATCCCCCAGAGGATTGAGTTCAAGATCCTCGTCCTCACCTTTAAGGCCATCCATGGCCTTGCCCCCTCCTACCTCTCTGACCTGCTGACTCCCTACCAACCTGCCCGCTCCCTCCGCTCATCAGGCTCCAGCCTGCTCCATGATTCCTGCCCGACCCGCCCTACCATCGGTGGCCGGGCTTTCAGCCTCTCTGCCCCCACACTCTGGAACTCCATCCCACGGTCCCTTCGCTTCGCTTCCTCCTTTGCCTTCTTCAAGGCCGGACTCAAGACCTTTCTCTTCGATCGTGCCTTTGGTCTCCCTCCTACCTCTCTGCCTTCTCTCACCACGACACCACCCCTACCCCACGCTCGAGCCCCGACACCTGACTGTTCAGCGCTTTGGGACGTCCTCCCAACGTGAAAGGCACTCTATAAATGTAATTTTGTTGTTGTTGTTTGTTCTTTATATTTTTCAGCAATATTTACCGCTCTATAACAACAACAAAATTACATTTGTATGGCGCCTTTCATGTTGAAAGGAAGTCCTAGTGAGTTGTATACTAATAGGAAATAATATTAGGAAAATGCATCCATGCCAGACAAAAGTTAAACTGGTATTAAAATTAGGGATAACTACAATTTTAACTTATTTCTCCACTAAGATGATTTTCAAAATAGCAGCCAAATCTTGTGGGAAAGATCAAAGTTGCCTCACAATAAACCATGGCATACATCTATTAAAACATCTTTGCTTTCAATTGTGGTGAGTAAATGTACAAAATCTCACTTTATACGACTTCTAAACCAAATACAACTATAGGTATAAGAACATAAGAATTAGGAGCAGGAGTAGGCCATTCGGCCCCTCGAGCCTGTGCCCCGCCATTCGATAAGATCATGGCTGATCTTCAGACCTAACTCTAATTACCTGCCCTTTCCCCATATCCCTTAATCCCTCTATTTTTTAAAAATCTATCAGTCTCAGCCTTGAAGATGTTCAAGGACTGAGCATCTGCAGCCTTCTGGGGTAGTGAATTCCATAAATTCACTACCCTCTGAGTGAAGAAATGTTTCCTCAACTCTGTTCTAATTTTAAGACTGTGACCCCTGGTTATAGATGCTCCTACCAGGGGAAACAGACCCTCAGTGTCTACTTTATCCAGCCCTTTAAGATTCTTATATGTTTCAATAATATCCCCCCCAATTCTTCTGTACTGTAGAGAATATAGCCCTAGTTTATTCAGCCTATCCTCATAGGTCAGTCCCCTCATCCCAGGAACTAACCGAGTGAATCTACGCTGCACCCCCTCTAGGGCAAGTATGTCCTTTTTTAAATAAGGAGACCAAAACTGCACACAATACTCTAGGTGCGGTCTCACCAAGGCCCTATACAGTTGCAGCAAGACTTCCCTACTCTTGTACTCTAAACCTTTTGCAATGAACGCTAACATGCCGTTCGCCTTCTTAGTTGCTTGCTGCACCTGCAAACTAACTTTTTGAGACTGGTGTACAAGGACACCCAAATCCCTCTGCACACTAACACTATCTAATCTCTCCCCCTCTAGAAAATAATCTATTTTTCTATTTTTTCTACCAAGGAGAATAACTTCACACTTCCCCACATTAAATTCCATCTGCCACCTACTCGCCTACTCCCCTATCTATATGCCATTGCAATCTTTTTGCATCATCCTCAGAGCTTACTCTCCCACCTAGTTTAGTGTCATCTGCAAATTTAGATACATTACATTCAATGTCCTCGTCCAGATCATTGATGTAAATTGTAAATAGCTGAGGCCCAAGCACTGATCCTTGTGGCACTCCACTAGTCACATCCTGCCAATTCGAGAATGACCCGTTTATCCCTACTCTCTGTTTTCTACCCGTTAGCCACTCTTCAATCCACGCTAATATGTTCCCATTAATCCCGTGGGCCTTAACCTTGTGAAACAACCTTTTGTGTGGCACTTTGTCAAATGCCTTTTTAAAATCAAATCTAAATATACTACATCTAGTGGTTACCCCTATCTAACCTGCTAGACACATCTTCAAAAAACCCTAAAAAATTAGTTAAGCATGACTTCCCTTTTGTAAAGCCATGTTGACTCTGCCTAATCTTGTTATGGTCTTCCAGAAATCCCATAACAACATCTTTAATTAAGCACTCAAGAATTTTCCCTACCACTGATGTCAGACTAACTGGTCTATAGTTCCCCATCTTTTCTCTCCCACCCTTCTGAAATAGTGGTATCACGTTTGCAATCTTCCAATCAATGCGAACCGTTCCGGAATCCAGAGAATTTTGGAAGATCAAAGACAAGCCATCCACCTCTTTTAAAACCCTAGGATATAGGCCATCAGATCCAGAAGATTTATCAGTTTTAAGACCTGACAGTTTACCTAAAACCATTTCTTTACTAATATTAATTCCCCCAAGTTGCTCGCTAACATTGTCTTCTTGGTTCCCCTCTATTCTTGGTAGGTTTTCAGTGTCTTCTAAGGTGAAGACAGTAGCAAACAACAACAACAACAACAACAAGATTCCATTTATTGAGCGCCTTTCACGTCGGGAGGACGTCCCAAGGCGCTATACAGTTGGGTCAGGACCCGAGCAGTGGAGAAATGGTCAGGGGGAGGGAAGGGAGGGAGCGAGAGGGGAGCTGAAGGCACGGTCAAAGAGAAAGGTCTTGAGACCAGCCTTGAAGGAGGAAAGGGAGGAGGCAAGGCGCAAAGTACTTGTTTAATGACTCTGCCATGACTTTGTCCCCTACTATAATTCCCCCCGTCTTTGCCTGTAGCGGACCCACATTTACCTTTAACAGCCTCTTCCTCTTTATATATTTATAAAAACTCTTGCAGTCTGTCTTTATGTTCTTCGCTAGTTTGCCCTCATATTCCATTTTCTCCCTCTTAATCACTTTTTTGGTTCTCCTTTGTTGATCCCTAAAGTTCTCCCAATCCTCGGGTTTACTACTCATCTTAGCTGTTTTATAGGCTTCTTCCTTTAACTTTATACTTTCCCTAACTGCTCTAGTTAGCCACGGTTGGGCCACCTTCCCGTGGCATTCTTATTCCTCAAAGGAATATGTGCTCGCTGGGAATTTTCCACTATCTCCTTAAACGTCTGCCATTGCTGGTCTACCGTCAGATCCTTAAGTCTAATTTCCCAGTTTATTTTGGCTAAATCCTCTTTCATACCAGCAAAATTGGCTCTACTTAAATTTAAAACCTTTGCTTCGGATTTAACTACTTCTCCCTCTAACGTAATGCTAAATTCCATCATATTATGATCACTTTGCCCTAGAGGAGCCTTAATTTCCAGTTTGCTGATCAACCTTGCTTCATTGCACAAAACAAGGTCTAATATGGCCTGTTCTCTGGTTGGCTCCTCGGGATACTGATCAGGATAATTATCCCTAATACATTCTATAAACTCTTCCTCTATCATACTTTTCCCAATTTGGTTGCCAATCTATGTGCAGATTAAAATCACCCACAATTAATGTTTTTCCTTGACTACATGCTCTGCTAATTTCCTGATTTATACCTTGAGATACTGTGACTGCTGTTCGGGAGTCTATAAACTACTCCCACTAGAGTTTTCTGCCCCTTGTTATTACGTAACTCTACCCATACTGACTCCACTTCCTGCTTTTCTGATTTAAAATCTTTCCTCTCTATTGTTTTTATCCCATCCTTTATTAGCAGGGCCTTATATTCATCCCATTTAGCTATGAATTTAAATCAATCCTAGGAGGATAAATTGTTTGAACAGTAACAAAAAAATAAAAGCTGAACTTTATCGAAACAGTATTAGGAGATTCATTGTTGTTGAAACAATTTCACTTGAATAATGCAGAGCAAAACAGAACTGGTAAAAACAATTCACATCAGTAGTGAATAAACATACTTTATAAAATTATTTAATTTACCTTTCTGATCACCATAACGAAATCTCTCAAGGGCAATATTAACAGCAATTTTTACTTCTTCATCAATCCGGATATCTTTAAATCCTTTAGGTTTGGAGGCAGCAGCCTGACTTGACTGGGCGCTGCCAGGCCGTGGGGACGCACTGGTAGATCTTGACATATTGGATCTAAGAAATCAATATGTTGGGTTTTGCAGGTGTAAAACTTATTACCAATCAATTCTACCACATTCTGTTTCAACCACAAACCACTCATATACCCCTCCCCCTTTCATATGATCGGTTGCCGAGCCTTAAGCTATTCCAGGGCACTGCTGATGACAGTACAGCCAGACTAGCTGTGATAGTGGAGACTCGCAAAGACTGGTGGGATGGGGATACAGACAACAACAACAACAACAAGACTTCATTTATAGAGCGCCTTTCACGTCGGGAGGACGTCCCAAGGCGCTGGACAGTTGGGTCAGGACCCGAGCAGGGGGGAAATGGTCAGGGTGAGGGGAGGGAAGGGAGGGAGCGAGGAGGGGGAAGAGAGTCGAGAGGGGAGCTGAAGGCACGGTCAAAGAGAAAGGTCTTGAGACCGGCCTTGAAGGAGGAAAGGGAGGAGGCGGCGAAGGCACTGGGGGATGGAGTTCCAGAGCCTCGGGGCTGAGAGGCTGAAGGCCCGACCACCGATGGTAGGGCGGTTGGGGCGGGGGATGTGGAGCAGACCGGAGCCAGAGGAACGGAGGGTACGGGCAGGTAAGTAGGGGGATAGTAGGTCAGAGAGGTAGGAGGGAGCAAGGCCGTGAATGGCCTTGTAGGTGAGGATGAGGATTAGAGAGGGTGAGGATCAGAGTTCAGAGAGGGCGAGTGTACAGGTGGCAGAGTTTTGAATAGTTGGATATAGTGGAGTTGGGGAAACCGGTGAGGGCATTGATGTTTTAGCTGGTTAAACAGCAGTATCCCAACACACCCTCTGGGGTCCGCAAGCCTTGGCTCTTGCCAACCTGCACCTAATACTTTCTGGAATTAGGAAAGCAGGAGGCGTCCCTCCAGGGAGAGAGTGCACATTCTATTCCAATAAACTATGTCTGGGATTTCCATGTGAAGGTGGGATGCATAGAATTCTCAGCTTGGTTTGGATACTCAAGCATGATGATGGGTTTCTGCATGTGTCAGATACCTGGCTGACTTCTCCCCAAAAACCCTGCCTTAAAACCTACCTCTAACTGCACTTAAAGTACCCTTCCATTTTATAGTGACAAGGCCAGAAGTCAAACATGCCAAGACATTATCTTTGTTATTGGTCAGCAGTGGAACGAGGGAGTGCAGGAGAGCAGGATGATGGAAAGGGATTTGGAGGGTGATTGAGAACGGGGGAAGTGGAGGGTGAGAAGAGAGCTGAGAACACAAGGAGAATGAGAAAGCTGGGGGACTAGGGATAGTGAGAGTGGGGGAAGCAGGGGTAAGAAAGCAGGAGACTCAGTGAGGACAGCAGATGAGGGGTTGCAGGGAGGATCGGAGTGGGGGTGTTCGAGAAGAGGACAAGGGGCACAAGGAAAGGGAAAGGTGGGAAATATAATGGGGAGTATTGTAGCTCAGTGTAGCTCAGTGCTAAGAGCACTTGCGTCACAAGCAAGACACTTGGGTTTGAATCCCGGCAGGGCGAAACCTTGGGCAAGTTTCCTTACTCCACGTGCCTGATAATAATCCCTCAAGAAAAAAAATGAATAATAATAATTTGGTCACTCAATCCACGACTGTTTGTGGGACACTGCTGTGCGCAATTGGCTGCCGCGTTTCGCCCACAAATATACGGTCAATTCACTTTACAGTCTATTCTGTGAAGTGCTTTGCGATGTCTCGAAGACGTAAAATGCGCTATATCAAATGTAAGTATTATTATTTATTGATTAGCATAGGGGAAGAGGACACATAAAATCCTTGCGTAGGATAGTGCAGCTTATGACTCTTCAAGACACATTCGACAGGAATTTACTGTGAAGTGTAGTGACTGTGTATTGTGGGTGAAGCGGGAAGAAAACTTTGGTGCATGTAGGAAGTTTTGCAAAAGCCAGAATAATTCGAAGCCGAGCGAGCGGTCTGCATTGCAAACAAGGAATAATAATAATAGTAATCCAAACGATGTCACGTCGTTCAGACGTCTGAAAAGCACCTCAGAGTATATTGTAGATGCTATGCCGCCTGACCTGCCGAGTGTGTGCCCAGTGATCGCTGTCTTTATTTCAGATTTCCACCACCTGCAGCATTTTGCGTATTATATGGAAAGGTGAATTGACTGTGTAATTTGTGGGCAAAAGATGACTGTAAAGGGTGGGGGGGGGTTGACAGTAATAATAATAATAATCCTTGCATTTGATATAGCGCTTTTCACGTCGGGAGGACGTCCCAAAGCGCTTCACAGAACACACTGTAAAGTGAATTGACTGTATATTTGTGGGCGAACGCGGCAGCCAATTGTGCACAGCAATGTCCCACAAACAGTCGTAGATTGAAAATGACCAATTTATTATTGTTTTGGGTTTTGGAGGATTATTATTAGGCAGTGTATTTTATGGGCGAAAAGAAGGGCATAAAAGTCTGAATAGAGGTGGTTGTGGTTGTGGTGTTGGAGGGGGGGGAGGGAGGGGGGGGAGAGGTGACCTGAATCAGCTGCAAAACTGAAAGAATAAAGCGGTAATAACGAGGGAGGAAACGGGGAAATGACATTGCGAGGGGAGGGCCGGTCCCGGGGCCGGTCCCGGGGGGGAGACCCCCCCCCACACACACACACACACCCCTCCCCTCTCCCCCGGTGTGTTCCCACGGCCTCCACTCGAAGACAATTTCAAATTAACGACCACCACAAGCCGCCGGGCCGAGCGAGCAGCCACGGCGCAGGCCACGGGGCGACGCTCCCTCCCTCCCTCTCTCCCTCTCTCCCAAACAAGTGCCACAGAACTTTTTCTTTCTTTAAGAAGCTCTGCCCCCTCTCTCCCTCCCTCCCCGCCCCCCCCGCCGCCGCCGCCGCCGCCGCCTCCTCCCCGGAGAAGCTACGAACCTCCGCGTCCTCCCCGCGGCTGCACGCTGCCACCCTGCCGTTAAGGAGCTGACAGCGGCTCCGCGTCTCCTCAGCGCAGCCCCCGGGTCTCGGCGTCGGGGATCACCGCCAACTGTCGGCGCTACGTGCCGCGCCGTGACATCACCGCGCCGTGACATCACCGCGCACTCCCCCCACCACCCCGCAACGAAATCACGTGACTCGGAGCGCCCTGTTTCTAGCTCCTCCCCCTCCGCTCCCCCCCCCCCAACCCCGCGCGCGCGCGCGCGCGGTCGAGCGCGAGACCAGAAAGCTGAGGCGCGGCCGTTTGTTTCCACGTTGAAGGTGGGCGGAGCCAACCGTCACCCGGGGGTTTGCGTGCAACGTCGGCAGAGAGGGAGGGAGAGAGAGGGAGGAGGAGAGGAGAGGAAGATGGATAGAGAGGGAGGAGAGAGGGAGGGAGGAGAGGAGAGAGGGAGGGAGGAAGGGAGGGAGGAGAGAGAGAGAGGGAGGGAGGGAGGAGAGAGAGAGAGGGAGGGAGGGAGGGAGGGAAGATGGATAGAGAGGGAGGAAGGAGAGAGAGAGAGGGAGGGAGGGAAGATGGATGGAGAGGGAGAGAGGGAATGGTCAAAAACCCAGAGGATAAAGAGAGAGGAGAAAGGTAATTGTGGAAGACACACACAGGGATTAATAATAGTCTTTGCATTTGACCTCAGAAGGACATCTCAAAGCCAATCGGAGATCACACACCTGTTACTCAGCAGTAGGTATTTGTTAGTGGATCGGAGATCGCTTTCCAGGGTAATAATCCCCCCAACACCCACAAAAAATTTTGGTCACTCAATCCATGACTTGTTTGTTGGACACTGTTGTGGGCAATTAGCTCCCAAGTTTCACCCACAAGTACACAGTCAATCCACTTTAATATATTCTGCGAAGCGCTTGGAGACATCTCAACAGAGATAATAATAATAATCCTCGCATTTGATATAGCGCTTTTCACGTCGGGAGGACGTCCCAAAGCGCTTCACAGAACACACTGTAAAGTGAATTGACTGTATATTTGTGGGCGAACGCGGCAGCCAATTGCGCACAGCAATGTCCCACAAACAGTCGTAGATTAAAAATGACCAATTTATTATTGTTTGGTTTTGGAGGGATTATTATTAGGCTCTGTGTGGAGTAAGGAAACTTGCCCAAGGTTTCGCCCTCTGCCTGGAATTGAACTCAGGTCTCTCACTTGCAAAGCGAGTGCTCTAACCCTGAACTACAGGACTCCACAAACACAGTCAATCAAATCCACTTTAATATATTCTGTGAAGCGCTTGGAGACGTCTCAACAGTGATCAGGATTGTAAAGTGTAGTTACTCTTTTTTGAAGTTGAATGAGGCAACCAATTTGCATATAGGAACACATTATTAATCCAATACCTAGTTTGATAGCAGTATCATTTTATTTTTGATGCAATTCATGGGAATTAAATTAGTGACACTGATAATGCTGTTTCAGATGCAATGTAACAACATTGTACTGCAAGTCTTAAAGCATCAGAAAGCATTGAACACACAAATAGGCCAATACAGACAATGTAATATCCACCAGCCCACCTATTTCATCTCCTAAAGAAATGATCCTCATAATTACTCCCTTGCCCTCAAACATAATCAAACAGAACTCTAGAATATCCATGTATTTTTGCTTTTGACCCCTCTCCCAGCAGGAAATTCTGCATTGCAGAATATTTGATTGTCAGTCCATTCTTAATCCTATTATCCTCAATCTATTTCTCTTGGCACTCAACCAATTTGTTGGGAATTTATTCCAACACTTTAAGGAACAAATTCAGATCCCTCATCTAACTTGCAGCTGATTTCATTTTAAACTTAAAAGCTGCCCTGGAGAGATGAAAAATCAAGAGAAGACATCAGGAAAATTGAGCCCTCGAGAAGCAGCAAAGTGGAGGGCAGGATAAGGAACGCAGCAACGACTGATCAGTTGTTCAGGACTTGCATATATATTTTTAAAAACTTGTTAATTTGTCCCTGTTGTTAAAGCTCACAGGCAACATTAACTGTTGAATACAAAATGCGTTAAGTGATTTTTCTAGTCTTAAATGTACACAAGAATTCACACAGCTTTACTTTCAGATATGAAATTTCTGCTGATTTTTCTGTTTTACCAGTGCCAGCAGGTATTAAACACAATATTGTCCTCTGAAAATGGCTGCAACTATTTAGATAATTGTCCACCACAGTATTTAGTGGTCCTCTGCATTTCACAAGCAATAATACTGAACTAAAATTAATGACCAGTAGACTGAAACATTCAGTTCACAGATCAATTATGTTTTGCATATCTGCTGTCTTGGAGAGATGATGATTGCTCATAAAATACTTGTACCTTTTGTTGATTTCAAAGGACCAAATGTGGAATTACAACTAACCGCTCACAACGTTGTCAAACGTGCTGACCTTACAGTTTCTTGTTTATTTCATTTGTTCATTAGCATTTCATTCACTCTGGATTATACTTGCCTTCAATAAATTATTGAAAAGCTTCTGGAAAGAGGACATTAGTCAATTTAAATGTATTATTGCTGCAACAGACAGTGGCGCAGAGGACATATCCATATTGAATGAAGCAATGTCTGGAGGTTTTGTGGAAATATGGTCTATTTGGGAATTCATACCTTTCTGCATCTACCCCGCATTAATAACTCAGTAGTAATCCCACAATAGCATCCCCACAGTAGTTCTGATGCCTGGGATTCTCAAGCTGATGACCACCAATAAGCTGTGAGGCTAGTTGCTGATTTATTAAGGATAAATTAAAATGTTATACTGCATATTATAGTAGCTTGTTCTATGACAACACAAGTGCCTTGGGTGTTTTAATTCATACATTCTATGTTGTGTTGAAAGTTCATAGATGATAATTGCGAACATTTTTTATTTTCTGTTTCAGGTTTTATGTTTTTTATTCAGCTGCTGAAATGTGACTTCAGAAGCCGTATGATTTGAATACGTTCTAGTCTGACTGTTGAAAGTTTAAATCAGGTGACAAAATCAATACCTTCTTTAAAATATGTTCAAGATGTTAAGGAAAGGTTATCCTAAAAGATGAAGTTGTGGTGACATTATAGTACATCAGAATTATCAGTGTCATCTGGGGAAAATAGGCTAAGTACTATGCGGCCAATGGGTAAAAGCCTTAATTATAATCTTCCTATTTTCCTACACTTATTCAAACAAAGTTAGCTTTAAGTCTTGCTTATAATTAGACCTTGCTTTATGTCTTGCCAAAACCCTCATGCATGCGTTTGTCACCTCCCGCTTGGATTACTCAAACGCACTCCTCGCCGGTCTCCCCAGCTCTGCTATTCAAAAGATCCAGCTCATTCAGAACTCTGCCGCCCCATACTGACCCAGACCAAACTCCGTACCCACATCTCACCAGTTCTGGCCAGGCTCCACTGGCTCCCCATCACCAAATGGATCAACTTCAAGATCCTCACTCTCGTGTTCAAATCCCTTCACTCTCTGGCACCTCCCTACCTCTCCGACCTCCTCACTCCCCAATCCACCACCAGGCGCCTCCGCTGACTGGTACCGGCCTCCTGCTCGTCCCTCACACCCTCCGCCGCAGCATCGGAGGTCGCACTTTCAGGCCACTACGCACCGAAACTCCGTAACACTCCCTTTCAATCCTTCTGCATTGCCCCCTCCCCTTTTTCAAGCCGCGTCTGAAAACCTTCCTCTTCGACTGTGCTTACAACCACCCCCACCACCCTGAGTCTGAATCAGGCTCTGCCAATGTTAAGTGCCCCGAGATGCTCCCCAGCAGGGAGGGCACTATATAAGTGCATGCTGTTGTAATTAACAGCAGGCAGTCAGATGTAACACTTTTGTGACCTAATTTCTCAAATATTTTACTTTTTCACACTTCAAAAAAGCATTGGTGCTTCAAATATCCCCCGAATTCTATGAACATTAGAAAGTCTGATGTAAGCACTCATCTTTGTCAAAAAAAATCAGCAACTTCCTGGAAAGTAAAATAAAACATATACTAGAAAAACATCAAGAAATCGGCTTTGTCAATAGAAAAACATTTATGATCCGTCAGCTGATTTCCTTAACATTTATTTTCTCTTCAGTCTCTGCACCCCATATAATAACATATTATTTGAAGTGATTTGAAGCCTTCTGCTTTCTCAAATGTTGCTCTGATCAACCTCAAAGAGGAGAGTTCCCATGAAGTATTACAGATGAAATTATACCATGAGGCTAAACAGTGGGATTTAGCCCAGGGAATCAAGATTGTTTTTGTAACAATAATTGAAATAGATTTCCTAAATAAATAGTTGTAGGCTTACCCAACTGAGGCCAAAATTCAAACTATTTTTTAAAAAAAGAAACAAACTACTGTGCAAGTGGCATAGCTTTCATAAAAACCCATCTAACCAATTTTTTTAATAATCTATATAATATTCGTTAAAAACAATACATCATTTTTATGTCTCCTGCAAAAGTTTTGCAAAGCCTTTTAATGAAGGATTAAGGTCTAGTTCTAATTGCTTTTAACACTTAGCCCTCAACTAAATGTAAACAGGGACATTAATCACCATTGATCTGTAACTGATGTCTATTAAATGCCAGCAGAATTCTTAAGCCCTGTAGGCAATTGGAAAGCGTGAAATATATAGTAACTGTTTATCTTATATCTCATATCTCATCAATATTTGTTGAGATACTCCAACAATATTTTTTGCACCCAGAATTTTATGTATTCTAAATAATTGGTTGCATGAATAGTTCCACACATGGGGGAGGGGGGGGTGGTGGTCATATATTACAAAAGAACAAACTTTAACTCAGCTGTCAGATTAAGTTAGTGAATTTAATTAGCTACAATCGCTCCGAAGTCTGTAGAATAAAATCCTACTCATTATGTTCAAATGTTTAGTGTTAAGAGAAAATGTTATCTAATATTTTGCTTTAAAAATGAGTATTTCTCAGCCAAACATCAGAACAAATGTTGATATTAGACATTCATTGGTTTCTGTAATATGCAACTTATGAAAGCACAAAACAAAAATGCTCATCACAAAACAGGACAGGATGAAAATAGTCTTAAAAGATCTTTTACTTTCTTCTCCCCTCCCTCAAACATAAACACAATAAAAAAAATGGATTCATTATAGTACCCTTCACATAGAATAATATCTGAGTGCTTTAAAACACTAGAACAGGGGATGTTAAGGCTACAATCATGGGATTTACGATCATCACTAGTTCTCCAAAGAAAGAGCATTTTATTTCTTTAAACCACAAGTTTGGAAGACAACAGTAAACATTTATATTCAACGCAACACACCGTGTTCTGTAAAATCTGTAGCAAATAGAACAAATGTTAATTAATGATTGCTTACATAATTTACTGAAAACTTACTGTTTTGTTCATTGGCAACTGTAGCCTCTCACTAAATGAGGGGAATACTATTACTATACTATAGCAAACATTGGGGTAAAAAACAGGAATACATTCAAAAATAAAACAGAAACATAATAGAGAATAGGGCACCATTTATATATTCTAGATTTGCTTAGCTAAGAACACGCAAGCAACAAAATCCACTCAATTTCTTTTAAGAAACTACTAACGTATTCCAAACATTTACACATCATATGGTTGAGCACTTCTGAAATAAGATACCTCCATTTAGAGTAAAAGAACAAGATATTTCATGCACCAATGTGTGTTTTATAGCTGACTTAGTATATATGCTTGCATTTGCTTATAGAAATACCTGTAAACTAGCACTGTCTAAAAAAATTAGTTAACTGACTTTCCTGTATTACAATTTAAGAAATTATTCATAAGGTTTTCATACTGGTGACACTACCATTTTTAAATGATTAAAAGATGCAATGCAATTTACCTCTAACAAGACATACATCCTATTAATTATCTATTCTCTTGTACTAAATTAATCCAGAGTACATTTTCTTTTAAACAGTCGACTGAATCTTCAAACGTAAGTTCCTGAAACGTCAGACAAAACAACAACAAACTGCATTGATATAGTGCCTTTCATGTTGGTAGGATATCCCCAGGTCCTGGACAATCAAGGGTTTGCATCCGAGCTGGGGGTTGGATTCGGGAGGGGTGGGGACAGGAAGTTGACCGAAGGTGCGCTCGAGAAGGAAGGAAACACTTTGTCTGGATGTTTAGTTGAAAACAATAAAACACTTTATGGAATAATTAAGTGGAATTAATAAAATTGTTTTATGGTTATTTTGTGGAAAATGATCTGGCACACCACAAATGTGATTTAGAAATCCGTCACGTTTATTCCGTTATTATTACAGAATTTGAAGTCCCTAATGGCGGTTTTTAATTCTGATCCAATTGCGCAGTGATAGCTGATGTTATGTAATTCAACTTCACTATGTCTTTCTTTACATCTACCTAATCAGAAAGTTTTTTTGCCAGATGTTAATATCATTTTTTTTAAAAACTACTATATCTAATTCAAGGTTGTAAAATAGAGTTTACAAGACCAAGAATATTTTTTTCTAAAAGGAAATAAAACATTGCTTTATATTCAATGGGCCAAGAATGTTCAGTTAAGACATTTGCAAACAAAGTTAAAGCAGATATTGACTAGATTATAATAATAATCCTCAAATGCAAGTATTATTATTATGGGATTTATGATAATCACTAGGATTATTATTATTAAAAACGATCATTAAATGAAGATTGTTTAAGGCATATCCTGGAAAGATGGTGAGAATGAGACAAAATACATGAGGAAGAAAAACATTTTGAAAAAGAATGTGTCAAACCACAAATGTATAGAACGCAAATATTTTCGCATTTAATTAATGGAAATAGATTTGCAAATACAATTTAAAAAAATCTCAATCAATCATCATTGTATATATGATAAGAACATAAGAATATTATAGAAAACAGGAAAAGGCCATTAGAAAAAGGCCATTTGATTGATTTCAACCCATCATATTCTTAAATCCTCCACTTTGCAGAAGTCCACTCAATCAATGCACAATTGATGTTTCACTGTATGCTGTGTTCTCCACAAAAACCAAATCTCTTTTCAATGATACTGTAGTTGGAAGTGCCAGATAAAAGTTCTGTCATGCATCATCTGCTTCAACCGTTTCAAAGTCAATAAAGCTAAATTAAAGTTATAAATTATGAAATCTAAACTGTAGCTCTCTGGCAAAACTAGATATATGAAAATACAGTATGTAGAAAAGTAAAGAATTTTAAAGTTCAAATTTTAAAATGGTGCAAAACCATCAAGACTACAAGTTGTCAATAAAAGTATTTATTCTGGATATACAGCCTTTTGTAAAATAAGTATTATAAACGTCTCTTCGTATAAATAAATGCAGAGTTTTTACAATTCTATATAAAACAAACAAGTTTTACATTTTACAGCAACTAGGCGACTAAAAAAAGCAGTTATAAATGTAAACACAATAGAAAGATACATAATTTTCAAATATCTGAAGTCTTCGAAAATGACTTCATTTTTCGAAAATGACTTCCAACAAAATGAAAACCAGATACTATGGTGTAGGTAACAGCAATTTGGACATTTTCCATCTAAATGTAATAATATTCTGTTGCAAAAAAGCTGTACAGTATTAACTTACATATTCATGCTTCGCTATTAGTACTATGGCTGTGCCATACAATTGACAGCCCAGTTTATCCTATTCCATCAATTTCCAAATCCAGTTAACCTTACTCAAAAAATAAAGCTTTCAGTTTTACAACAAAATGATTAAAGGGTATGCTACTGAAATTACACAACATTAGCGTTTGTACAATTAATTGTCTCTCAATCCTTGCTGATGTAAAACGCTACCAAACTGCTGATCTGTAGCCTCCAGGGGCTTCTTCTCTAGCGAAATCAAGAGACAAAACCGAGGCAAAATCAACTGATAATGTCACTGGGAAAGATATCTGCCCTGAAACTTCACTCTTGTAATATTTTAGTCTGCAATCTCAAAGCAGTACACACTGCGTCAAAATAAGTCCAAAGAATAAAATATTAAATAATACTGCATTTTAAATATAATGACCTAAGCACCCCTTTCAGATGAAACAGGAATGAATATTTAGAATACGTGACATGCATTCTGCTTCTAAAAAGTTAACCATCTGATGAAAGGGAAAGAATCATTTTGCAAACTGACATTCTAATTTTAAACTACAAAACATTAAATATTCATCTTCTTTTGTTCCGCTTTCCAAACATTTTACATATTTTCCTGGAAAAAAACATGAATTTAAGTCATGCAACAATTTTCACAGACAACATACAGGCCAACTGTTAAATTGTAACCAAACTGAGAAAATGATGTATTTTTAGTTCTGAATAAAAACATACTCTCCATACCATGGGTAATTTCTGCAAACTGGAATGTACAGTACATATCCAGGAAATTGATATTTTATTCCTATACTATTCTGCTTCAGTATTTCGCCAACAGGAGGTGTAACTAACATAGAAGAAAAGTAAACTTGTATGCTTAAAATGGGATCTCTCTAAATAGGTTTCCAAATCCACTTTATTTTAAAAATGACAGTAATCTACAGGAACTGATAAAATATAATCAGAACTTTATTTCACTCATAAGATTCAAATAGGCTAGTACAGAAGAGGAAGGAACAGTGGACGCTGATCATTCACTTAAAAGATGCATTAAGCAAAGCTCTCTCCTTTGATCGACTCCACATTATTCCAAGTGACTGACCTCTCCCAAAATAGTGCCTCATTAAAGAGAAACCTGAGATCAAAGCAATTATAAGCACCTCTTGGCCAACTACAAAACAGTTCAACAAACAATTGGACATATGTATAGGCATCAAATAACAAGGATAGGAAAGAACAAAATTTCATTTAATAATGCCTTATGTCAAAACGTCTCACTTCACCTCACAAGTAACTGGTCTTGTAAGCACATCTGACAGAGCCATTCAGGCCAGCAAGGTCCCACATAATGCCATGAAGCAAATAACAAAATAAACATGGAAGATTGTTGGCCAGGATAAATATTTTTCTTTTCCAAATAACATTACGGGATTTTCAAAATCCAATGGAACAAGAAACAGTTTTACATCTCATCTGAAACGTGATACCAACACTCTCGCTGTACTGCACTGGAATATCAGCCTAAATTCCATAGGTGGAACTTTAAACCACAAGGATACTTGACCATTGGACCTAAACTTGGCATTATATTTTTCTATGCCCTTGAAGTTGGGTTTCCCTTTCCATTACGTATACCAAAAATAAAAAATAATTTATAGTAGTGCAGGTTTGGATTTCTAAACCTTTCCTTGCTCATATTCCATTGTCAGGTACATTAGTTTGAGAAAGGAAAGCTTTCCTTGCTCAAGTTAACATATCTGGCAATGGAATATCATGTCTATCTTTGTTATTTGAAAAAATGCATTAAAAAAACGTAATAATTTGGTCACTCAATCCACAAATGTTTATGGGACACTGCTGTGCGCAATTGGCTGCCACGTTTCACTCACAAATATACAGTCAATTCACTTTACAATATATTCTGTGAAGCACTTTGAGATGTCTAGAAGACGTGATAAGGCGCTATATCAAATGCAGGGATTATTATTATATTATTTATCTTCTGTGGCAGTCTCAGTTGTCCGATTCTGAGCCAGGCAGGTTCTCAGTACTCAAGACACTGTTGATGAGACCAGTCAGCCTAGATCTTAAGCAGGAATTGGAATGGCAGACCAGTCACTTAGGGCAGGAATTAGGGGGGTGCTTAATTCCAGAATTAAATAAACAGGATGAGTCCCTCTAAAGAAAGTGCTCACTCCATTCCAGACTAATGGGAAATTTCTAGGAGCAGTCAACCTGTGTATGTGGAACTCTGTTTTTTTTGTTCTTAAGCACGGAAATTGGTTCCTGCATGTGTTCGACCTCCCCCCAAAAAAACACTGGGGTGATTTCTGTAAGGAGGCTGCCAAAATGCAGGCTGTAACAAAACATTTCTCAGGGATTCAAAAAGTAAGCAACAAATATCAATAGTTGGAAAACAACAAGGTTCACCAGAAATGACCTCGCACGGTCCTGGAATGGAAGGGTATATCTACCTGGGCTGAAAGGGACAGTACTCCAGTTTCCAATTTTTTTCTTAGCTTGTTTGACTAATTACCCATGGTATGCAAATATCAACAATAAAAAATAGGTTTAGACATTTATTGATTGTTATTATAGTTCAGATCTGGCTTAGTATTCAATACCTTTGAGTCAGTTTGAATTAAACCAAAGTGAATATCCCAAACTAAGCTGGTTCTGCCTAAATACTTAACAGGCGAAACATAATTGTATAAACATAGCTATGCATTAAACAAAGTAATGGCATATAGTAAGGATTTTTACATAATCCATTTTATACCAAGAAGCAAGACAAAGTTATATGCTAGCTATAATGGCCGGTTATTTGAGCTGGGGAATGAGATTTTGTGACAAGATATGGTCCATTCAGGCGCTATATATACAAAACATTTAATAATTGGAATTATATCTGCTCCTTAGATGAACCTGATCCATCTTTCAGGATTGCTATCCACAATTTCTTAGTTCTGCATTAATACCACATGGACTACAGTATTATTTTCAATCTTCCTCAGAATTTGTTCAGAAGGATCTTTCATAACAATTGCTTTATAACAGTCTTACTGAGAGAATATAGTTTGAAATTTTTGACATAGCATGTTGGTTTCTCAAGTTGGCATAAAATGATTTTAATAATAAAACAAAGTAGTTGGTAGCAGCACACACTAAATACACTAAATCCTTGCTGTACAATTACGCGCCTTTTTGGTACAATGTGATAATATAAAGCTCTCTGCAATGCAAATTACAGATGCATATTTGATATATTAAGACAATAATAAGATGTAAGTTTCTTTTTAAGTATAATGCTGTGAAGTGTGCAGGCACATGTAAGGGATGATTTACAAATTTTATTTAAGTCCCAAATTGCTGAGGTGCCACTTCTATCATGTCCTGCTGTTCTGTTGAAAGTGGTAATATCTGGATGACTGAAGAAACCCTTGTTCCCTTTGATCAGCAGAAAGAACCAATAACTTGTTTCCATTTTTATATTTTGATCTTCTGAGTTTCTGTGGCAAAACGTATCAATTTACAGTATCCATAACACCTAAATGTTTTCCTACAGAGATGTCTCATTTGTCTGAGGCCTGGAGTTTTCTTCTTCAAGCAGCGCTATTCTCTGTTTTAGCATTCGCACTTGTGTTTCATGTCTTTCCACCATAGCCATCATTTGTGCCTCCAGCTTTTTCAGTTTGTTTTGATGCTTCTTCTTTGCCTTTTCATAAGCTGCTACTAGATTACTGTGATTAAAACAAAGCAGTTAAGTTATAAGCTGTAAATCTGTCCATCAATCCATTTTGCAGTTTGTTATATATAAAACCACCCACCTTTCCCTTGGATATTTTAGGTTCCTACGCCTAGGCAATTCACACAGATCTTTAGATAGTTTTGCTTTAAATTGCATATTGTGTTGTTATAATAGGATGTAACCCTGAGACGACAAATCTTAAAATGTTAAACAATCAGCAAAATATTTCAAACAAATGCATAAATATTGATGCTTAATTGAATAGTTTAAAATAGACATTGTTCCTAAGTTTAAAATAGATTTAGGTTGTTTTGAGATCAAGTAGATTTAGTCCCATTAAAGTACAATTAAATGGAAGGAATGGTGAAGCAAACCTTCAATCATTGTCTTACTCCTTTCTCCATTCCAAAGAATCTTTCTTAGATGTTTCTTATTTACCCAGGTAGAATATATTACTTAATTAAAATCTCCTGCTCTTACATGATACTTTTCCCTACTAAAATCTATCAGATTGTATGTAAAACATCACCCACTTCGCAACAAGTTTTATTCTTATTTGAAAACAATGTTAGGAGTGAGCAAGCTTCATACAGAAACTAATACTTTGTTTGGTCAGCCAGGTGTCTGACACATGTGGAAACCCATCAACATGTTTAAGAGAATCCAAACCACATTGAGAGCTCCACATATGTATGTCACTTACACATGCCTGGAATAAAATGTGGACTCTACTTGGAGGGACACATCTCGCTTACCTAATTCTGGGAAGTGTTGGGCATAGGTTGACAAGAGTCAAGGCTTGGGATCCCCAGATTGTGATTTGGGGTATTATAATATCATAATAACTGTACTGGTACAGTTTAACAAGCTAAATTTTGCTTGATACTTGCAGAGAGAAGAAATTAAAAAATTAAAATTAAATCATAGCTTGCCATTGAAAGCACTATCGTGCTATGGGACTATGGGACGTCCTCCTGACGTGAAAGGCGCTTTATAAATGGAATCTTGTTGTTGTTGTTGTATCTGGCAAGTTTCTCGTTGCTTATACAGCTAGGACTACCCTACCGTTAGAGCACAATGGGAACAATCCCTGCCCCCAGTGACTAGCCTGCCCCTCCAAGACTACCAATAAGCCAGGCTGGTTGGGATGTCATTAGCAATGCCCTGGAGTTCTACAGACCCACTCAGCTCAGGAACCAGACTCCTGAGATCATTACAGACCACCCAATTCCAACATTCCAGTGCCTGGCACATCACCGAGCAGCCAGCTCAGCTCCCCCAGCTCTCCCCGAACAATAAAGGGGAAACTAAAATCTGCAGACACAGTTTACCCAGAATTAATACCAGATGAATAATAAGTTGGCAAGTGTATGTTATACCTGTATAGTTTTAAAAGGAATCAACAAAATGTAATCCAACTTTTAATAACAATAACTCACGTTTTAGTTTCTTTTAAGCTATCTATCTTTACACTGCTGTGGGAAATTGGCATTTCGCCTACAAAAACAGTCAATCCACTTTACAATATTTTTCTGTGAAGCGCTTTGAGGTCTCGATGACATGATAAGGCGCTATATCAAATTGAACGATTATTTATTCATTATTTATTACTAAAATGATAATGTAATATGTTAAGTAAAACAAATCGTGGTCTTCACATAATGAGGGCTTTGAATCTTTTGAAATTCATTAATAACTTTGCTGCTTACCAAAACAATGGATTAGTGCTCTTTACATTGTAATAAAACATTGAAAAATAGTTCTTTAAAATATTCTGTTTGCTGCCACAGACAAGTGTTTTTTTTACTATTTGTTTAATCATTTTAGCACAAGGCAAAACAGAGCCAGACTTCATGTAAGTCATAATGTCAACCCCTTTTTGGTGCTCTGGAATAGGATACGTATGTCAAAGAGTAATGCTGATGGGAAGGAATTTTGATGTGAAACACAGCAAACTGGCAGTACTAAAGGGCAGTACTCATGGCACTGCAACACAGTTGTTACAGCATGGATGAGTCAATGACTTGCAAGTTTTTCTTTGCATATACAGGATATACATTTGAAAGAAAAAATTTAAGACCAAACAAAAGCAATCATATTAGAATACAATCCACAGCCACAGTAAAACAAATACCTGTTTGCTCTTTTGAGATCATTAACAAACTCTGCAGACTGTTGATGTCGCACTTCACTGCTTTTCGTCATTCTTTCTAAAGCAGTTACCAATTCCTGCACGCGAGATTTTAATTTCTTCTCTCTGCAAGTATCAAGCAAAATTAATCTCTTCCAAATTTATTGTCATATCTGTGTGAACACACAGATGATTTACAATACCTTCCTTCAGATACATTACATCAAATCCTTATTTAGCTTCAAGATATATTGATATATTAAGTTTCATAACTAAGTCACTGAATATCACACAACAGCACATGCAACCTTTAAATCAGCCAACAGGGGTCAGACCATGTCTTAGTTTCAAAACAAATGACCGCAAAATGTAACCATCTTTGCACAAGGTAAAATGGCTATTAATCGTTACTAGTATTAGAATACTGAAGTAGACCTAAATGATTTTTGTTTAAATTTAAAAGAAGAAGAATATGAAATAATAGGCTCAATTATGTGTTTGCTACAAAACTTTTAATTTTAGAATTTTCAAAAAGTTGATTATCTTATTTAGTTAGAAAGTGGTGCTTTTTGTAAGGACTTAAAAATATTGCAGCATTTGCTCATTATTTTGCACCAAGCTGGTAATATGTAGTTGTAGTTACATTTGCAGATGACACCAACAACAAAATCATGAGTGAAGCTAACAATAAAGATTGTAAGCAATTAGATGGGGACGCACAGAGCTCAGAAAACGCCCTTGGTGATTTGTCATATTTCTAGTATTTCAAAACGCAAACACCATGAGACATGGTATTTCCACTCCATTAAATCTAAAAGAAAAATTGATGAGGCGATGACTGAACCCTGCATCATATCAGTTTCCGTGCTCCCCTCCCTTTTCTCCCGTCACTCCAAAAAATGCCGCGGGAATAAAAATGGAGTGAACAGAAAAATCACTTGCAATGTGGAAAGAAATCATTTGCATCATGGGATGAATGTGCTTTGCCCTATATTGCAGTTCTAGAATTGACTGGAGAATTCTACTTACCTTCTCAGTGCATTTGTTAACTCAACAGCAAGTTCACTATCATTATATGTTCTGAGTTCAGCTAATGTTACAGCATGCGTTACTCCTTCACCACATTCCTGATAGACAAACAAGGAGATAATCAGAAATCATGCATTTTTGGGGATATAAACTGTGAAGCGATTATATCGAAATACATGCTCAAGTCAAGCTATGGCAAATGAAACAACATAGGTCAGAACTTCTATGTGAAAGGTTTATATTGTTGTAGTGAAGACAGGCACTTCACCATTAAGCATATTATGCCAATAGCTGTTTAAGAATATTAAAATGCTTCACTTGCTACTAAATCAATTTTTCTGCAATGTTCCAGGGAAATGTTGTCACGACAATGACAAGATATCCTTAATTTATCAACCAAGGGGCTGTAAAAAGCATGCAAGCCGAAACTCACGTTTTGACACCTCTCCAAGTGCCAATTGTCCCCTTTTCTAAACCTTTCCATCCAAAAAATACAGAATCTTTACCTTCCATCCCCCAAAATAGTGCAGATATTAAAAGAAACACCATTTCAATTCACACAAAAAACTCTGAAATAGATTATCTTAAATGTTAATTTGTATAAGAACTTACAAAACCTGTATTATAAACTCAAATAACATTAACAAACAATATACCAGATCATAAATAAATAACGCAAACAGTTTTCCTTTCCTTCATTGTGCAAATGACGAGAAATAAAATAAATACTTTGGATTTTTTTTTCCTCCTCTCTCAGTTCATTATGTTTAGTAAAAGTATGAAATGAAATTATACAAAATACATGAATCATTTCAAATGAAATCTGTCTTCATTGTGTACACTTACCCAGTAATTTCAATTGGACTTCATATTGCAGAAGTCATCTCATTCCAGGAGCAAAGAGCATTTACAAAATTAAAAGTAATTTGAAAAATTGAACTGTATCATTATTTTGAAATAAAAAAATTGAGTAATTCTAGGAAAACATTTTCACGAAATTATGACAATCTCAAGATAAATAGTTGGAATATTTGAAGCTGCACTATGGACATATTTCTAAACCTTTTGTATTCAACCTTTTGTATTCAGCCAGTAAATCTGAAAATGATTTTTATTGTGGGATCACAATATGAGGCTATTATTGTCTTTGAGAGTGCACAGACAAACAGCCAAGATTATTTCAGTATAATGAATGCAAGTTACAAGTAAAGAGGAAATAAGTTGTTTTTGTTCTCTTTCAAAAAAGAGACAGCAAGGTCATATAATTGATGATCATGAAGCAGAATAATATTGATCCATGAATTGTTCATTAGAACAGAAGGTTCAAACACAAGAGACAGAAGTTAAAATTAGCAGTAAGATAGAAAACCAATAGACTTTTTATGCAAAGGACTTGTGAAATAAAATGCCAGGGGGCTGGCTGATAATGATCAATCAATACTAGCAAATCTCCATTGGCCCCAATTAAGCAAATAAATGATAGGTTAAGTCATCTTGTCCATCTCTTCACCAAAGGAAAACTTGTGCACGAGAAGACAGCTGGTGCCAAGAACAATTCTATGCACTCGTCAATATGAGCTTACATGGGGTATCTTAAGATGTGAAGAGTTTTTCAAAAGAGTTGTGCCCAAAAAAATGACATTGGCTGTCCATAGCAATTTTATAGCAAATAGGAGCATCAAACGGAGATGGTAGGGCCCAAGACAGAAATAAACTATTGTTACTTTTATTGATGTCCTTCCAACTGTCCTTTAAACCCCACATCCATTAACTGACACAGTCATCTTTCCCCAACATTATAATATCGCCCACCTCCAATCACTCCCTCTCCCCTCGGGCCACCTTATCCACGCATTTGACACATCCACAAAATATATAGTTAATCTACTTTACAGTATATCCTGTGAAATGCTCTGATTGTCTCAACGATGATAGTAATAAGGCATTATATTAAATGCAAGGATTATTATTATCCAGGCTTGACTATGCCAACTCTCTGCTCGCCAGATTACCGATCTCTTCCCTCCACATGCTTCAGACCATTCAGAATTCTGCAGCTCGTATCCTTTCCACACAAGTTCTTCGAGCCTACAACCCTGGCTTCACCCAGCTTCAATGACTCCCCACCCCCCAGATTGAGTTCAAGATCCTCACCATCAGTCAGACTCTCAGCCCATCTGTCCCCATTCTCTGAAAGTCCATTCAGGTGTCCCTTCACCTCAACCTTCCCTCACCTCCTTCGCGGTCCATCTCAAGACCTTCCTCTTTGAGCGAGCCTTTGGTCTCCTTCCGCCCCACCCCAACCCCTCGGATCCCATCCCAGCTCGAGTGCAAACCCTTAACTGTCTAGTGCCTTGGGACATCCTCCCAATGTGTAAGGTGCCATATGATTGTAAATTTGTTGTTGTAATGCTGAGACATTTTTGTACCCAAAACCCTTGCTGAGAGGCACTAACACCCACAGAGCAAGCAGAGCGAGGAAATTTGATCTGGCAGTTGGCACAACTCTTTCGGAAAATCTGACTTTTCACATCTTACCAAGATTTCCTAAAAACGGCAATATACCATGTTAATAATTACTTAATGGGACAGTGCACAGTTAAAGAGGTAGGTTTTAAGGTGTGACAGATAGGGAGGGGGCAAGACCGCGAGATAGAGAGAGCGAGTTCCAAAGTTTAGGGGCATTGTAGTTGAAGGCTTGGCCACAGTCAATACTATGAAAGGAAGGGAGAGGCACAAGGAGCAAAAGCAAACAGCTTCTCTGCCAAGCAGAGAATGTGAGAAAAAGAGTAGGGTAGGAGATCAGAGAGATGGGTGATGTTGGCGTGTGAAAGGGATTTATAGGTGAGGGCCTTGAAACTGATCAGCTGGTAAATAGGGAGGCAATGGAGTTTGGTGAAGGCAGGAGTGATGGCCTATGGAGTTTGGTGCAGGTGAGGATATGGGTGGCAGACTTTTGGATTAGGTAAAGCTTACAAATGGTGGAGCTTGGAAGACCAGCAAGGATTGTGTTGGAAGCGGGAAGTAATGAAGGTGCAAACAATTGTTTTGCTTCCAGTTATACTGTCTATTGGAGCATTACACTGTATTTAAATAGTTTCCACAGGTAATTTAATGATAAGACACTTTTGCTCTCCCTCTCTTTGACAGCACCTATAATCATCTCTTAGTTTTTTCCCCCTCCCTTGCTTGCCATCTGATCTCATCCTTGTAACGTGCTCCAAGACATTATCCTAAATGAAAGGCACTATATAAATGCAAGTTGTTATGAATTCTGAAACTGCTTATCAATTCAGATAACAATATCTTCCACAACATTTCTCCCAGGAAATAGTCTACCTTTTTAACTGCATAAATAAACAAGAACAACAAATCACATTTGTATAGCGCCTTTCATATATCCCAAGGTGTTGGGACGAATAAAGTAGTTTACTGTTGGTGCTTACTTTAGCTGGTTTGTCTTTTCCTCCACTACTAGTTGAGCTGAGAGACCGCATACGTTGCTCTTTTTGCTCTTCTACTTCTGATTTCAGGTGTTCAATGTGCACAAGGTAAGCTTGTTCTTGGGCTTCTCGAGTACTCAGCTTTAGCTCAAGCGCTTTCTTCTCTTTCTCCATCAGATAAAGTTGGGCCTTCAGTTCAGCCATTTCCTCCTTTGAATGGCAGTAATAAAATGTACATTGTAAATGTTACGTACATTTTTAATATTGAATAGCTTAACAATTTCCTCAAAGAAAATCAATTTGAACTTCAAAGGCCAAGAGAACCTCAATTTGAATAAAGAAATGCGATACAGAAAGAATGAGCCTTAAATTGAGAAAGGATATGAAATGCTTTCTTTTGATATCCATGTAAGAATTCCCTAAATTACTTGATATAAAAAGAACTATCAAATAAATTGCAATCAAACATTAAAAGTAGTTTTCATAGATTAATAACTCCTCTCCAAATAATAAGTAAATCTAATCATGATAGTGATCTTCTGATGAATAAATAAGTAAACCTAATGATGATAGTGACCTTTATGTTTTGAGTTTGTTCCATAGATCAATCAATATTAAAGAATACCTCAATGTACTTTTTACCAAGGTTCACTGGAGAGATTTTCTTTTGGTTTACCAGATTTCTGACATACAAGGAAACCCATCACAATGCTCAGCAGTATCCAATTCAAATATTAAGAATTCCACAATATGCATTGAAATTTGCATTTGTCTGGAATAGAGTGAGAACTCTCTCCACAGCGATGTGTCCTGTTCACCAAATTGCAGAAACATTAGATGCTAGTTGGAAAGAGCCAAGGCTTGGGAACCCCAAGTGGGTAGAATCCATGCTTTCAGATTTTTACAGTATACCCTGTGAACAAGCTTTGAGATGTCCTCCTGACGTGAAAGGTGTGCTACCAAAAACAATAATTATTAGTATCATTAAGTCCTGCTGATGAGCCAGGCGGGCTGATCGGTTAACAGACCTCTCTGGCTCCTGAACCAGACTTCCAAGACCACTGAAAAGAATCGATATTCCATTGACAGTCATGTCACCTTGGAGCTCAAGAAGATCTTGCTTACTTTCTCCCATGTTGGATCGTAACTGGTTAGTGAGTAGACATTTGACAAATGTGCTTTTCACTATGAAGTGTATAAAATTTTAAATGAGATTGAAAAAGTAAACGAGGATCACTACTCTAGAATGCTGCAAGATGGATGAACAAGAGGAGCCTAGGTTTAGAGTTGTAAAGCGCAATTTCAGGACAGGTACCAGAAAGGTTTTCTTTATGCAGATTGTAATCAATGATTGGAGTAGGTTGCCAGGAAAGGTGGTAGAAGTCAGGACACTGGACTCATTTAAAAAGCAGCTTGATGCTGCGATAGGGAGGGGGCGACAGTAGGTTGGGTGTTCTGGAAAGATAAGAAAATATGGGCCAAAGGACCCTCTTCACCCAGAGCAACATTGTGATCCTGCATAGTTGGATAGCAAGTATTTTGCTGCTTCATTGCTAAGCAGTGCAATACAGCATGGAATGTACTGCCACCACCCCCCCTTACCCACAGCCTAGACACAGGCCAACCCAATGAGCATTAGTTCTACTAGTTAAAAGTTTCGACCTTTTAACAGTAATTTAGTAAGTACCAAGCCCTGGCTGCACGAGCTTCAGTTAACAAAACTTCAGTTTCCTCAACAGATATTCAAGGACATCTGCCTTCAATGTGGCAGAAGAACTTCTACAGGACAACTTGTGATGTGCCAACCACCTTGATACTCCTCTAGAGGTCTAAGTTCAAAGCCATGTACCATGTTTACTCAACATACAACTGCTTAATCCAAACTCCATTGGCTCCACATCACCGAATGGATCGACTTCAAGATCCTCACATTCATGTTCAAATCCCTTCACACTCTGGCACCTCCCTACCTCTCCGACCTCCTCACTCCCCAATCCACCACCCAGCACCTCCGCTCGACTGGCACCGGCCTCCTGCTTGTCTCTGGTGCCCTCCACTCCACCATTGGAGGTCGCACATTCAGCCACTACGCCCCAAAACTCTGGAACACTCTCCCTCAATCCTTCCGCCTTGCTCCCTCTTCCCTTTAACAAGTTCCGCCTGAAAACCTTCCTTTTTGACTGTGGTTACTGTCACCTCCCGCCCCAGCTCGGAGTCAGGTTCCACCACTGTTAAGCGCTCTGAGACGCTACCCTGCGCAGAGGGCGCTATATAACAAGTTGTTGTTGTTAATCCACATCCTCATGTGAGGGGAATCAGACTATTTCCGTGAGCTACTAACCAACAGACCAGTATTGGCTAGATCTCTTTCTCCCATTAGTCACAGCCACTTTTTATCATAAATCCTACTAACATCTGACTGGATAGAGATTTAGAGCAGTATCAGAGTTGAATTTCCTCTTCCCTAGCCCAGGCCCAATTCTTCTGGCTGAGAACAGCAAACTGGGCAGAGATTAGGATTCAAACCTTGAGATATATTGGTTGATGTTGGTCCTTACCCATCCGGGGAATCCACAATCTGCCTTTGACTGTTTAATCTTACAGAAGATTTTTTTTTAAGTTTTTAAAATTGGCTTTGATAATTTCACCATCTCGAAAATATATTACAGCATTGAAATCATTTACATTTTGCAAAATTTCTACCACTGCCCAGAGGGTAAAATAACGTTGGTCATGAAGCAATAACTACAGTATGTTCAATTGCAACACAGTTAAGATTATAACAATAATGTATCACATCCTATTAAAATTTTATGCTCTTTATTCTTCGTGTCAGCTATTTAGATACTGGGATACAAATTATTTTAGACAAAATAGAAATAAACATAAAGGAAGGTTACCACCTTCTTCCCTTGACAATACCCTCTGGATTACCCTTTGTGGAATGCCCTTTAGTATCCTTGTAGTAGATGCATTTAGTCTGTCAGGCAGTCAAGCACTGCAAACACAACTGCCGACAAAGCACATTTCTCCAGAGGTGATGTTAATTAAGGTAATTTCCTCGAACTTGAGTATACCGATCCTTATAACTAGAATAACAACAACAACTTGGATTTATATAGCGCCCTCCACGCCGGATGGCATCTCAGAGTGCTTCACAGTAACGGGTCCCGTGGCTGAGCCAGGGGGAAGCTCGAGGAAGGTGACCAAAGGTGCGGTCGAAAAGAAGGGTCTTCAGCCGAGACCTGAAAATAGGAAGAGAGGGGGCAAGGCGAAGGGAGGGAGGGAGGGAGTTTACTCCTTTCATTAAATATCATATTTAAATATTAACTTGACTCCACCTATGCTCGGTTGGTTCAATTGGAACACTACAATTTGCTCCACAAATCTGGGCTAGTTAAGGGAAGAAAAAAATCAAGCCAGGGTTCCTGATTGCTATCCAATAACAACCCCATGTTTCACTTTGGTAGGAAGAATTAAGATGTTCACCATACTCCAGACGGTAGGAATTTAAGAGAGGTAAAGGATCAAATGTCTCTTATGATTTAGATTCACAAGACTATAAACGTAGCAATGTGGGTGGACAAGGCCATGAATATGCAAATAGAGTCCTTAGTTTTATGTCCAGCTGATAGTAAAAAAGTAGATAAATAAGGATACTGTTGCATTGGAGAGCGCAGCACAGATTTGCTAGAATGTTACCAGGGATGAGAGGATACAGTTATCAAAAAAAATTGCACAAGTTGGAACTTTTCTCTCTGGATTCCATTGAGAGGGGACAAGATAAAGGTGGTTAAAATTACAATGTGGACAGTAGTAGTCTGAGTACAAAACAGGGGGGTATAAACATAAGATAGCCAGTGGCCGACCTAAAATAGTTTAGTAGTTTGCTTCTTTACACTCGGTGGTGAGAATGTGGAACTCATTGCTGGAAGCTGTGGTTGAAGTAAAAAGCAAAACATATTTAAAAGTAAACTTACATGAGGGAGAAGGGGTATATGAGAGTAGATTAGGAAGGTTGGAGGCTCATGTGAAGTACAAACAACAGTAAGGATTGAATGGCCTGTTTCTGTGCTGTAACCTTCTCTGTAATTTTAATGTAATTTCAATAGAATTCTAAATACAATTGGTTGAAAACATGGCAGATTACTGATTTACATCAGCTGGGTATCACTTTGCACAAATCACATTGTCAAGTCACAGATATCAAAACTGTATCTACTCAAGTTACACCAGCAGAGACTATTGCTCACTAGTAACTAGCATTGGGAAAACAGTGCCTGTTCAGGTGGATGTTAAAAGATCCATGACACTATTCAAAAAGATAATTACAATCTGAAAAATTAAATTCTCCAGCTCACCTTCATAGCCATGAGCTCTTGCATTAGAACCGCATTCTCCAGATCAAGTCGCTGACTGTCGCCCCGAGGCTTAACATCATAACTTAGTGGGTCAATGTGAATGCTTTCCAGTTCTAACATGGTTAGCTTGACTGCTGCTCTGTCATTCTTGAGCTGCTGAACATAATCCTTCAATCTCTGCTCATCTTCTTTTGTAAATTCAGTATCGCAGCTGCTGGCAGTTGAGCTTGTGGTGCTACAAAGACACCAAATTACAACCAGAATTGATCATGCATGTGTTAAATATTTGTACTTAATTATGATCACATATCAAATGCAAGAATCAATAATAACACCCTCATATCTCAAGTACAAAGTCATGGAGTCCTGTAGCTCAGTGGTTCGAGCCCTCGCCTCCAAGCGAAAGGACCTGGGTTTGATTTCCTGGCAGGGCAAAACGTTAGGCAAGTTTCCTTACTCCACACGTTTCTGTTTACCTAACAGTAAACAGGAACCCGATTGTTAGTCGGATTGGCAAATCGCTTTCTGGGGGGAATGATACCTTCAAAAAGAAATGTGGTCACTCAACCCACAACTGTTGGTGGGACACTGATATGCGCAATGGCTGCCGCATTTTGCCCACAAAATACACGATCACCTTGCTTTACAGTATATCCTGCGAAGTGCTTTGAGATGTCTAGAAGATGTGATAAGGAGCTTTATCAAATGCAAGGATTAGTTTTATTATCATTATAAAACATCCCTACTTAGCAAAACTAAATAGTATTAAATAATATATAGTATTGCTCATCTATCTTAGTATGGGATGAGGGAGGGTCAAAGTCAAGTAACTTTGTTTCTTGCCTGGGCATTTCAGACATTTTTCCTCCTCTATCTTGGAGTGTAGGTGGAGACTGTTTCTGCAGGAGACACAATTCAAGTAGCTTTCCTGTTATGTACAATGTTCCATCTAATTACCCAGCTCAGAAACAGTAAGGTAATATTTTCATCACGAGTTAATTGTTCCACTGCTTGAACTACAGGGTACCCCCGGATCAACGTCAAGATCCTCACAATCGTGTTCAAATCCATTCCCTCTCTGGCACCTCCCTACCTCTCCGACCTCCTCACTCCCCAATCCGGCGCCTCCGCTCGACTGACACTGGCCTCCTGCTCATCACTCACACCCTCCCCTCTACCATTGGAGGTCGCGCATTCAGCCACTACACCCCGAAACTCTGGAACACTCTCCCTCAATCCCTCCGCCTTAGCCCCTCTCTCTCCTTTTTCAAATCCCGCCTGAAAATCTTTTTTGACCGTGCTTACGGTCACCTCCCCCAGCACGGAGTCAGGCTCCGCCACTGTTAAGAGCTCTGAATCGCTACCCTGCATGCAGGGCACTATATCATGACCCAACTGTGCAGCGCCTTGGGACGTCCTCCTGACGTGAAAGGCGCTTTATAAATGGAATCTTGTTGTTGTTGTTGTATATAAGTGCAAGTTGTTGTTGGTGTTGAGATATTAAAATAATTATTTCTGAGCAAATCAGATGTTATCTATAATCACCTGGATTTCTAATATTGTTTAGCATATAATAATAACCCTTGGATTTGATATCCGGCCTTATCACATCGTTGAAACATCTCTAAGACTTCATAGAATATACTGTAAAGTGGGTATGACTGTATATTTGAGGATGAAACGCAGTAGCCAACTGCACACAGTTGTGGATTGAGTGACCAAATTATTATTATTTTGTTTAAGGGATTATTACCTCAATTATTACAATCGATTAACAACCAGGTTCCTATTTATTGCTAGGTAAACAGAGGCATGTAGAGTAAGGAAACCTGCTTAAGGTTTTGCCCGGGAATCAAACCCAAGGCCTCTCGCTTGTGAGGCAAGTCCTCTAACCAATACACTACAGGATTCCACGAATATACATATTAACAATGTTTTACAAATACTGTACATTTCTAAATTTTGTAAAAGCTTGTAAATATCTTCAGTAATCAAAGGGTTAAGCAACTGAATTTTTTCTGATCCAATTATTAGAACAATTTCACTAGACACAAATGCCAATTTATAAGTATAAACATTGCAATCCAAAGGCATAAATACCATTACCATTAAAACAGCATTCAAAGCTCATTGTGTATAATTCCGTTGTGAATCTCGTTCCAGGACTCTTCAGGATTTTGTTCATTTGTAAGTGTTCTATGCATGCACCCTTATTGAAAAAACAGTCAAAGCAATGCATGATAAATTCCCGGCAGGGCGAAACCTTGGGCAAGTTTCCTTACTCCACACGCCTAATAATAATCCCTCCAAAAAAAACAATAATAAATTGGTCATTTTCAATCCATGGTTGTGGGACACTGCTGTGCGCAATTGGCTGCCGCGTTTCGCCCACAAATACATGGTCAATTCACTTTACAGTATATTCTGTGAAGGGCTTTGAGACGTTGAGAAGACGTGAAAAAGCGCTATATCAAATGCAAAGATTATTATTATGAATCTTTGGTAAAATTATTTATTTGGGTAAAAATAATACTTCAAGCTAGGTTCTACATATAAGAATTCAGAACATGTTTTGAAGGCTGTTTTTTCTGCCACCTAAAGTTGAATAATATATTTTCACCACCATTTAATATTTATAAGCATTGCAGCGATTTATAATTGGTAGAAATGTTACAGACCTTGAAAGCTGAAATCTATATAATATGTGTGACATTATTAAATGTACCAGGATGATAAAACTTTAGATGAGTCACGTTCAGGGGCAGATAAATGAATATTAGAAATTGTCTAATAAATTAGAACTGTGGAAGCAAACTGACTTTTGATAGACTTCATGAAAAAATGTTAAAGGTTAAGAGATTGTGTTGAATAATATAAAATGCTTTCTAAGTTGCATACAGGCGTACTGTAATTGTTCATAGTTCAGGGGCAATGCATTTACCAAGTGGAATGTTATACCCATTTTTAAAGCTCTGAAATTGCAGCTGCAACCTCATTCTTGGAAGAAAACCCAGTGACATTTAAGGGTGACACTCCATAAACTCAAAGCACTCTCATCAAATCAAGCCTTGTGCTGTGCACTCATGATATGAAAATTATAACATGCTGCAAATATTCAATCTTCTCGTGATCCTTAGCAGCCATCAAAAAAAGTGATTATGAGTCAATTCCATGCACTGAATTTCAACCTTTCTTCTGAGATATCATGTTTATGACAACTAGAATCATATTACATCCTAACAAACAAGCAGAAGCTTAAAACTGGTGCTGAAAAACAATATGTAATTACCTTAAATGAAAAGGGAAGTCTAAGGATGTACTTTCATATTCATATTACTGACGCTGCCCATACACGGAAGAAAAATATTTCCGTTTAATCGAATAGCATCTAGAATGAAATTCTTCAGTACCTAGAACCAACCAGTGTCTTCTGCTACTAAGCCTTTCTTCCAGTGGCATATATTAGGGGTGCCATGCATCTCAATTAATTTCATCTTTAGGAGGGAACACTGTTTCGCCAGCATGGAGTCCAATCGAGACATGTCTTGACCTTCGGAAAGCACGGTACTGTCTGAGAATTGTTCTATACACAAACCAGAAAGCTGTAGGTTCTAATCCTAGTCTGTGATGTTAACCATCTCTGCCAATCTATAGCAGTGAGTGTACTACATCAGCACACACACTTCAGGGCCCGGGAACCAAAATTAGGAAGGATTCCTCAATTGCTATCCAACAAACCCTGCTGAAAGATGCATGTGTGCAGCTATTGACAAAGACAGAATCAGGTTAGGCTGTGATGTCCAAATGTACCTGTTTCAGCTACTGATTAAGATTTTGTAAATAAATATTTCATGGTGTCTGTCTCAAACATGCCCTTCACAATCCTGATCTTGTGCACCACATTCTACTACTCTGTTGTTCTTGTTTATTTGTTAATGCTGAAAGAAAGTTAATTTCATGCATATATCTTGGGAGAAAAATGAAAATCTTGTGGTTCAGTTTATATGACATTGAACTCTAAGAAGGTGAGATCAATGGCAGCCATGTGACACCTGAGAGAAAATGTGACAACAATAAGGAGGAGGCAATATGTAGGTATTAGATTGGAAACATTTAAGATAAACAAAACATAAAGCACTTGATGTTGTTCCAAGTTAAATTCAGAAAAATAGTAACTTATACGAGTTTGGTTTTCATACTTTCTTCTTTAATATTAGATAGAAGATTCATTTAAAAAAAGACAAACACACGATCAATGTGCCACTTGGACCACCCCTACCATCTTCAAGATTCACAGTTAATCAACAGGTTGGAAATTGATCTTTTGGGTCTGAACTGACTCAATATAACCAATAACAGAGAACCTACCTGGTGTGACTGTGTGAAGACAGACTTTCCCAAGGTTGTACAATACATCCCGTTACAGTACATGCACCACCACAACTACCATCGAGTTTCATTAATAGTGCTTTTGCAGCATTCTCTGCAGTTTTCCTGCAGTCATGTGCCCGCTTTAACATCAATGTTATGTTTTCCTCACCATTTTCATCACCTAGATAGTAGAGATAAAGTTTGGATTTGTTGAAGGCAATACAGAGGAACAATTACACAAGAACACAGAAATCTTATTTTCAGTTCAATTCAATAAAACATCAAGTAAGATAATTAATTAAACAAAATAAAATGTAGATTCAAGCATGCTTTACCAAAATAAACTAGAAGCTAGAAATGAAACATTCTGGTTTTAAATATCACTGCAACTCCAATTTTAACTACATGTAACTCCTAAACTTAATGTTGGAGTGGTGGGGGGGAGGGAGCAAGGAAGGAGAATGAGATAATGAAGTGCATAGCACATTGGAGCCTCAATGTCATCCGCTAGACTGAAAGAATGCAAATCTGCACAGGGCCATCTCTCCCCCTCCCACCACCCTACCCAACCAGCCATACTAAAATCAGAGGGTATGTTACCCAGGCTGTTGTTACCAATCTCCCAGTGGCGAGCTTCAAAGCCAAATTGGCAGAGGCCCAGAATAAATTACTGGCGCTTTTAATTAGCGATGGTAGGTGGTACATGATCTTATATTAATTTCCTCAAGCCACTGCACCACCCGAGGAAAGGTTTTGCTAAGTTAGTCATTTGGTAAATTAAGCTAAGCAAAACTCCAGACCACCTATTTAGTCCAATAACACCCTTCCAAGGTCCCAGCAGCTCAGGAATCATGTTACAACTATATTTGATTATTGCTATGACTGCTTTATTCATATAATCCTCAATCATATTCCTAATTACATAACGATCCATCTCTTTCTTAGAGTTGTCAATCAACCCAGTATTCATTTCTTTAGCTGGCTGTCTATTTCACACATTCATCACTCTGGGAGAAAAAAAATTCCTGATCATCAATTCGTTGCTTGTGACCTCCAGTTATGTGTTCAGAATCCAAATGAAATAATCTGCTTCATCTACTTTATCAATTGCTCTCAGCATTTCAAACCCCAATCAGGTTGCTCTCAATCCTCTTTTCACCAACTTAAAAAAAACATTCCTATAAATTCATTTCTGAGCCTTCCTTCATAAGATCTGAGCGCTGGTCAATAAATCATCCTGGTCAATTTCAACCCTCTCAGATATAAATATCCTTTTGAAGATGGAATGGTTGGAACTACACATATTTGAAATGTGGTCTCACTGTGATCTAAACAAGATGATATAGGTGTTTTCAATTTCAGATAGATATATGTCCTGAAATATCCTGTAAGTAAAATTTTTCGCACTGACTGGATATATCCAAAGAAAGTCACTAATCACACCCAAATTATTATTATTATTAATAACTACAAGAATAAAAATAATAATCCTTGCATTTGGTACAGGCCTTTCACATCGGGAGGATGTCCCAAAATGGTTCAACTGATTTATTATGAAGTACCATGTCAAATACTGTGTATTTGTGTGCTTTCACGTGATTACTAATGTATTTCAGACTGTATTGTCTGAACGCTCCGTGTTTAAGGTTTATGCATACCCTTACATCTACCTATCTATATTAAATTCTATCCACCATTCCTTAATCCATCAGTCACTTTCGATGCTAAACTATGCATCCTGACCCATCACCTAAGTTCACTAGTTTAGGAACAGTCAATGGGTATACTTGTGACCCCATTTCTTCTTTGAACACCCACGTTTACACTTATCCTTTTATTAAAAAATAAATGGGGCTAACCTTTATAATTCTCCAATCAAGTACAGTTCACTTATGAGAATCTAAAATGTAAATTCCTTTCTCATTTCCTTAAGGAAGCAAGGTGCACGTCACCAGGTTCACGAATCCTATGCGCATTTAATTCTGAGTTTCTTTTTAACAATGCATAAAGCGTAAGCAACAGTGACAGGATTCATAAAGCCGGTTTCTAAATCTGGTTTGCCTTTTGTCAGGGATTAGTAATTATAGTATAGAATAACAAGCAATTTGCTTTATTTAATCTAATTTAATATAAAAATATGTAATGTTATGAATGAGTCCAGAATGTTTTCTTGACTTAAGTACAGATTTCATTGATTAAACTGCTAGGCAACAGTGCACAAACTGCTATCCAAAACCACACCATTGAATTAAATGTCATGTATCAGTTTTATTCCAGTATATCTGATATCTGGCTTATTTCCACGAAATCTAGTTTGTAAAATTAAATTTAGTTTTAAATATCCTTCATTTACAGTACATTGTCAGGATTCCTAGTTTAGAAGCTTTGATGTCAAGGAGTCCTAACATATTGAATACAATAATGAAACATTCTAATTTCCATGTGCCAATAAAGTCTGAATAAAGAATCTGCAAAAGTGAGAATAATAATATTGTTGACTGCCAGTAGTGTAGAAGCAAAATAATTCATCACTAGTTAAATTCATAGCAAGAGTTAGATTTAATATGTCCAACCTGAACTGGTTTACACACTGAAGCAACGACAGTATTTTAATCAGCCACAGATGACCTACAGTAAATAGACAGAATATCCATATTGCAACTGGACTAGAACTTTGTAATTTATAACCAAATGATATTACATTTGTTTCTGTCCTATTTAATGAATATGTATGTGCCAAGGTTAGAATCAGATGTTCAATGAGGCAAATTCATGGAGAGATGTTCACAATAAAGCAATTAGTTACCATGATGGGATAAGGCAATTTTATAACCAACCACCTTCACTACCAGTAACCCAAGTATGAGGAGGAGAATTGAATGATGGTTCAGAATAGGGCTTCATCCAATGCTGCTAATGCTGAACGAGCGTGTGGCTTGGTGAACATACAGTGCTATTAGATGCAAGATAGGATCGAAGATGGGCAGTGGTGAGTGGACATACCCAGTATAACCCAAGGGAAAACCCTCAATCTGTGCATCATGTCTAATGAATATGCATGTGCTAATGTTAAAATCAAAGTTCACACACCCATCACCCTAATCCTCACTCGCTTCAACTGATACTCTGTTGCCGAACGGATCAACTTCAAGACCTTCACGCTCACATACAAATCCCTTCACTCCCTCGCACCGCCGTATCTCTCTGATCTGCTCACACCCCACTCCTCTGCCAACTCCTTTCGCTTAGTTAACCCAGGCCTGCTGTGCACCCTTGTACTCATCAACAACACTATTGGTGGCCATGCCATCAGCCACATTTTCTATTTTCCTTTTTTCTATTCCTATGTTGTAGACCGTGCCTTTGGTCACTCGCCCTCCTCCCTTGCTCTGCATCCAACCCTGCCATTCTACAGTGATCTGAAACACTACCTCGTGTGAAGGGCGCTCTATAAATGCAACTTTGAACAAGATTTTGTTCTTGTTGTCTGGTGTTATGGACTGAAAGTCTGAGGTAAAGTTATCGAAGGCCTCATCTGACAGAATGGAAATCTCATATCATGAGACTTAAGCCCCATAAATGATTAGGACAGATTAGAAGTTACGATCTATTTTACTGGACCTCCTGTATTGGGCAGCTCTGAGTAAGTAGGTACTGAGACTGGATGGTAAACTCAGTTGCTCTAAGATTATGGATTCGTTTTGTTCCTTTTTTTCTTGTAATTGTACTGGTATGTGCTTGCTAAACAACTTTCATCTGACTTTCATAACCACATGGCTGAATTGACACACCTAGAAGGAGTATAATTAGAGCTTTGATAATTGCATGACTCTAACATCATTGTGTGCATCATCAGGTTATTGGTGCTAATAATACTATTTTCAGTTATAAGCAATACAAAATCTTAACTATTTCAAATTCCTTTTGAAAATCAGTTCACTTATGTAAATCGTCTGTTTGAGGTTTCTCTCTTCCCGTTAATATACAAAATTTTTAGAAGCCAACAATTTATACCTACCTACAGATCCAACACCAGCAGCTCTGAATTGCCCCAGAATAAGCCCTTGTTCACTCTCAGCCAAGGCCAACAGTAATTCATAGGCTTCAATGCATTGCTCACTGCAAACATAAGGTGCCATCAAATATTAGTGATTATATTTTATAACTGAAAACTGCTGACATGACAATTCAGTATTACACAATGACTAACAACTTGCAGTACAAAAGTAAATTCATAATTAAAGCAACATTTCTTCATGAATGTGTTCACTTCTTCATTCTGTCATTGTGAAAATGATCCTTTCCTCTCCCCAAACCACGTTTCTGGTTTGGGGAAAGGAAAGATCATTTTCACAAAGACAAAATATTGAAACATATTTTGAGATTAATTAAGTAATAGTATCATATGATTGTCCACCTTTAACAAGTTTCACTCACTCCGTATTTGTATTAATGCATGATATTACACAGAAAACTACCTGAAATATCAATAAAACACTTAATATTTATTGTGTTTACCTGTACTGCAATGCAAGCCTTAATGCTGTGCTATTGGATTCATATTTACCAACCAGCATACTCATTCTTTCAGCATTGCTTTTGCATTCTTCCAATGTTATAGTTAATAAGTCATTTTGTGATTTTAAGTGTTCAATTCGACTGCAGGAGAAAAGGACACAAAGTTAATATAACAGAGATCGTATAAACTAGATGGTTTAGCAGAAGGTCAGTTTATAAATAGGGAACAAAGAATTAAGTAGGTTTTTTTTTACAATTTTGATGTTCACTAATCAAATAACTTTAAATTTTAAAACAAAATTTTACTTCACTCTACCCCCAATAGTGCAGGAGCATGATTCCACAAACACCGGCAGTCAGAGGGCTTGGCAGGCAAATTAGCTCTAGGGGTATGATAATAATAAATAATCCTTGCATTTGAAATAGCACTTTTCACGTCTTCTAGACGTCTCAAAGCGTTTCACAGAATATACTGTTAAGTGAATTGACTGTATATGTTGTGGGCGAAACGCGGCAGCCAATTGCATACAGCAGTGTCCCACAAACAATCGTGGATTGAAGTGACCCAATTTTATTATTTTTTTCTTGAGGGATTATTCTTAGGCGTGTGGAGTAAGGAAACTTGCCCAAGGTTTTGCCCTGCCGGGAATCGAACCCAGGTCTCTCGCTTGCGAGGCAAGTGCTCTAATCCCTGAGTTACAGAACTCCTATGATAGCAAAGACCAATCCTATTCTTATCCAAAAGTCACAACAATAGAATTTGAACAGGATCGGTTTGCATTGTACTTTTCATGTTGTTGACTACGATACATGCTCAACAATAAATATACTCCTTCCAACAACACATGAGAGGGCATAACTTATTTCAACAGAATTTGTACAAGCTCCCTTTGGAAAACCCTTCCCCTATTTTATAAATCTGTGTGATCCCAGTTCATAGATCCCAATATAGCACACCTACTTCCTGGCTAAAAAGGCAAGCTGCAGGTTCTCACCATGCTGAATACCGATGGTGGGGAGAGGGGATGATACAGTTCCAGAGTGAAAAGAGCGGTCATGGGAGTAGGATTGCCAGTGATCTTAGGGAATAGCGCGTCTGAAGGTGAGGAAGAGGATCTTAAAGTTGATGCACTGGGGGATAGGGAGCCAGTGAAGCTGGACGAAGATGGGGGTGATAGATTCCCTGAGGTTAGTGAGCGAGAGGATACGGGCTATGGAGTTCTGTATGGTATGAATATTCAGAGGTGGAGCTAGTGAGGCTGACAAGAAGAGCACTGGCAAGATCAAGTCTGGGGATGATAAAGGAGAGGAAAAGGGTTTCAGCTGTGCAGGAGATTCTCACAGTTGGAGGAATCCAGGGAGTCGATACAGTTAGCATTTAAGGAATGGAGGTGCTGACAGGAGCCAAGCAGGAAAGCTTCAGTTTTGTCGATATTGAGTTGGAGAAAGATATGGCTCATTCTGGATTTGATGTCTGCTCGGCAGTCTGTCAGAATAGCAGTGATTCTGGAGTCAAGGATAATAGAGGTAGAAAGTTGGAGTTGAGTGTCATCGGTTTTAATACTGAAGTGACTCCCATGACAAGGTAGAAGTCTGCTGATCTTTCTTTGTTGGCTCTTGGGAAAGTACAATGCAGGAGGAACTATAAGGAACTCATGTAGAATGTAATAGGAAATGACTGGCATCCTTCCAATCCATCTTTGGTCACTGTGGTTAACTGAAGCTGTTCAACCCGCCTGTTTAAAGCTGTTATTGTCAGTTTTTACCTGTTTAGCCTTTCAGTTTCCACTTCAAATTCACGAATTTTGCTTTCAGAGATGGCTGACCCATGGGAATAGAGTGTTTGAAAAATTTCTTGGATATTGGAACAGTCCTGCAAAGAATGGGCCAGGTGTTCTGCTACACTACTGGACACCTATGGAAGGAGATGACAATGCAGGTTTCTGTGAGATTTGCTGTTATATGCTCCAATGTTAGTTCTGTTAATTCTTACATTAATGCACATGAAATAATAAAATACAATGTTATAGTTCTGGGACACTCAATAGCCACTTATGGAATGTTCAGAAAAACAAACATCACAGGAAACAAAAATAGCGAACTTCCAATTCAAAGAAGGCGGCCAAAGACAAACAGAAGATTTGGCAGTTAAAATTTAATGCTAAACGTGTGAGTTTATACAATTTGGGAGGAAGAATAAGGAGAGGAAGCATATGTTATCATTTTAAAATGAGTAAAACGACATTGGGAGACTGCAAGCTAATGGAAACTACATCATTTTAAATCATGGCAAAAATCTTAAATCTGTCAAAATCCAATTTCTATTTTGACATAAATACCTCGCTCAAATTGACATAAAATAAATCCCATCGAAGGGTCATTACCAAAACTATTTTCCTTTTTCAGATAGTGGTTAGGCTGCTATGAATTTCCAGGATTGTTCGTTTTATTTGAAATTTCCACAATTGTCACTTTTCTTTCTATTCCACTTCAGAATCAGATCTCATTCTGTTCATAAAGATCATGCCTATCAGACATACAACCCAAATTCTATTTTTACTTGACCCTTACCAACTACAGTAAATTTCACATAAGTCTGAATTTTATAATAAATCATATAATCGCCTAAGTCGTACATCTGCCAAGTCCAATTGAATTTCCTATAACGTATGCAAGTTTCACATAACTCATACTTTGCACAAATCATATTAAATATATGGTCTCGAGATATGATGCGAGGTTATTAAAATGGAAGCACCGAGTGGTCAGAGATGACCTAGTGGTCAGAGGGTCTACCCAATACATCACAAATCCACACAGACATTGTAGTTGTAGGTTCAATTTACATTACATGCTTTGTTAGCTGATCTCAGTCAGCAAGTAGTTCTACTTCCACAATTGTCCTACCCACTCTTGGATTAAAGAAGGAAAAATCAACTAATGTTCCCACTACACATCACTTTCCAGTGATCATGTTGTAAAACGTGTGTATGTGGATGCCAGTGAGACAACTGATTTCTCCACTTGAATCTCCTACAATTAATTTAGCTGATACATGTTTTGCTTCCTAACCCCTACTCTCTAATGAATTTAAAAGATTTTACTGAACAAAACATCACATTATTCAGAATATTCGTGTTTGCTTTTATTTTATTTACATAATGGAGGCTGATATTGCTTTAAAGGCATCTGCAAAGTAAAGACTGCAGGCCAGTGCAGGCAAATTAGTCAGTGTATAAATTAGAGTAAATCTATTGACACTGCAATGTATACATAAGTGACCTCAATTCTTTACTAATGTGTCTGTCAAAAAGATACATGAATTGTTTAGTAACTTACCAGTGAGTGGTTTGGGAAATTGAGGCCTGACCTGCAAATTATGAACCATTAAAATTGTTGCTTCTAATGGGGTTTAAATACTTACACCAATACTGCTAATCTCTGAACCAAGAACTGGCCGGTCTGAAGAAGACGAGTCTGACCTTGTTTTAGACAGCTTTACCCGTTCAGCAACCTCGTGATCAAGGAACAAAATGCTAACATTAGTAATTGCTTTGCTTGTGCAATAGCATGAAAAAATATTTGCAAAAGCTGCATTACATCACAAAATTAATTCTTACATTGATTAATGCAGGTTGACACCCTTTAATTTTACCTAAAAGCCTCCAAATTAATATTAATTTATCTCCCTCTACAATACAAGTTCATGCGCCCTTTATGTTTGCCCTAAAATACTCTCAAGAGAAAGGCAATACGATTTCCAGGCTAATTATGGAGCCTCCACAGCAGCTGCACAATGACGGTGGCTGTTATAGATAATGCAATGAGATTGCCAGAGGCCACAGAAACTCACCTTTGCAATAGGGATATCATTGCTGCTGCTGCTTGTGCTGAGCTCACCAGTACTTGGGTTGATTGGTCGATTTGCTGCAGTCAAGCGGCTTGGACTAGCTGGACCAGATGCCTGAATGCTTTGCAGACGTGTCTGCAGCTCTCGCACCTGCATTAAAAACACAAACCACTGTAATTGTATCCAACAGATATCATTTTTAGGAAATGAGTAAAATTATGCAGACTATCAAACAGATGCAAAACAAAATTACAATAACATCAGGAATAAAAATATTCAAATTATCTCCAGCTCATCAAGCGTTCGTACAAACAATTTTAGAATATTACATGTACAAACACATTCTAAAGTCTTAACAACTTCCATTTATGTAATGCTCTTCACGTAAAAAATAAATGACTTCATAAAATATAATTGATTTGAAATGAAAGTGAATGTTGTTATAGAGGCAAATGTGGTAACTAGTTTGGATTAAGAGGGGAATATAAAACAGGATAAGAATTTTTTTATCTTTTTTATTTAGCCTGCAGTGTCTGTAGAACATGTTTCACGCTTAAGTTTGCTGGCATGCTGTGCCTACATTAGGCACTGCGCACATTTAAAGATTGAGGCAATTTGTTTGATTGCAGCCCTTGAGGTGGAGTTGGGCTGCGTTGGGGATGGGGGAGGTGGAGAGAAGTGAGGTCTATATTGATTATTAGTCGTAGAAGTAGTCGTCTTGCTGGATGAGGTATTTTTGAATCAGACTCTGGTAAGATTATCTAAGTAATCCTTGCTTTATCTCTGACCTCCACCTACTCACTCTTCAATATTTCACTTTAAGAATTCAAAATTGTTTCTCTATTGCTGCTTCCAGCCTTGGTCAGTTGCCCCTCTGAGGGAGAGAGAGATTGTGTACTCGAGAACCAGAAATTCTGCTTTTGTCAATTCACAAGATCAGTTTGGGGTAAGGCCTATTTGATCGCATTCTTGCACAATCCCAAGCCAAACGTACTCCAATCACAGTATCGAGACGCTTTTAAAAATTAGTCCAGTGTCCTGACCTCAGCTCCCTTCCTGGAAACATGTTCCAGTTGTGAATTACCATTCTCTGCCAATTAGGGTTAGGGTTAATCCTCAATTGTGGTTATCGCCAGACTGCGCCTAATATTTTCCAGAGTTGGGTAGGCAGGATGCATCCATCCAGGAAAGAAGAGTGCACATTCCATTCGAACAATCTATCTCGGGAATCTCCAAGTGTAGGTGGGATGCATGGAAATCTCAGTTGGGTTTGGAGACTCTTAACCATGGTGATGGGTTTCCACATGTGTCAAGACACCCAGCTGACCAAAAAAATGCATCTGATCGACACCCAAGGGGCAGAACTTGGAAGAAACAAAGCCTGAAAAACGTGAAGGAAGGAAAATGGGAGCAGGGGGGGTGATTTTCTCAATCTTATCATCATTTGACCATAGCAGAAACCTTGAATGTTTTAGCCAAACTGAGAGCAAGTTTCATTGCCGGGAGACTATTCAATAATAAAAAATAAAAATAATTTGGTCACTTGAATCCACGACTGCTTGTGGGACACTGCTGTGCACAATTGATTGCCGAGTTTTGCCCACAAAATATACAGTCAATCCATTTTACAGTATATTCTATGAAGCGCTTTGAGACGTCTCAATGACGTGATAAGGCGCTATATCAAATGCAAGATTATTATAAACAAACTGCAGTATTGATTTGGAAAAAACTACACAATTAACACAATGCAAAAAAACTACAAAAGCAGACTCAGTACTTTGAGTTAAACCAATTAAATTGAATTGATGGAAAACGGTTGAATACCACTATTCACACCATCTGCTTTTCTAAATATTTCACAGAAGTGAGTTTTATGCCCTAAATTCCCCGTTGATGATCATCAATGGAGCTTTATCAACTCCAAAGTCTGCCAGCTAACAATCTCACAAAGAAAACAAAAACATAATTTTCCAACCAAGCAGTTTAGCAACAAATGCTTCCAGTAAAATTGTCTAAACAATGACAGAGGGGATTCTGTGTATTTTTTGTTGTTAGATTTTGAACTCTAGGCTCATTTAACAAAGGCTAATTTAATTTATAAAATTATGCCAAGTATGTCTTTCTACATGTCACTAAAATTGTACCTACAACTTTTGATAGCAAAATTTAGAATAATTTCAATGCTAATTTTTGTCTTTTATAATGGCTTGTATTCTTAAGATGTTCCTGGCTGGGTAATAGATCATAAAATCTGAACAATTGTAGTATTAATGATGGCATTAAGCCCAATGAGCCCAAGTTGTGCTCGTTCATCACTGGTGCTAACAACTCTGATCCCGATAATCTGGTCTATCAAACTATCTCTTAAACATTCTGATCTCAAACTCAAGTCACATGTGACAAAGCATTCTATGTTTTACGAATCCTATGCATATAAAGGTTTCTACTAATCTACAAAATTTACAAAGAATGTACCAAAGCATGGAAACAGGCCACTTGGCACCATCAGGCCGCTTTGTATACTCTATATGAGTCTTCACCCATTCCTTACTCCTTCACACCCTTGTATTCCTCTCTCTCTCATGGGAAGGTCTATTGTGCTCTTGAATGCATCTGCACTATCTACTTCAACCACCGCTTTAGGCAGCAAGTACCACAACCTCACTGTTCTGTGTGAATTTGTTCCTCCTAAAATTCTCCTTTTTTCCCTCTCTCCCTCTTAATTCTTCGGGTGACAATCTTAAATTTATACCTTGTTGTTGCCGATTAACCAAAGAGTAGGATAAAATATAGGAAATTATAATTAAAAAAAGGCAAATTCTCTATCCCCCAATCGTTAAAAAAATTAAATTCTGAAAAAGTATCAAGCACAGAAAATGTTTCTCCACAGGAAAGAAAGCAATGCAGATGTTCATTTACTTTACTAAATTTGTTAGTAACAAGCATCAATAACCTGGTCTTAAACTAATTTAATCTTAAGTACTCCAGAATATCCTTCAGAGAGTACTGAATTTAATTACAGAATCTTAAAGTAGATTTATTGATTCAGAAATCTCTAATCAATATTTTGTAACGAATTCAATCAGAATTAATCTTGAGGAAATGTGTAATGAAGCACAAGACAAAACAAAATCAAAATATTGTTTCTCGAGTCTCTCGCAGCCTTACTAACCTAAAATATTCTGTTCTGCAACCTCATCACCCACATTCTCACCAAGCTCCATAATGTGTTGACTTTAAGTTCCTCATCCTTACTTTCAAATGTCTCCACAGCCTTGTCCTAGTTCTTTACTTAGAGGGTAAATAGCAACTGGAGCAGGTTCCAAAGAAGGGAGGTTAAGGCCAGGACACCGAACTCATTTAAAAAGCAGCTTGATGTTGTGATGGGAGGACATTAGAGTGAGTGTTCTAGAAGGCCTTTTTCATCCAAACCAATGTCGTGATCCTAACTCTGAACTCCTGAAACCCAAATCCCTAGTCACTCCCTCTATTGTAAGATATTAAAAATTATCACATGGTATAGCAAAACTGAACTATAACATTCCCCACCAACACAGAAAAATAGCAGGATACCCAGATTATTCCATTCACCGTGCCCGCAAACACTGCTACTAATTTACAATTAGTGATGAATAGGATTTCAAACAGATTCTTACCCTCCGTCGTAACCGGTCTCTTTCTTCACGTATAGCATTCATGGTGGCCTTGGTTCTGTTCAGCTCTTCTTCTTTACTACACAACATCGCTGTGAGGCTTTCATTTTCTTCCCTGAGGCCCGCTAACTCCTTCTCCCATCGAGATCTCTCCTCGGTGAGGGTGGGATAAAAGTCACGTCCTAATACTCCCTCAATTTCCTCAACAGTCTATTAAGAATGCCAAAGATTTCAGCAAAACAATGTTTGCAAGAAAGGAAGTTAAGAAGTATTACACTTCCTAGAATTAGTGAAAAAGATAGTTATATATAGCATCTAATCCTTAAATATAGAAGCACTGAGAGCAAGTTTAGAATTTGAAATGCATGAATGCTCTATTAAATTTTTCAATCAATTAATTTCTCATTGCAATCGTGAGCAATTTAACAGAATACAAAGGTCATCTTCAATAAAAAGTCAATACCTCTGTTAAAACAAACCAAGAGGTTTGAGAACGATAAAGAAGGAGACATTAGATGGATGAGAATAGGTTATAATCAAGAAATACTAGGAGAGGTAGGCAAGCATGAAATCTAAAAGTCTCAAGTCCATAAATCATTAAAATCTATTTTGCAGGTGCAGAAAGCAATCAATAATGGTACTGAATGTTACGGTTTACAACAAGAGATCAAGAATCAAGGAAGTGTTTTCCAGTTATACAGCAATTTTATACAAGTGTTAGATGCAGTATTAATAACATTGTTTAAAAGAGAGAGAGATACTTTGGAAAATGGGGAAAAAGGAATCAAAGAGCTGGCATAATCTAGCAAACGGGCAAAACAGACTGAATAACCTCCTCCTGTTTTTAACATTAAATGATTGAATTATAGAAAGTTAGTAGAACAACTAATCACTGCAATCCAATACCTTAGTATGATGAGCAAATGCATACAGTGAAGTAGTATCACATACTTAATTAACCTTATAGGAAACCTATCAACAGGTTTTCCTAGAATATTTCATGTCAATTATTTATGATGAAATGCCTGTTGTTGCTTCACTTTAAAGTTTCTCAACCTTTGCAGTTTGTGATTTATGCCGTCATGGACTGAGTTTGGGGGGGGGGGGGGTGGTAAGTACAAATAAATACCACAAAATAAATAAAGAGGATGAATTGTACGTTAGGGATTTGAATGTCTTTTTACCATTGTACATTCAAAAATTGTGGAAACAAATCAATTGGATTTTAGTGAACTATAACAATAATAAACTGTAGTCTCTTAGCACAACTAGAGGTCAAAGAAAGATTCTCAAGACCATTTGTTGGTCCAATCTGAACTCCAGCTAACAGGATATAGTTTGCCAGTGTAACAGAACTGAACTAAACTTGTACATTTTGATATAAGAACACATGGATTACATGGATTGAATTTTCAGAAAAACATGGAAAGTATTGTTTTACGACAATGGTTAAACTAGACAATCCAAACAACAGACTAACTCGTACAAATACCTTTATGGCCAGGTCGCAGTGCTCACTGGCAGTGGTGAGTTGTTCAATATGTCTATCTACCTCTGCCACTGATAAATTGCAGCTGCTTTTCTTCCTTCCACATACCACACTCTCCAGTCCAGTTAATACCCTCTGCAGCTCCGAGTTAAGGTCACTGCATGTATCTAACATAAAACAAAGCATAAATAAACACATGTGAATTACTCGTGTCTACAAAAATTACTATATTAACAACTATGACCAAAATTTGAAAAACTATTCTACTTCAAAAGAATACATCCATGTGAAAGGTGTATACAAATGTCAATCCTCAAATTTCACAATCAACAGACATTCAGAAAATTAACTCTGAAAATAGGACACAGAATAACTAAGTGATCCGGCATCCAGTTTACTTTCTTTATGAGAAATGAAACAAAATATATGGCAATTGATTGGCAATTGGTGCTCAATAGTATAAGTAAATATGCTGCTGTTTGGTTAAAATTAGTGTGAAATTTTCAATATTAATCCGCCTCTGTTCTGTGCACAAAGCAGACGAAAATGGACAAAACTATACTGTGTGTGATTTCTCCGTACTGGATATTGATGTAAAATGCAGAAGTAGGTTGTGGGTGGAGGCAGATAGACAAGTAGGGAAAGAGCATGTGCAAGATAGCAATTTCTACTGACATTTACACCAAGATGCATGGAAATAATGTATTCTCATTTGTCACAGTAAATTACTTACATACTTTGTTATTTTAATGCTAGAAACTCTATAACTACTCCCATTTTCACTTCCCTTTTTTCTCCAATTGAACCTCGGATCTCAAGCCAAAGTATTTCAAGCAACGAAACAAGGTTGAAACAGGATAGAAGAGAACCTGCATAATAAATCTCATATGAAAGTAGAGAAAAACAATTTAAAACTTCTATTACAACATTTCAGTGTTAGGAGAGTTACTGCACTCTAAAGTAACTTAATAAGTAGCAGCAGCTGTTAACCCACATTGATGGATCACTAAAAAAATGGAAGCGACATCCACATCTACTATCCCTTGGAGAATACTGTCACATTGCATTAATGATTAAGGGACAATAACCTTATAAACAAGGAGCTTGCTAATATGGAGTTATTCTAAATTAATAGCATTTTCAAAAAAATAAAAGTGAAGATATTTCTTTAGTCTTTAAAAAGTTCTAATTCACACAATTATGTGAATAATGTGACAACACAGAATAAAAAAGTATAATAATTTGACCTAAACAGTAGCATTCTTTTAAATACAAATGGTTTTCTGTAAGGTGAAAAATATTTATATCTGAGGTGACTGAAAGCCTTGGAGCCGCTTTTGGAACACTCCACCCATTCACCAGCAGCTCCAGTTGGTGACTCGCGATTGACTCCTTCCATCTCCATCCTGGAGCCACTCGAGATACAGAAGGCACCAGTGAGTATATCCAACAGCAACCAGTGCGGCATTTTATCCGGATTAACCGATTGTTGTACGAATTAACAGACTTATTCAAATAGGTAAGAATACAACAAGTTGCACTTATATAGCGTCCTCCGCACAGGGTAGTGTCTCGGAGCACTTAACAGTGGCGGAGACTGACTCCAAGCCGAGGGTGAGGTGGTGGGGGAGAGGAGTTGACCGAAAGCATATTTGAAAAGGAAGATTTCAAGGTGTGATTTGAAAAAGGGGAAAGGGAGCAAGGTGGCAAGGTGGAGGGATTGAGGGACAGTGTTCCAAAGTTTTAGTGGCTGAAGGCACGACATTCAATGATGGAGCAGAGGGTGCGAGGGACAAGCAGGAGGTCAGTGTCAGTCAAGCGGAGGTGCCGGGTGGTGGATTGGGGAGTGAGGAGGTTGGAGGTCCCAGGGAGTGAAGCGATTTGAACACGAATGTAAGGATCTTGAAGCTGATCCATTTGGTGATGGGGAACCAGTGAAGCCTGTCCAGAACTGGTTAAAATGGGTGTATGGATTTTGGTCCGGGTCAGTATGTGGGCAGCAGAGTTCTGAATGAGCTGGATTTTTTGAATAGTGGAACTGGGGAGACCAGCAAGAAGTGCGTTGGAGTAATCGAGGCGGGAGGTGACAAACACACGCACGAGGGTTTCGGCTGCATTTGGGGTAAGGTACGGTCTGAGGTGGGCAATGTGGTGGAGGTGGAGGAAGGGACCGGATGTGGGGGAGGAAGGACAGCTGGAGGTCGAACCGGATGCCTAGATTCCTCACTGGTTCGACGAATCTGAGGGAGAACCCAGGGAGGTTGAGGAGTTTAGATCTGCAGGAATGAAGACGTTGACGGGAGCAAAAGAGTATGGCTTCTGTCTTGTCCACATTCAGCTGCAGGAAGATTGCATTCATCTGATGTCTGCCAGGCGGGTTGATAGAACATCGGTGGACCTGGAGTCGATACTGGAGGAGGCAAAATAGATTTGTGTGTCATCTGCATACATGTGGAAATTTACCCCATGTCTGCTGATGACATCGCCAAGCAGGAGCATATACATTAGGAAAAGAAGCGGGCCAAGGATGGAGCCCTGGAGTACCCTGCAGGTGACCAGACAGGAACAGGAGGAGAAACCATTTGCCAGGATAAAATGGAGGTGGTTGGTTAAGTAAGACTCGAGTGTGGTGCCACTAAGGTGGATGAGGGAGGAGAGGTGGTGGAGGAGGAAGACGAAGTCGACTGTATCGAACACAGTAGAGAGATCCAGCAGGTCGAGGAGGCAGAGGGAGCCCTGGTCACAGATAGAGAGAACGTCGTTTGTGACTTTTATCCTGCCCACAGCTGTCTCTGCTGTAGGCAGGACGAAAACCAGACTGCAGTAGCTCGAGGAGGGAATGGAGGGAGGTGTGACCGAAGTTGACCTGCAACAATGAACTCCAAGACTTTAGCAAGGAAGGGTAGGTTGGAAATGGGACAGCAGAGTAAGAGATTAGAGGGATCGAGCGTGGGTTTTTTGAAGAGGGATGTGATAACGGCTCGAATACAAATGATTAGGGCCGGAAGTGTTATCCAATTTACCCAGCACCCAGGGTTAATCGGCATTCTGTTAAAGTGGCCTCCACTGTGTACATATAGAAACCTCATATATATGCACCATGGCCCTTGTGTGTAAAACAAAACACAGCTTCAATTTTTGAAGTTTTACAGGAATAGATCGTTACAACGCGCCCCAGTTGTGTGCAAGTTCACTTAGAGCATAGTCCGTTGTGAACTGAGTATATGGGTCTACTGCCGTACCAAAAGCACGATATCCCAGATACCCGGGTCATCAGGTAACCACTGGCATCACTTCCTGTGTATTGTGTGAGGTTCGTTCCGCACAGGAAGCGTTGCTGATGTCGCTTCTTGTGTGTTGTGCATGTACATTATGTGAAGGAAGCCCTGCTGATGGCCCTATTTAGAAAAAGTGGGTCCACTGAAACGAATTTAGCTCCAGTGTGAAAGCATTTCAATTTTAAATTTTGAACATTTTGCATCCATTACATAAAGGTACACAAGAATTGTTTTACCCTTTAACAAGCCCAAATTAATATAGTTTCCAACATGAAAATTATTTAAACTGTATTCTGTAAAACTCAAACAGAATTAAATTAGATTTAGAGAATTGTAGAGATTCCCTATTGAATGTTAAATAGTGCATGTGCTAAAACAATAAAACACTTTGCTCCCACTCCCACTGTGAGGAAATGCTGACTTCCTCGTGTCCAAAATTGAGGGAGTCCACTCAACCACTGCCCTCCCAACTTACACACTCTCCCAACACCCCCCCACACTCTGACCACTACATATCCCTCCTTCCACACCTTTGAACCTGTCTCCCTCTCCTCTATCATCACCACCATATCGTCCATGAAGCCCACCACCTGCTCCCTGGACTCCATCCCCACCCCTCTCCTTAAATCCCAGCTCTACCTCCTTGTCCCACTACTCACCGACATCATCAACCTCTCCCTGTCATCTGGCACTGTTCCTACCCCCCTCAAAACAGCCATTATCACCTCCACCTTGAAGAAACCTTCCCTTGACCCACACAGCTATCGACCCATCTTCAACCTCCCTTTGCTGTCCAAGGTCCTTGAGAGCCGTTGCCTCCCAGCTTCGCTCTTTCCTCTCCTCTCACTCCCTTCATGAGCCCCTCCAATTGGGTTTCTGTGCTGCCCACAGCACAGAAAATGCTCTAGTCAAGGTCACAAATGACATCCTGACCATGTGTGACCAGGGGTCCCTCTGCCTTCTCATCCTCCTCGACCTTTTGTCACTGTGGACCATTCAATCCTCCTCCATTGCCTCTCCTCCCACCTCAACCTCCAAGCTTCTGTCCTTGACTGGTTCAGGTCCTACCTTTCACACCGCCTCCACTGCATCTCTGTAAACGCCTTCTCCTCCAGCCCCCGCACCGTCTCATGTGGTGTACCTCAGGGCTCTGTCCTCGGTCCCCTCCTCTTCCCCCCTACATGCTCTCCCTTGGTGACATCATCTGAAGACATGGGGTAAATCTCCACATGTATGCAGATGATACCCAACTCTATCTCTCTGCCTCCACCCTCAACTCCAGGACTACTGGCGTCCTAACCGACTGCCTGTCCGACATCAAGTCCTGGTCGAGGGACAACTTTCTTCACCTGAACATCAGCCAGACCGAGGCCCTCCTGATTAGCTCACGCCAGCTACTCTGCATCTCAGGCGCTGGCAGCATCAGCCTCCACGGCTGCACACTCAACCTCACTAAGCCAACTCTTCCCTTCACAAGCTGCAGATGATCCAAAACTCCACAGCTCGTGTAGTCTCGTGCACCAGGCTCCATGACCCTATCACTCCCAACCTCGCCCGACTCCCCATCCCTCAGAGGATCGAATTCAAGATCCTCGTCCTCACTTTCAAAGCCATCCATGCCTTGCCCCCTCCTACCTCTCTGACCTGCTGACTCCCTACCAGCCTGCCCACTCCCTCCTTTCAGCGGGTTCCGGTCTGCTCCATGTCTCGCGCCTGACCATCAGTGGCCGGGCTTTCAGCCTCTCTGCCCCCACTCTCTGGAACTCCATCCACAGTCCCTTCACTCTCTTCCTCCATTGCCTCCTTCAAGGCCGGTCTCAAGATTCTCCTCTTCGATCGTGCCTTCGATTGCCCTCCCACCTCTCTGCCTTCCCTCACCCCTCCCCCATGCTCGGATCCTGACCCCTGACTGTCCAGCACCTTGGGATGTCCTCCCGACGTGAAAGGCGCTCTATAAGTGTAATTTTGTTGTTGTTGCACTCCAAGTTCCACTTGTCTAATTGTTGCCTTTAAAAGCAACAATTGTTATCAAATGTTTGAAAAAGTACTTTTTTAAAATACTCTATTGAATATTTAGTATTTATAATTTGTATTATACAACAGAAAAAACAGTGATCGAAGAACATTTTGCGCATGTTCAACAATTTCTCAGATGATACTTGTCTCACCTATGTCTGCAGATACCATGATAGACTGATTCTCTGGTACTGAGGCAGATGTTTGATCCTGGTCCACACTCCTAGAATCATCATTTGCCTCCTGTTGACTGTGGCTAAGTTCTGAACGCAACTCTGAATACTCATCTTCTTCTCTGTGGAATAAACACACCACTTAGAATTCTTAAGAGATGATAGCATTCAGGATTTTCTGACTTAAATTAGAGACAGTGACGGATAGAAAGAAAGGGAAACCCAGCGGTAGGAGACACACACAAAGAAACAGAGAGGTAGACAGATAGAGTTAGTAACCCAGTCCAGACAAAATAATAATAGTTCTTACATTTGATACATTTGATACACAATCAATAATTGATAATTGATAATAATAATTGATAATTGATTATCACATAATCAAGACATCTCAAAGCACTTTGTATAAGTTACACTGAAATTTAGCAACAGCAAATGCAGCAGTCAAATTGCACACAGCAAAGTCCCACAAACAACCATGAAGTAAATGACAAATTTTTATCTGGAGAATTGTTGGCCAGGACATCGGGAGAAACTCCCTCGTCTTTTTGAATAGTGTCCTGCGATCTTTAATGTCTCATCCGAAGAATGGCAAATCTAACAATGCAGTGCTTTCTCACAACTGCGCCAAAATGAGTGTCAGCCAAGACTGATTTCAAAGTCCTGAAGTGGGACTTGAAACCACAGCCTTCTAATTCAGAGGGGAACACCAACTGAGCCAGGCTGACGAGATCAACAACAGCTTACACTTATATAGCGCCCTTCACGCCGGACGGCGTTTTGGAGCAAGATCTGAAACTAAAACTCACTATAGGATAGCAATGGCAGATGATAGGCTCTTCAAATTTGAATCTGGTGCCAATAAAAAAATTGAATAATGGGGTTATTCTTATTTTATTTTATTATTTAGGGTAAAACTAAAATTTTGCCTCTTTTCCAGTCTTCTGTTCGGTAAATATACAAAAGTTACAAAAACATTTTCCACGTGTTGGCAGTGAGTGAGATATGATGATTGTAGATAAAACGCAATTGACATGACACCCACGCACTTAACAGTCACCTCTATTAAAATGATAAAATATTAATTTTGACATTTCATTTAAACATGTTATAAATAGAACACATAATGGCTAGTGGCGACACAAACGAGAAAACTGAGGTTTAGATAGCAGCTGGTCCCTATACTTAATTGATTTGTTTTACTTATCCCAAAGAAAACATCTTATGACTAACCTCAATTGTGAATTTTTAATTATATTCTACTGCCAGCCAAAGCTCCTTACATAACTAATGGCTCCATACAATCAGCGAACGGCTTCACAAAAAAGAACCATTTGGTCATTACTGAGTAACAATAGATTTCTTATTTGATGCCATATTTAAGAGCTAAACACTTGCACGTGAAAGGCTGCAAACAATTTCAATACTGCATACACGCAGGCTCAGCCACATTGTCAGAAAGAGGCAACATATTTAGGAAGATTATGAAAGCATGCAGTAATATCATAATGACATAGTATGCATAGTGAATCAATAATGCTGTATTTAATTCAACAACAACAACAAAATTACATTTGTATAGTACCTTTCACATCGGGAGGTCATCCCAAGGTGCTTGAAATTCAATGATTTCAAAATGTAAAACTACTGGTGATTTGTACCAGTATATTCATATCAAAGGCAGGAAAATAAATGTAAAAAAGTCTGTGATAACTTCTCACAATGTAAAACAACAAGATTCCATTTATAGAGCGCCTTTCACGTTGGGAGGACGTCAAGGCGCTGTACAGTTGGGTCAGGACCCGAGCTTTGGGGGGGAGAATGGGAGGGAGCGAGGAGGGGGAAATGGTGAGGGGAGGGAAGGGAGGGAGCGAGGAGGGGGTAGAGAGTCGAGAGGGGAGCTGAAGGCACGGTCAAAGAGAAAGGTCTTGAGACCGGCCTTGAAGGAGGAAAGGGAGGAAGCGACGAAGGCACTGGGGGATAGAGTTCCAGAGCCTGGGGCTGAGAGGCTGAAGGCCCGGCCACCGATGGTAGGGCGGTTGGGGCGGGGGATGTGGAGCAGACCGGAGCCAGAGGAACGGAGGGTACGGGCAGGTAGTAGGGGGATAGTAGGTCGGAGAGGTAGGGGGAGCAGGCCGTGAATGGCCTTGTAGGTGAGGATCTTGAAATCAATCCTCTGGGGGATGGGGAGCCAGTGGAGGTGAGCGAGGGTGGGAGTGATGTGGTCCCGAAGCCTGGTGCGGGACAGTACACGAGCTGCAGAGTTCTGAATGACCTGCAGTGTGGAGGGAGGTGGCGGGAAGGCCGGCGAGGAGAGAGTTCCCATAGTCCAGCCTTGAGGTGATAAAGGTGTGGACCAGAGTTTCAGCAGCGTGAGGGGTGAGGTAATGCCGTAGTCTGGCGATGTTCCGGAGGTGATGGAAGGCGGTGCCAGTTGTGGTGCGGATATGAGGGAGAAAGGACAGCTCAGGGTCGAACAGAACCCCGAGGTTCCTGACTGTCTTTGAGAGGTGGAGAGTGCAGCCTTGGAGGCTGATGGTGTCAGCGCCTGAGGTGCGGAGGCGCTGACGTGAGCCAATCAGGAGGGCCTCGGTTTTTCGCACGTTGAGCTGAAGAAAGTTGTCTCTCGTCCAGGACTCGATGTCAGACAGGAACGCTGTCAGGACATCGGTGGTCGTGGAGTTGAGGATAGAGGAGGAAAGGTAGAGTTGGGTGTCATCCGCATACATGTGGAAGTTAACCCCATGTCTGCGGATGATGTCACCAAGGGAAAACGTTTCTTTAAGAAAATAAATCAGGCTTCCATTATAACTTCTAAACAAAGAGAAACAAAGGCAAGAGACAGTGGAAACATAAGTGAACCACAGGCAATTAATGATGCCAACAAAATTCCTTAGTCAAATTAACAAAACTGTGCTTAAGTGACACTTAAGGTTTACTCCCACGTTACAGTAATTGCTTAGATATCCTTTAAAGGGAAAACAAATCTGTAGTTAGGTTGCAAGAAAATTTCTATGATGATTTAATAATAATAATCCTTACATTTGATATAACGCCTTATCACTTCTCCCGAGACATCTAAAAGCATTTCACAATATATACTGTGAAGTGAATTGATTGTATATTTTTGTGGGTGAAATGTGGCAACCAATTGTACGCAGCAGTATCCCACAAACAGTCGTGGATTGAGTGATTAATTTTTTTTAAGGGATTACTACCCCCGGAAAAACGATCCACTAATTGACTAACAACCAGGTTCCAACTTAGTGTTAGGTAAACAGAGGCATATGGAGCAAGAAAACCTGCCCAACGGTTCACCCTGCCCGGGAATCAAACCCAGGTCCTCTTGCTTCTGAGGCGAGTGATCTCAACACTAAGCTTCAGGACTCCACAACTAATTTAATTGTATTTTCAGATATTGATATGACCAGCACTGCAAGTCACTTTCTTCTCAGGTTTTCAGGTCAGACTTCTACGTGGCCTACAATTTCTGGTGAAAATTGCATCACTGTGCCTTTGGGAATAGACAACTCTCTCTAAAACCCTTTCAAGCATTTTACCTCAAACATTGTAAGCACCAAATTAGTTGCAGCTGTTTACTGATATCAAGGCTATATAACCCAGACAAGCTGTCTTTTCTTGGTTCATTTGGGAGTTTAGACAATTAGATAATACTTGGCTTGACCTCTTAACCCTTATTACTTCATTTGTATCTTCTGCCCAACAGAAGTTGTTACAAATCTGTGGGTTATTTAATGCAGTATCTCCTAATAAGTTAAACCTGAAAGCAAATGTTCAAACAGAAAATACTGTCTGCAAGAGATATGTAATATTCATTTCAAGTCATTACAATCTTCTTACAATCTCAAGTAAGAGCTGCAGATGGAACAATCCATCTTCTTGAATGTAGCTTCGTATTCTAAATGAAGTATTTTGTATTTTTAATTTATTAATTCCATAGAATTGCATAGAATGCTACATTAAGGGAGCAGGCAATTCATTTTAACTAATCCAGGACAGTGTTTATATTCCACATGAGCCTCCACACCTCCTAATCCCCCTTCTCCCGAATGTATGCATCAAGTTCCCTCTTAAATATGTTGATGCTTGTCAAATGGACCATTTGTGATTACTCATTTGAGAATTGATGTGATAAGAGAAATTGTGGTGAGATTTAAGAAATTCCGCATGCCATTTTGCTCCTCTACACTTTAAACTAATAGTATTTATTTGCTTGGCAATTATGCTGTTTGGCAATTCTTGGCAATTCTCCTAAGTATGCTGTTTTTCTGAAGGTGTCAAAGTAAACAATATGTGAAATTCCACAGGAGAAAAATTGTGGTAGCGCTGTCCATTTGCCTCACCACAGATGAGGAGGGTAAGACTAAGAAAATGCACCACATTGATTTGGAATTTAGGGGATGGGCCAACTAAAGCATTGATGAATTTTTCTATTAACCAGGGCCAATAGAAAATTGTGGAAATTTTTGCCTAAAATTGTGGGAAAATTTGGCAAATCTTACTAAGGATTGCAAGGGGTTGGTGCTATTGAGAAGTATGTTTACTGCCAACCTATATTTTTTCACTTTATTAAGACTAAACATGAAGAAATATCACATATTAGATAGTTGCAAAAAGAAATTATTAATGCTTTCTTTAACAAAAACTGGGTGGTCCACCCGGGGGATAGGGGGAGCACTAGCGCAGGCCCGAATGGTGCATTTCCACTGTGCACTACATTTAAACGCCAATGTCCTGGCTGCGAGGCTCCAGGTCACAACCTCTGCCTCTCAGGCCTGTCACTGCACACAGCTACACACACTCACCAGCACAGAGATACACACATACACAAAGTGCTTCACAGAATATACTGTAAAGTGAATTGACTGTATTTTATGGGCGAAACGTGGAAATCAATTGCACACAGCAGTGTCCCACAAACAGTCGTGGATTAAGTGACCAAATTATTATGTTACTTATTTTTTTTGAAGGGATTATTACCCCCGGAAAGTGATCTGCCAATGGACTAAGAACCTGGTTCTACTTACCGCTAGGTTAACTTGCCTGGGAATCTAAGTCCTCTCGCTTGCGAGGCGAGTGCTCTAATCAATACGCTACGAAA